GTGTAAAAAATATTCCATTTTGACCATTTACAAAGCTTTTTGCACACTCTTGTAATGCGAGTATTACCCAAACATCACAACCACTATTCTCTGCCTCTGAAGCTGGTTTTCTGTACTTTCTATGCACTAATAAGACTGACTGACTGGCTGAGTTTAGTTTTACGCCGCTTTTAGCAATATTCCAGCAATATCACGGCGGGGGACATCAGAAATGGGCTTCACACATTGTGCCCATGTGGGGAATCGAACCCGGGTCTTTGGCGTGACGAGCCAACGCTTTAACCACTAGGCTACCCCACCGCCCCACACACTATTAAGACACTGTTTACAAACAAATCAATCGTGAGGATGATGTTGGATGTTGAATAGAAACTCACGCTCCTGTTTTTGTTTTGTTTTGTTTTTTGTTATTGTTTTTTTGGGGGGTTGGGTTTTTTGTTTTGTCTGTGTTTTTTTGTGTTTTTTGTTTGTTTGTTTGTTTTTTGGTGGGGGGGTTGCATTTTTTTGTTTCAGTTGGTTCATCCCAAAGTAGACCAGCAGAAAAGACAATTGGTACGTGTTAGATGCACCACAATACATGTATATATACTGGACAAAATAAGTTAGGGATATTGGTATGCTTATGATTGATATTTTATCAGTATGTCAATGAATAAATAGATCATTATTCATAATTTCAAAATTTACATATATCTCTAACTATTTTTGTCCAGTATATAATCTCTAACGTAATCCACCAGCAAAAGCAATCGTATGTTCGAGTTGTAGTGAGAAAGACAACCAAAAGTATTTAGTTTTGTGCTTTTACACATGAATTATTTAATCTTTCTCTGCCACAATTTCATAACAATATGTGATTTTGCATCAACTGAAATTGTGGTGGTGTAGCCAGATAGTCTTACAAACAGATACAAATTGATAAAGTCCATGATCAACAGCTCCAGATGTGGAAAAGTTAGGCAACTCTGCCTCAGCAACCAGTTATGCGTACAACAAGCATCACCAACATCTTTCTGTCTGTGGGGTAGCCTAGTGGTTAAAGCGTTCGGTAGTCACACCGAAGACCCGGGTTCGATTCCCCACATGGGTAGAATGTGTAAAGCCAATTTAGGCTGGTGTCCCCCCTTCGTAATATTGCTGGAATATTGCTAAAAGCGACGTAAAACTAAACTCACTCAGTGAAATTGTGAAACTTTTGTCTCACCGTCATAGGTTATCTCCCACCCATGTAGAAACGATGTTATCGCGTGTTTCATCAGCTGCAAATCTTGGTGGTGCTCCAATGCAATTCTAGCATATTGATAACTTGATATACTTGTCGCAACAGGACCTATTAACACATTTCCGATTGGTATTTTCTCCTTTTTTCCTTTTGATTTGTTCTTGACACACACGTATTCATCAGTGGTTCATTTCAGAAAGCTGACAAATTTTATTGCCGAGGGCAACACCATCCGCAATGAAGATGACTGACTGACTGAGTTTAGTTTTACGCCGCTTTTAGCAATATTCCAGCAAAATCACGGCGGGGGACACCAGAAATGGGCTTCACAAATTGTACCCATGTGGGGATTCGAACCCGGGTCTTCGGCGTGACGAGCCAACGCTTTAACCACTAGGCTACCCCACCGCCCCCAATGAAGATGATGAACAGTCACAACCACGGAGTCCCAACATTACAACAGAATAAAGAAATATTTCATTGATTATCCAATTGGTGTGACTTGAATGCAATGAAAATCGATTTCTCGCGGTCTTCATTTTAAGATAATGAAACATACAAATTTATGGAAAACAACCTTTTTTACACCATTTGGCCAGACCAATTTTATTACTTGTTTTACGGATCCGCTTGTCGTCTTTTTTCAAGAATAAGAAAAAAATAATAATTAATCTTCCCCACTCACAAAATAAAATCCTAATGATTCCATTGGCCAAAAATGTACACTTACAAGAAAGGTTTTTTTAAATTGTATTTTCCCCCATATACACTTCATAAATTGCCAAAAGTAAAATACTTTTAGTATTTAGAAGGAATACTTTGACTAGTGAATTTATTTTTATTTTTTTCGCCTCCTTCTGTTTTCTGAGGACAAAAATCCGTAAAACAAGAAATAGAATTGGTCTGGCCTTATCAGTCTAAACAACAAACAGCAAAAATCATGAAGCCAATATACAGGAAGGATTAAATTGTAAACAAGCTGATGGTAATTGACTAGTTAAATGAATGAGACTTTCGTTTGATTAACCCTTCGTTAGCCGATGATATACATGTATGTATTTTGATCTGTTGCTCAAAGATCTGTTAGCTGCACAGCGATAGTTTTGTGTTTAAAGGGTCTGCGTTTTACGGGGATACCTTTCTATCAGCTCTGTAATTCCTTTACAGTTTACTAAAGATAGAAATGGCAGCCAGAAACTAGTGACAGTAAGTGAGTTGTATTCCAGTTGTATTCCGCAATGAACTGAATTCCAGTTATATCACGGCATGTTAGGCAAAGCTTATGGAAGACAAGCCATGGAAGACAACTTAGACAAGACAAGAAGAGAAGCAGGTCTCTGGAGTTCCTGGACGCTGCCGGATACCTGTATCAGCCAGAGATCTATGTGTGCGTGACTGAGTGAGTTCAGTTTTACGCCGATTTTAGCAATATTCCAGCAATGTCACGGCGGGAGACACAAGAAATGGGCTTCACACATTGTGCCCATGTGGGGAATCGAACCCAGGTCTTCAGCGTGACGAGCGAACGTCTTAACCACAAGACAACCCCACCGCCCTAGTGAAACTGACTGACTGTATGGTGTAATAAGAGAAAAGTCAAGGTTTTCCCTGATGTAAAATCAGAAGTACTGAAGAAACGTTTTATATATGTATATTTGTTATAAACATGAATAAAATCTGCTTGTTAAAAGTTTCATATGGGTCATTCTATCACGTCAAGAGTGAGTGAGTTTAGTTTTACGCCGCACTAAGCAATATTCCAGCTATATGGCGGCGGTCTGTAAATAATCGAGTCTGGACCAGACAATCCAGTCATCAACAGCATGAGCATCGATCTGCGCAACTGGGAACCGATGACACGTGTGTCAACCAAGTCAGCAAGCCTGACCACCCGATCCCGTTAGTCGCCTCTTATGGCAAGCATGAGTTGCCGAAGACCTATTTTACCCCGGTTCTTTACGGATCCCATTACGCCAAGAGGTACTAAGGGTTAAAAAATAAGAGCAATCAACCATGACCATGTTTATTTAAGGCGTATAACTAATGGATCACAAAGAGAAAACAGAATATGTCAATTGTAAAATATTAATACTGATGAGTATGAATTACATTTCCTTTTAACCTGTCCTGTTTATAACACTCTACGAACGAAACATCTAAAGCCATACTATTATAAGCATCCAAGTGTCAGAAAATTTATTTCATTGTTGCAGATACTACGTACCACATTATTTTTTACAGAATCTGGCAATGTACATCTATTTCGCTATGAGTTTAAGAAACAAGATTGTAATAGAAAAGAATTTGTAAATGACTTCTAACTACCCTGTCAATTTTAAATGTACAGCAGGTCTGTGGGCTTTTTAAGTACTGAATAAAGATTGATCGACAGCTGGAACTAATGGGTCGTATGACTAATGGGGTGCCACCGCGACAGACCCGGAAACCTAATCGGGGCTGTGACATAGGAATTATGTAACCCAGTTATGTAATTGCGTTACTGCATCTCAGTGAGTGAGTGAGTGAGTGAGTGAGCTTAGTTTTAATCAGCAATATTTCAGCTATATGGCGGCGGTATGTAAATAATCGAGTCTGGACCAGACAACTCAGTGATCAATAGCATGAGCATCGATCTATGCATGCAATTGGGATACGATGACATGTGTCAAGCGAGCCTGACCACCCGATCCCGTTAGGGGCCTCAATACGACAAGCATTGTATACTCGCGATAAGTTCTATAACTCCGATCTTCACGGGTCGCATCAGTGAGGTTTATTGTCTGTCGGCGGTGGGGTAGCCTAGTGGTTAAAGCCTTCGCTCGTCACGTCGAAGACCCGGGTTCGATTCCCCATATGGGTACAATGTGTGAAGCTCATTTCTGGTGTCCGCTGCCGTGACAGTGCTGAAATATTGCTAGAAGCGGCGTGAAACTGAACTTACTCATTAATTGTCTGTCTCCGAATCTTGTAGGGGAAATATGCAATATATTATACATCAGCTGATGAGTTACATTTCTGCGAATGTAAACAAAAACTATCGAACTAAAATTAAATTGATTTACATTGTTCATTCACATACTGAACATAAAGACACGGGCTCAGGAATATTTCGATGAATATTTGGTGAGATGTGTTTACTTTGTGTTCTCAGTCTTCACAACAACAATATTCCTGGTCCCGAATTGTTTGGTTCAGTATGAATCGTGAATATGTATTTTCCAAAGAAGTTGCATTTATATAGAACTGATTGGTACACTTACAGAATACCGGATACATACCAACCATATTGTTAATGTCATGTCTATCTAACTCTAACGCTAGCCCTAACCCTAAACCTTACCCTAACCCGAGCCCTAAGCCTTACCCTAACCCTAACCCTAAACTTTACCTTAACCCTAAACCTTGCCCTAACCCTAAACCTTACCCTAACCCTAGGAGTTAGGAAGGTATCCGGTATTCTGTAATCTTACCAACTGATTAACTAAATTAAGCATACACGTCAGTAAGTATACGTCCATTCCAACAAGTTTTTCATATATATATTATAAAAGGGACATTGTATGTCAGCTTTAGAAAACATCCCCAAACTGGACACATATGCATTGAAGCATAACGAAGCAGATTTGGTGGTGACTAATAGCTGCCCCCTCAGGCTTCTTAAACAATAACTGCTTTCATTACAATTCAGACACTCCTGAATGCAGACAAGTGATCATTGGTATCCCTTTAGAGTAGTTCTAGACAAATAATTCATTGTAATCCCATATGTGGGACGGGGTGCACCTCATGGCTACACCTATCCGGAGCGTGCTTCCCAACACTGGCCCCTATAACAGCAACGCAGTGCATGTAGGTCGGTAAACACACCTACACAGACGTTCGACAAGCAAGAGCTTCAAGGCCTTCACGAGCGGTAGCAGACGATAGGTAACATCAAAATGGCGTCCGGTGATGTGGTAACTGTGAGTCTCCGCAGATTTGATACAAGTCAGCCATGGGGTTTCAAGCTCCAGGGAGGGACCGAATACGGCCTACCTCTTTTCATCGCCCAGGTTGGTGTTTAACTTCGTCCCATGCCGGGAGTGCGTGATAGAAGTTTTTTGAGTGAGTCAGGCATGGGTCCCGTTATGATAAACCACAGAGGTGAGAGGGACGGTAGAGAAGCTGACAGTTCTAATCTAATACATTCACATCCGACACTTAACGTTATATATAGGGTTCTATTTCTGTTAGGATGTTTTAAACTCTTGGAATTCCCGACACTTAAATGAACGCGTCTGGACAAATGTCTAAAGGGAAACATTTGTTTTAGGTTAATTGTAAAACTGCATAAAAAGGCACACGCTGCGCTGTTTCTGCGTTTCTTGGAATGTTCTCAACGCTTCCATCAATGCGGTTTCTCGACAATACAACAAGCTGCTTTTTGTTCACTGTAGATGTGAAAACTTGTTAATTCGTCGTAATTTTTTCAGTAATATACAAAATATAAGGTTTTCGTGTATCTCCATGAGAAGGAATAGCCATTGACCCATCCTTATTTACTAATGTTGTAATGTGTGCAGTCGTGCACTTGTCAGGGGGTACAGGGATCATGTTTCATAACAATACCAGCTGAATTGAATAGCAATACCATGGTCATGTAAAACCAAAATTTTACCTTTTAAATATACTTTCCTAGTTTTCTTTACATAGCGTATGCATGTATAAGGCACCATTGATATTTTCCTTATTTGTCATGAACGTTAAAGGAATTAATTCTGCAGCACACCTTTTGAGTATGAATTGTTCTGTAATCTTGTACGTCTGGATCTTTCTAAGTACTGAAATAGAAGTGTATTTACTTGATAAGTCCAAACAAGCCGTATGACCATATATATTTTATTGGTCAATCAGCTGATGACATATGGGGTCAGTTAGTAGCTGATTATCTTTTATCTGTGCCCCCTCAGAGTTAAACATAGCAGAAAGTTGAAGCTGAACTTAATAAGTTCTCCTTTAGGTATCGAGCTTCTCCCTCCCCATGAGTAAATAATGCTCGCTGTCATGTGCTTCGCTTCCGCACCGAGTCTGCACTCGTTAGCGACCTAGACCCATATATAGAAAGGAATGCACGCTCGCGCCAAGCGCATCGTTCGGGTTACCTTGACCACGTGATTCTTGGGAAGTAAAGCTCAGCGCAGCGATGGCTTGGTAGCGTAGATTTCACCGGGAGAGTAGCACGCTCTGTAATGGAGCTTTGGAACATGCACTTAATGTGTATGGAGAATCTTATCCCTTGACACATTTAATGCTTTACAAATATATCTTTTCATATCGATCTTATTAACTCTTATCTTTTACTCAAGATATCTCTCTCCACGCAAAGAAATATCGTACTGGAGCTTTTCATTTTGACTTTCGAGTTAATGGGGAAAAAAATAGTAACAAGTTCAGTTAACGTCGAACTTTAATAACTAAAAAACGCATTGTGCTTTCAATAATCTGTAGATCCGAATTAAACTGAATTTGGACAGAACACGCAGCGTGAAGTTTCAAATTAGAATTTCATACCTGTGAGTGTGAGTGAGTGAGTTTAGTTTTACGCCGCACTCAGCGATATTCCAGCTATATGGCGGTGTTCTGCAAATAATCGAGTCTGGACCAGACAATCCAGTCATCAACAGCATGAGCATCGATCTGGGAACCGATGACATATGTCAACCAAGTCAGCGAGCCTGACCACCCGATCCCGTTAGTCGCCTCTTACGACAAGCATGGGTTACTGAAGATCAATTCTAACCCGGACCTTCACGGGTCTCATACCTGTCCAGTTGATGAATTAATTTCAGAAAAATACAAAAATATTCACCATGCCCGAATTAATATTATTGAAATTTATTATGAATATTATTTGGTGTATTAACGTTATCAAAGCCACAAGGAAAATCAGTTTATTATATCCGTAGTTCGTTATTCCCGATGTCGTTGACTTGTTTATTGACTGCTTTCGGACACTGTAAATGATTAATAATTACTTCCTGGGAAAGGTCAATGCTAATCTAAGTTACTCTAGAAAGTGTCAGGTTTTGGACAGTGTCACGTTTGATTTATATATGTATTCAGAATGACGAATGTTTTGGTCTCTGGTCTTGACCTCGTAGCGCCACAACATTATGTTTCCCCTTTAAATAACAATCAGAAACCATATATATTATATACATGTATATCATAACTGAGGTACACATATATCTATGACTGAACTGCACAGATGTCAGTCACGGGATTGTCTGGTCCAGAATCGACTGTTAACAGACCGCCGTGGTATAGCTAGAATATTACCGAGAGGGTCGTTTAGTAGCAAACAAACGAAGCATGTTTTTTTATTAAAATGAGTGTAGGTTAAATGAGTCTGAGGTTAACAACTTTTTTTATCTATCCGGTTATGGTCATGGAAGGTAAACCTTCCACAACTATATATCTTCTACTTAGCTCTTTATCGTCGCGATATGGCTGAAATATTGCCGATGTGACGTTAAATATTAACTCACTCACTCACTCACTCACTCACTTAACTCTTTATGGGATGATGGGTGGCCATACCTGTCTGTTTCAAGTGTAATGTTTCTTCCACTATTAACCCGTGAAGATTCGGTTTGAAATTGTACTTCAGCAATCAAAGGTTGTCGTAAATGGGGCGTAATATTATTTACAGTCCATGGAGGATGACTTGTATAAGCTGCATTTTAGACAATATAGAACAAACTATATGGATAAGAACTTTTAGATTTCGCGAGGGCGACGTTTCGATACAGATTCTTGTACCGTTCATTCCTGTTTGATTTGTAACTTATGTGACTCACATTTGGTTGGAGATGAGTTTCACTATTTGTTTAAATGTAATTATTTTACAGACATACGTAAATACGTGAGTTCCTGACCAAATTTGTCAAAGTTCCGTCAACTTTTTTCAAGTTCATTAAGATTGTTTGCAAACACTTTAATTGATGTAGTCATCTTGTACATTTTGTATGTCCTTCTTTGTTATAGTCATGTACCACCGATGGTGGATTATTTTGAGCAATAAACGTGTGAGTGAGTGAGTATGGTTTTACGCTGCTTTTTAGCAATATTTCAGCAATATCACGGCGGGGGACAACAGAAATGGGCTTCACACATTGTACCCATGTGGGGAATCGAACCCGGGTCTTCGGCGTGACGAGCGAACGCTTTAACCACTAGGCTACCCCACCGCCCCAATAAACGTGTGAAGATGACAACGGTACTAGAATCTGTATGGAAACATCGCACTCACAAAATAAAGAAATTGTTATCGTTGTTATCCGTGAAGTTTGTTCTATACTACCCAACAAAAGTTTAGACTCACTATTGTAAATATAGCCACTTACTTCAGGCAACTGTTCTACACTAAAGTTTACAAAATATTCCATAATGTTTAAAGGTACTGTTTACACATGAACTGATGTATTGTAAAACAAATTCGTAACGTTGAAAAGTTTATTGCCATGAGTTCAATAAATGATAAAAGTCAGTGAAAATTGGCTAATTCTTAACAAAACCTTACTCCAAAACGCAGCTGTTCACACGCACGATATTTGCACATGCTTTTCAGCAATTTGATGCACCATCCTCGTGTAATTCATCTGCATAAGGTCTGCAGTTGGTTCCCCTAATCTTCGATGTAACCATACACATATACATAACATATAGTGATTGTTTTAAGGGAGTCTAAACTTTTGATGGGAAGGATATTTCATCGAGGATGAGTATACACATTTGAATGTTTACAATACCTTCTTTTCAAGTTATGAAATATAATATTCACGTCTTATACACATTTGAACGTGTACAATATCTTTTTTTTTCAAGATATGAAATACAATCAATTTTTCACGAGTCCTTTGTTGAACACCATACACGATAGTCAAACGTGTTTTCTGGACATCGTTCTTTCCAGTAATTTCTGTGAAGAACATCTGAAAATATACAAAAAAACATTTCTTCGTATCCATAGTCTTTAATCCGGACATGCTCTGTCATACAGACCCTGAAACAAATATATCCAATAATATGCGGTAAGTCTAGATTTCCACAGTTTCTGAAAATGAAGAAGGTCTCTGGGCTCCTTTTCATTATATTTCATGATTATCTTTTATGAACAGTATTTTTCTGTAAAATATGTTCACTTCAGAGACAAGATGTTAGTCTAATCCGGACATTTGTTTACCCGGGCGATTTTATTGGGTACTGTGCCATCTTTAATGACGAGATTTATTCTACCTTTCCAAGGTGTCCCCTAAGAGTATCGCTGGAACAGCGGGGCTGCGGAATGGAGATGGTATCGTGAGGATCGGGGATGCGTGCACAAATGGTTGGTCTCATGAAAATGCGAAAGCCGAGCTTATCCGGGCTGGCAACGACGTGGATCTCACAGTCCAGAGGTAATCTTATGGGTACCAGTTATCATCAATCATTTGACATGACACGTATATATTTAAGGTGACAATAGTTACAATTACATGTATAGCTATCGGTCTGTCTGTCTATACAAAGAGGATACTAAACGACCTCTCTCTCTCTCTCTCTCTCTCTCTCTCTCTCTCTCTCTCTCTCTCTCTCTCTCTCTCTCTCTCTCTCTCTCTCTCTCTCTCTCTCTCTCTCTCTCTCTCTCTCTATGTGTGTGCTTGACGTTACATAACACAATATTCATTCCAATCTGTTATTCGCGATTGTCATGATGATGTACATATCTAATATAGTCGTATCATAAAATGCATCTCTATAAATAACACATATGTTGTTCCATAAGTTTTCAATACTCTGAAGGACCTATCCGTTCAAACACCTGATGATATGTGTTTTAATCAAAACGGCCCCAAAAGTGACTCATCCTTATCTAAGTAGAGTGATATAATAGAACCATTCCGCCAAGCTGCCCTAACCGTCGGTTACTGTGAAACCAAGGCAGTGTATCGCTTAGCTGTGTGTATCGCTGTGTGCCACAGAATACAGTTGGTTTTGCCAATGGACGCCACAGACGGACGGTAGGTTGTACAGATGTGATGTATTCAAAGCACTGAATCGTAACAGCATCTGTGACATATAGTCCATCAGCATTTTGTATGATAACACTACGCGTTTGGTTAAAACGTTTGTTTATGACATGGGCGTGTATAGGTGTTACGTGTCCGTTAATGATATGCAAGGTAGTGACGTGCAGGCATGAATTAGTTTATCATGATGAAAGATACTGGAAACTAGTTCAGGCCAATGGTTATGTTATATATAGGTAATTGTATATTCTTATGACTAGCCCAGGTCATCACATACAGTTTTTAACAATAATTATATGGATGACTAAGCAAGGCCGTCATATTGCATTGTGTAGAATGAGGTTAGATGGTTTGTGTTGGAATTGTAAATATCTTGTACTCCGCTTAAATATTATACTCAGCTCGCCAAGGTGCGTCAATACAATGTGTATTCCTACTACAATATTTTTACAATCCCGAATTCTCTAGAAGCTTGTTGTTGTTTTTTAACTTCTATCATAACAATGTTTCATTGCATGTTTTTTCTACATTTAAGGTATCATGAGGTGCTAGTAATAAGGCACCGGTACTCGTAACATTGTTCCACCTGAAACTTGTATTTGAAACAGTGTCGTAACTATCAGCCAGGCAATCTTTATAGATATATTTTAAAGCCAAATACGGAACTTCGACAGTGACCGTCTTTTGTGTCAACCCATACTCACTGCAGTAATTGCTTTTTTTTATCAAAGGGAAGCTACTCTAGTCTATGGCTCGTCACATTTGCCTAGTCGACCAGTTCCCCGTCCAACGAAACGATCTCAGCACTAAGACTGTTATACGTCTGTATTAAAGTATAGAAGTTACTATCACCTGAACGATACGTTGGATTTGTGGAATTGTTCGTAGGCTGATTCAGAGAGAGAGGAGGGAGTGGGGTTTGCAGCCCCCTTTTTTTGTCCCGAAAGTTTATTAAATTACTGGCGGATCCATTTGGTCTCAGGGGATAATTATCTGTGCACCCCAACCCCTTTCTCAAAAAGCTGTATCCGCCCCTGTGGATGCCTTGACATTATAATTGTCATAAGGATGCCTTGACATAAGGTAATTGTCATAAAGGATCCTGTCGGTTTTCTCTCATTATTACTGTATAATCATGACTAAAGAGTCAATTAACCATTTTTATGTAATATTACGTTGTTGTTTTTCTTCCTAGTCTACATGAATTCCGAATATGGACTATATATTATGATACATGTCGATTACCTTTCCGTACTATGGAGAGCAGTTTAGTGATAACTGATGTAACTTGGATCGGGCCTGTCCACAAGAGTGAATGGTCTAGGGGAGATAATTCCATACCCATGATAATGTAACGATGAGAGTTACTTCCCTTGAGTGACAATAAAAGCTGGTGTGGAAGAAACACGGTTGGTCTTGAAGTAATATTACGGGCACGCCGCACAAATGTTAGGTGCCAATGCATTAAATACTTGTTGCAAAGAAGCAAGAGTCTCAAAATACATTCAAGATTTTCAGTAAAAAACGTCCAAAAAACATACATAAAACAAAATCTTCCACACTGATAGACTGTCATCTAAAATGTCTTAATGATTATTTTCAAATCTGGAAACAAAATAAAAATGAGTCCCATCAGATGTATGATTAAATCATGAAACTATCCTACTGTCACTTCTGTCAAGCAAAACAAGTGATCACTTTTGTGTGATCTTTTAACTGAACATTAAAACATATTTTAAAAACTTGTTGTATTTTCAGAGGTGCTGTGAACACAGCTGACCCCGCCGTGAAGGCTGCAGGTCAGCAGGCAGCTTCCCCAAGGGTAGAACTGGACGAGGGGAGCATCAACCCCCACATGAACGAAGGGTCAGCCTACAGGGACGTCAAGCCCAAGACATACCAGATCCTAGAACAGCAGTTGGGAGGAAGTGGTCCTGCTCCGTCCGCCCTGGGGCGAGGCAAGGCAAAACAGGCTGCAGGTGGTGGTGGTGGTAGGTTTACATTGACGTTCAGTATCAGGTTGCTTATACAGTGGAGACTTGCTTGATCGAACCAGCTACTACTATAATATGAGTAAGAACCAACTCTTGATAATGGGGGAACTGGCTCACTGACCCTCGTCATCTATATGCTAAAAACATAGTTTCCTTTGCGTCATGTGTAAACTACTCTCTCATGAATTAGGACATTTCTCCATTATGAGTAAGTGAGTATGGTTTTATGCCGCTTTTAGCAATATTCCAGCAATATCACGGCTGGGGACGCCGGAAATGGGCTTCACACATTGTACCCATGTGGGGAATCAAACCTGGGTCTTCACCCCCCATTCTGATAAGGCAATAAGAAGTCATCAAATCACAACACCCTCTTATTTCAACACACGATTTGACTCCCTCATCACTGGGAAAACTTGGTTTTGAGTCAGAATTGAATTTATCACAAGATTACCAACACTACATTGAAAATACAGCATATCTGTTTTCTAATTCTTATCTATATCTTAAGTAAGATTTCAGAAAAGGAAAGGTAACTCTGTAAGACATGTGGTTTGAAAAGGGGGTCATTTGAAAAGGGGGTGGGGGTGCATCTGCTAGGATATCAGTATTATTCCATACTTTTTGGACTTTTTTCAAATAGAGAAAAGTTCAAATACAAGTCATAGTAGCAAAATTAAATGTCCATAGGATTAGATATAGACCAAAGACATACAATGACCTTTGGACCCTTAGTTTTATAGGTCAAGGTTAAAAATGGTTATTATGTGATTTTCACATCAGTAAAAATCCGGGTTAGAATTGGTCATCAGCAACCCATGCTTGTCGTAAGAGGCGACAAACAGGATCGGTGGACTTGGTTGACACATGTCATCTATCCAAATTGCATAGATTGATGCTCATGATGTTGATCACTGGATTGTCTGGTCCAGACTAGATTATTTACAGACCACTGCCATATAGCTGCAATATTGCTGAGTGCAGCGTCAAACAAGAAACAACATAATTTAATGTGTCAAGAGCGTAGCAAGCCAATTTTTTCGTGTAAGCCCGTTGGGTTGAAAAGCTTTATATTTAAATAGTATTGAGGGCTTGCCCAACCTTTTTAGCAAAAAGCATGTGTAAGCCCGGGCTTTTTTTTGTAATGGTAGCTACGCCCCTGTGTGGGCACCCTAAAACAACAAACGTTAAAAACGACATCATCACATTTCAGGACCATCCTCCATTTTTGATCGGAAGAAGCAGGAGAGGTCTGGCTACCTCCAAGCCCAGGGCAAGACAATTCAGAAGGCTTATGGTGAACAATGAGAAGCAAAACATGTGATATGTAAACATCATAGCGGAAATGTTTTTTCGGAATCAAGACTCTGGATACATTGGGGTTCTGAAGAAATAGTTCCACTTTGAGGACATCTATGGTGCAATTCTCCACAAGGGATTACCATGACATTAACTTTTATATATTCCCTGCATAATGATGGCGACATTAGGTTTCTCACTGTTGAGTAACAGCTCCACCAACCTCCCACCAAACTACCTTCCCCAAAACTGCTACTTTAAAGTGCAACATCACTATCCTGTGTTTAATGAGTACCTAGCCATTGATCCATGTTTGATGAAAAAAATATGTTCTGGGGAGGGACATGAAACTTTTGATATGCTCCCTCTGTAATTTATTATGTCAAATGTTAATGCTTATTTCAATGGGACACACCTGAAATGATTCTGTGATCACATGTAGAGTAATATGACTTCATCATAAAGAGTGGACTAACTACAGTGCTTAAATTATCCATCCAGTAAAATTACTCTCATGAGCAAGAGGATTTCTGTGGTAAGTTACTGAAAAGAGATGGAGATAGTTGCGTATTTTGAAGCTATGATGAATGTGTCTAGGATATTTATCATAACAAAATGGAAATATCCGCTGGATGATGAGATGAATATTAGGTGGCAGAATACCTGGCAACATTATACACCATGATCAGGCTCTGAAAGTGGGGTCTTTGAGAATGAATATTTGGTAGCACTGGGTCTGAAATAGGCTCAAGGATATGAAAGTGGGGCTCCACGCATAAAGGTGCTATCACTGACAATCTCACTTCTCTCACTTGACACTTCATGGAATACGTTCATCACCCACCCCACCCTACCCCTCCACACAAACAGCTTTATTTTAGTCAGCACCACTCCCCAAACTTCTAAGTTAGTTTATTATTATGAACTTTCTTGTTTGATACGTGTGGTTGTTTGTTGTGTTCTGCAATTACATATTATTCAAATGTTTACAAATATATTAAGCCTGTTATGATACAGTCACCTCCTGATAGAACACACCTAAATATAGAGAATTGTGGGATAATATCATAGAATCCCCATTGTATGTATAAAGTGACACTTCATATATTTTTTGGTTAATGGACCCTAAGACGAAATTCAGTAAATAACATTTAATGGTTTGAAGTTATATGTATAAAAAATAACTAATTTAATGCATTGTATATATTGTGATCACGACAAATGCATTGTAAAGAGAACAAGGCTTTGGGATACAAGTAAATCCATGTACTGTGGTATTATTGAAAAAAAATCAAATGTCTTGTACCAACCTAAACAGCTTTAAACAAAGCAAACACTATTATGCTACACAATCAGCCTCTTACCTGGTGGAGCTGATTGGCTAGTCAACTAATTTGGAAACAAAGTATATAAATAGAGTGGTATAAGTTCAATAAAGCCTCAGTACAAGCCCAATGTTAAACCTCCTGTTGTGGTGTATAACATGGCAGTTGATGGAATTATAAATTTTGGAATACATTCATTTGGGGATTTCCCTGGGGTTTGTAATATCTGGAGTTGACTGTAATCTATAAATAAATAAGTTGACTGTTTATATGTTTTATAAAACTGGTGTGCCAATAACATTAAATTATTAAACTAAACCAAATATCAATGACAGTCCTGCAGCAAATAAATTGCAGGATGGAGCATTGATCGTCTCAGGTTGTGATGTACTATAACTATCTGTTTGAATATCACTTATCTTTTTCAGATTAATAAATGTCTTCAACGAACTTGTACATATATATTCAATATATTATGTTAAGTGTTAACTCAATGAGAATTTTTTTAAACAAATATTTTAAAATAAAAATAATTTACACATATTTATTTTTTGCAGTAAATTGCATGTGAATGTAAATCTGTCCTGTCTAACAATCATGCAAAATCCAGTTAGGCAAAAACCATCTAAAATCAATTAAGTTTTACAACAATTCTCGGAATAAATTAGTTTGCCGCCATATGACACAATTCAAAGTATGTGTAAACAATACATCTCATGTTGACACTACTCCATGGTAGCCTTGGATTTTGCATGGTTTATATACCTATGTTGCTTGTTTCTTATACACCTGTAGTGTTGTCCTGCCTGGTATAAATTTCAGCTTCTGGCTATATTCTTGAAATCTTCATGCAATAAATATCTTTACACCTATGATTATTTCTTGATATTCTGGATCCATATTTTTAGGACTATCAGGGTGAATTGGTGATCACAATATCAATCACTGGCTTATCAGGTCCAGATTTGATTATTTACAGGTCACAGTCATACAGCTGGAATATTGCAGTGTGCCATTTAGCAACAAACACACCTGTTTCTGGGATTTGGGTTTTTTAAATATTATTTTATTTTTTCCATTTTTCCATTGGTACATGGACTCCAGTCATGTTTAAATACATTTTGTAGGTTTCAATTAGAAAACATCATACAGAATACATCACACAGAAGTTCAAAAAGGGATTATGTTCATCATAAGATGCTTGTTTGTTGTTTAACGCTGCATTTGTTAAAGTCCGTTTGGAAAAAAAAGAGATGCAAACCCTATTTTGGGCCTAAGTGTAATACTAGAGGTCAGAAAGTGTAATTTGGACCTAAAAAGTGTAATACGTGTCTGCCGATCGCTTCAACATGGTACACGGTTTCACGAAAGGAAGATTCTGGGCAGAAACACACGTGACCAATCATTATGAAGCTCCATACATCGAAAATTGTTGGTCATGTGACTCAAAATACTTTAATTCCTTGCAAGTTAATTGTAATGAGTGTGATGTTAAGAGTAAGCGATTCCTATCGGTGCAAGCCATTTCTGAACCCCTGCACCTGTGCGTTACGAAACACCCTGTGAAAATCTATCCACTTTATTGATTTTCGTAAAACGAGTAGAAAAGCGTAATTTTCGCAGATTCAGTGTAATGGCGTATTTAATGGTCAAAATCGTAATAATTACGCCCTAAAGCGTAAGGGTTGGCATCTCTGGGTGAACTAACAGTTCAACAAAATGTCAGAACTGGTCCTGAATGCACCAACAGCATTTAGTGACATGCCATTTAATACCAACACAAATATCATGTAACAACACTCAAACAAGATCATCATTTATTTCCTTATTTTGAAATTTTTCAAACACTTCAAACTTCATTATCTTGGCCCCTCCCTACAAAACGTTGGTAACTCTACAACAATCATAATTCCACAATGTATCATAAACTAACCACAGAGAGCTACATAAACAGGACCTGTAAAGTGAGTATGGTTTTACGCCGCTTTTAGCAATATTCCAGCAATATCACGGCGGGGGACACCAGAAAAGGGCTTCACACATTGTACCCATGTGGGGAATTGAACCCGGGTCTTCGGCGTGACGAGCAAACGCTTTAACCATTAGGCTACCCACCGCCCCAGGAACTGTAAAGCAAATCTAGTTTTCTCCCAGTATACATGCAAAAATAACCACAACAATCTGTAAGACAAGTGAATTTCCTTGACATGCTGCATTGTTATTGCTAATTAGAAGCATACAGCACAGCCAGTTTTACAAACATACAAACTGATAAAGTCTGTGACCAGCAGCTCAAGAAAGAAGCGGCAAAGTGAGTCTTGGTTTGTTTGTTGTGTAACGCCACACTCCGCAATATTCCAGTTATATGGAGGGCTGGAGGCAGCCTGTAAAGAATCGAATCTGGACCAGACAATCCAGTGATCAACAGCATGAGCATTGATCTATGCAATTGGGATATTATGACATGTGCCAACCAGGTCAGCGAGCCTGACCACCCGATCCTGCTAGTAGCCTCTTATGACAAGCATGGGTTACTGAAGACCAATTTTAACCTGGATCTTCACAGGTGGCAAACTGAGGCAACTCTGCCTAAGCAGCCTTAGACAACAAAGCCAGTCATGCATACAATCAGGCTTTACCAACTTCTTTCTGTCTGTTGTATGATGAAGTGTATTTTTTCGACACCTCATGTGAATGAATTAGTTTGGCTTCACGCCAGGGTACACCAGAAATTGGCTTCATAAACTGCCCATGTGGGAATCGAACCCAGGTCTTTAAGCGTGATGAGCGAACACTTTAACCACTAGGCTACCCTCATTTCAGGAGAATAATGAACGGAAAGAAAACAAATTTTTAAGGCAGGGGCAGATGCTCCTTTTTGAGAAAGGGGTGGGGTGTGCACACTTCCTTTTCACCCACATTTCAATGGTCATTGAACAAACTTTCAGGATAAAGGGGGTGTGCACCCCTGCAACCCCCCTCTGGATCCGCCTATGTAAGGTTGCATTGTTTGTTCTTGTTTGTTCAAGTGACAGTTTCATTCAACAATAGATCACTCCTTAGTCTGATACTAGATGTGCGGAGTCCAGGTAAGAAGACTGATTGGTCTCCAGGCAACCTCAGCTGGTTGTAAAAGGTGACTAAACTGATGGTCAAGCTTTGTGACGTGAATCTCATCATATGCCAGTGACATGGATGAAGGCTCATCATGTCAATCAATGAGTCTGGACCTGGCTCGATTATTCACAGGCTGCTGTCACAAAGTGGGGCCATTGCTGATCGCAGCAATTTACAAACATCAATCAACACATGACTAGTGTTGGGAATTGGTTAAAATCTCATAATTGATGATTGGTTCATTACTACCGATCAATCATCGAAAATATTTGGTTAGCGTCATTTATGAAATTTGTTAATGCACATAAAAATAAGGGGAAAAAAAACATATAGTTCTTTTGGGGTTTTTTGGCAAAATTTCATACCTTTAAAGGATGACTCGTATGTTAGGAGCATAAATTTCTTGGAATCTTTAAGATAAATTCAATCATGACTTGAAACGAGCATGTAGTGCTTACGAAATATAACAGACAAAACCAACCATGTGAAAAATATTGTTTATGAAAACAAGTGTTCCAGAATTGTTTGTGTTCGATTATGAGAAATTATGATCGATTGCTTGGTCGTTTAGTCACTATGACCAATCTTCTATTATTTCAATTAATCAGACCACCACTGCACATGACATGACCTGGAATGGTGACATTTTCACTCAAACAATACATTTGCATGGCTTCATAGAGGGGCAGCAAACATTCTAGACATCTTTCAGTCAAACCAAGAGACACAAGTCAAAATCTAACAAAAGAAGCATACTCTCAAACTAATGTATATAAAGTTACATTGATTCTCAATTCGGTGTCCCAGCTGTACATACTGGCCAAAGGTTGTGGAGGGGTGGGGTAAAACTAACTTGTACAGATCTGTTGATAAAAACAACAACTTCTGTGCGGAAAATGGGTGCCCCTTAGTGGCCTGTTAATCCATTACTTCTAACAGATAATAGCTTCAAAGAAAAACCTAAAAAGACGAAAAGAGATTGTCATGTGACCTTTCCCACTGATTTTTTAAGTATATCATTATTGCCATTATCCCAAGAGTTGCCTCCCCCAGAGTTGTCTCCCCCTGTCTCTGCCTGTTGTCGGTTGTCTCCTTCATCATGTGGATTAATTTCTCCTGTGACAGATTTTTCATCCCCATCAGTCGAGACAGTTTCCTGTATCCTCTCTGTACCAGACATGGAGCTTGTGTCTGTCGCAGACATTCCTCCTGCAGTCTTGTCCTCTTCATTTCGGTATGTATTCCAGATCTATAACACATACATATAGATTAAGAACAAAGGGGTGACATAAATTTCTTGATTTTGTTTGGCATTGAGTTTGTTTAACGGTGCATTCAACACTATTCCAGCTATATGGCAGCGGTCTGTAAGTAATCAAGACTGGACCAGACAATCCAGTGATTGACATCATGAGCATCAATCTACACAGTTGGGATACGATGACATGTGTCAACCAAGTCAGTGTCTGTTTACCTGCTGGTTTATATTTTACTCTCTCCAAGTAAAGTCCATTGGGGGATACTCTTGCCATGGCGGAAAATGACACATGATCTCTGTCCAATGGGTGTTCTAAAAGAAGGCGCAGCTCATCCAGGTGAAGCTTGCCCCTGGCCACTGCCACCATCGACGACACCATGTGTCGTACCTGTAAACATCATTCTTGTCAAAGATGATCACGAATGGAGTGATTGTATGAAAAAGCCCAAAATCATTTTTATCTTAAGTGTATAGAATAACATCCTAAATAAACTGCAAATAACCTCATTCATTAATGGATTAACTATTAGTTTCAATGTCAGTATAAATGTCATTGTTACTCTCATATAATTTCCACAAAAAAAGTTAAAACCACTAAATATACGGTACGCCCTACATCCTTCAGCAACCCACCTGATGATACAGGAAGGATTTGGCCTGAATATGGACATCCCAGAAATTACATTTCACTCCTTCGAGATGCTGACACACACCCTGGTCAGGCTGGCCTCCTCTCAGCCCTATCACAACATTCTTTACAGGGTTCTTAAACTGTGTTCCTTTCAGAGTTGTGAAGGCAGAGAAGTTGTGAGTTCCAGCGAGAAGTTCTGCAGACTTCACAAACAGATCGACATCAAAAGGAGACCTGGATAGAAACAGGATCAAGTATTAGATGATCTTAAAAGAAATGTGATCGGTGGTGCAATCTTATTGGTTAATAAATGTTAAATGGGATTCAGAAAAAGATCAGCCCTTTCCTTGAGTGTGACTACTAAGTTTAATTATCTCCTTTAGCACATGGGCTTCAATTTGACAAAATCAAACAGTATATTTTGAATTGTATTATTTATCAGGCAGGAATGTCATATTGCAATTTACACACAAACAAAAACAAGGATGAGAAAAGGGATGAAAAAGGACAAAGAAATGTGATATAAGCTGTAATATACCTGCACAAAAAGGAAATACAAAATGGCATAAACTAAACACATTGGCTGTTTAACTTCAACAAACTGTAGGTCAGTTGTTGTATAAGGTTGCACTAAAAATATTCCAGATCTGTGACGGCAACTTGTACATCACTGAATCTAAACCTGATAATCCAGTGATCCATATTATGAGTAACCGTAAACAGAATAATGACATACTGACAATACAAGTCACTGAGTATGGCCACCAGATCCATTCAGTTGCCTCTTATGTGAAGTTGCATGAAAGATAGCTCCAGGTCTTGTCATCCTAAAGATGACCTCATTGTTGTCTGGGATAGTATGGGAGAATGAGAGAGTGAGTGAGTTTTATTTTGCTCCGTTTTTCCCTCGTGGGGAATAGAACCTGGATCTTCAGAGTGACGAGTGAACACTTTAACCACTAGGCTACCCTACCGACCCAGATCATATGGGAGAATGATGACTGACAATTCGCATTTAGTCAAACTATGAATGACCAAAACTATAAATGTTGAGAAAAGCTCTGTCCAGGTTTTACAACACGGAGATACAGTATTGTATTCTGATACGAGGCCTATGATACAATACATCAATTCATGTATCATGATGCATATGATATATAAAGAGAAAAGTAAGATTAGTGTAAAAACTAGTGAAAAAAAGAAGCAGCTTACACAGGTTCTATAGTATTTCCTGATTGGCAACAAATAACAATATACCGTCGAGCCTATAAGTATCACACCCACAATTTCAGGATACATATGATATCACACCAATGGTTCAGGATATATATTGTATCACACCCACAATTTCAGGATACATATGATATCACACCAATGGTTCAGGATACATATCGTATCACACTCACAGTTCCAGGATACATATCATATCACACACAGTTTCAGGATACATACCACATCATACCCACAGTGTCAGGATAAATATCGTATCACACCAACAGTTTCAGGATACATATCTTATCACAGCCACAGTTTCAGGATACATACGATATCACACCCATAGTTTCAGGATACATATTATATCACACTCACAGTTTCAGGATACATATCGTATCACACACACAGTTTCAGGATACATATCATATCACACCCATAGTTTCAGGATATATATTGTATCATACACACAGTTTCAGGATACATATCGTATCACACACAGTTTCAAGATACATATCGTATCACACACACAGTTTCAGGATACATATCGTATCACACCCATGGTTTCAGGATACATATCGTATCACACCCATAGTTTCAGGATACATATCGTATCATACACACAGTTTCAGGATACATATCGTATAAGACACACAGTTTCAGGATACAAATCGTATCATACACACAGTTTCAGGATACATATCATATCACACACACAGTTTCAGGATACATATCATATCATACACACAGTTTCAGGATACATATCATATCACACACACAGTTTCAGGATGCATATCATATCACACACACAGTTTCAGGATACATATCATATCACACATACAGTTTCAGGATACATATACACACACAGTTTCAGGATACATATCATATAACACACACAGTTTCAGGATACATATCGTATCATACACACAGTTTCAGGATACATATCATATCACACACACACAGTTTCAGGATGCATATCATATCATATCACACACACAGTTTCAGGATACATATCATATCACACACATACAGTTTCAGGATACATATACACACACAGTTTCAGGATACATATCATATAACACACACAGTTTCAGGATACATATTGTATCATACACACAGTTTCAGGATACATATCATATCTCACACACAGTTTCAGGATACATATCTTATTACACACACAGTTTCAGGATACATATCATATCACACACACAGTTTCAGGATACATATCATATCACACACACAGTTTCAGGATACATATCGTATCACACACACATTTTAAGGATACATATCATATCAAACACACAGTTTCAGGATACATATATCACACACACAGTTTCAGGATACATATCATATCACACACACAGTTTCAGGATACATATCGTATCACACACACATTTTAAGGATACATATCATATCACACACACAGTTTCAGGAAACATATCGTATCACACACACAGTTTCAGGATACATATTGTATCACACCCATAGTTTCAGGATACATATCGTATCACACCCATTATTTCAGGATACATATTGTATCATGACTCCATCATATGCTTTCATGCTGTAGTGCTTATGGTTGAGGACTCTGACAGTGGCCACTTATGCATGTCCTTTCCATGCCTGACAAGCACCCTCTGACCTTTTGCTCTTCCCTTAACTCAAATCACACTGGCGTGGAACAGTTTAAACCTCTAACACTGTGGTGACTGTCATTGTCAAAGCCTTCTACATAAAGACTGACCCAGGGCTGGGGTAATATGTGAAAAGTAATCGCTTTAACCACTGGGCTACCCAACCAACCCCTATGTGATAAGCACTCACCGAACTACACTGATTCTGTTTCTCTCAACCACTGACAAGGCCTGTTGGAATCTACACTCTTCAGGTATAACAGCAAGTCGATACAAGTAATTGCGACCAGCAGCGTATCGAGACACAAAGTTGTCATGAACCTGCTGAATTCTCAATATCCTGTAAATAGAAAACATATCCTATTAAGAAAAACAGAGTTATAATTACATGTACTTCAACATGCATAGCATTAACACAGAGCATGGTCATACATCTCTTGGACATCCTTTTATCTGTGGGCTACTACAATCAGTGTCTGCCATTCAGCAGAGTAAAATGAGTGAGTGAGTTTAGCTTTACGCCGCACTCGGTAATATTCCAGCTATATGTCTGTAAATGATCGAGTCTGGCCCAGACCATCCAATGATCAACAGCATGAGCATCAATCTACGCCTGACCACCCCATGTCATCAGTCGCCTCTTATGACAAGCATGGGTTACTGAATATCAATTCTAACTCGGATCTTCACGTGAGAGTAAAATGAGAGCCTCAAGGCTCATCACATTTGAAAAACAGTAGACCCAGTAGAAAAATGTTGACCCAAACAATTCTTAGCTGAAAAGTGAGTGAGTGAGTTTAGTTTTATGCCGCTTTTCACAATATTCCAGCAATAACATAGTGGGTGACACCAGAAATGGGCTTCACACATTGCACCCAAGTGAGGAATCGAACCTGGGTCTTTGGCATGATGAGCGAACGCTTTAACCACTAGGCTACCCCACCGCCCTTTTTCGCTGAAGAGACATGCTCTTGCAATATACAATACAAAGGACAAATATCAATACATATCATTTAACCAACTGGTAAGCCATAGTGAAATTTGTGTGACAACAGCTGAAAACATTCAGGAAGAGTAACTTGCAAGTAACAGAGAACCACTGACATCTTTACATCACAAATTGGTCTCAACAAATCTGAAGATGAACAGAAAAGGCATGTCAGCTCCTTGTAAATAATATTTTCAAGCTCTATAGCAGTGCAGTTATAATATCCACAGTATCACAAGTAATGTGATACCTACTGCACTGCAGAGAGTGCATATAAACTGTTCTCTGCTTACATAAGTTCCCAATCAGTATGACTGATTAACGACCAAAGTACTAATTAACACGCATAATGAGTACTTTGAAGGTGAACCCTGTTTCACATAGCAATCTCAGTGTTATGGTTCATTTACCATGTTTATCGCTTAAAATAAACAGCAGGTCGCAATGACCTGCTGAGTCAGTCATAGACCCAGAAACAGATATACCCTAATGCAGCCCATGAAAGTCTACATGTGGCAAGTCCAGAAAACCACAGTTTCAGGATATTTTTCTGAAAGTGAAAAAAGTCTCTGCATTCCTCTTATTTTATTTATGAAAACAATTTAGACAACAGCCTGCCATTGTACAAAGCGATCCTAGACCTAAGGTGACTGTCATTCCCATACCATAGGGGCGGTGGGGTAGCCTAGTGGTTAAAGCGTTGGCTCGTCACGCCGAAGACCCGGGTTCGAATCCCCACATGGGTACAATGTGTGAAGCCCATTTCTGGTGTCCCCCGCCGTGATGTTGCTGGAATATTGCTAAAAGCGGCGTAAAACCAAACTCAGTCAGTCAGTCAGTCCCATACCATAACATACACTTAAGGTAGTTTTAGTGCTAAGGTTGTTTTGTACAATGGCACCCATATACTGATATATAGTCTCTGAGTTAGGAACCCTTTTTTTTGGCTATAAATATGTTCATTTCAGAGACTGAATGTTAGTACAGGGCCTGCTGAAATTGAAAACTATCAGCCCAAGAACAAATCTGTCTGCCTCGGAGCTACAAGCTGATGTTTATTACAAACAATGATTACAATACACCATTATCATGACCCATCCTCTGCTTCCTTTATGACATCACCATCTCAATCCCTATCAACTCAGAATGCACAGAACAACTTACTTGAGAGCTTGGCAAATTATAAGATCAACAGTGTTATTTGGTTCCACCATCAAGCGAAGACAGTTGACAACTACTAAAAACACAACTGAAACAGAATTACTATACTTGATGTCTTCTTTTGCTTTGTGGAGCTGAATGTTTAGAATAAACTTGAGACGGTCAAGGTCACTCTGCTCCTTCAGGCGACTCCTGTAAACACAAGCCAAGGTGTCCCCCAACAACTTTGTTCATATCGCATGTTAATATCAAAATTTATCTAGCCTCATGTAAGAATGTCGAGTTTTGATTGGTTCACGTGACTCTGATAAAATACCATGTACACCCGTCACGATACAAGAGTCATAATATCCTGCCACGCCTCGGTGACCGCGTGAAGTGAGAAAAGTGTGCATTGCCAAGCCTTTAGTAACGTGCGCTGCATTGAGATCAATCGATCAGCTGTTGTCAACATGGCATCTCACATAAATAAAAACAAGTCGATTCGATGAGTATTGTTTTCTTTTGATTTAGTAAAAACATTCGGCTAGATAAATGCGTTATCACGCAACTTATAATGATCATTTTATATATGGGTATATCAAAACGTTTGGTTCATACAAGTTAATATCAACATATGTTCATTATATACATGGGTATATCAAAACATTTGGTTCATACCAAAGTTATAGTCCATTTGATTTCATTTGAGACCGATGAATTGCTCACTAACACAATATCTAATAATTGCAACAAAACCAAATTTTGCACAGTCCCATGAAATCAACAGACCAACTCAGATGATTTGTATCATAATTTTGGACACCCAAATAAAAAACCCTGGAGCTGCCACACCCCTTTTCTTTAAACCCTGGATTTGCCCCACCCCTTTTCTTTAAACCCTGGATCTGCACCACCGTTTTCTTTAAACCCTGGATCTTCCCCACCCCTTTTCTTTAAACCCTGGATCTTCCCCACCCCTTTTCTTTAAACCCTGGAGCAGCCCCACCCCTTTTCTTTAAACCCTGTAACTGCACCACCCTTTTCTTTAAACCCTGGATCTTCCCTACCCCTTTTCTTTAAACCCTGGAGCTGCCCCACCGTCTTTCTAAAACCCTGGATTTGCCCCACCCTTTTCTGAAAAACCCTGGATCTGTCCCACCCCTTTTATAAAACTCTGGATCTGTCCCACCCCTTTTCTTAAAACCCTGGATTTGCACCACCCCTTTTCTTTAAACCCTGGATCTTCCCCACCCCTTTCCTTTAAACCCTGGATCTGCCCCACCCCTTTTCATTAAACCACGAATCTAGCCCACCCCTTTTCTTAAAAACCTGGATCTACCCAACCAGTTTTCTTAAAACCCTGGATCGGCCATAATGGGGCAGAAGTCTGTCCTGAACGTGTGAACAACTTACTCATGATGGAAATCAAAATGGACAGCATTGCAGTAGGCATGAACTTTCTTGTCAGTCCGGCTTGAGAGGTACAGGTTGGATTCCCATGGTGGCAGTAGTTTCTTCAAATGTCTCTAAAATAATACATTTCAGTAAGAAAAGGCAAATCATGATAAGGTTCTGCATGCAAGCAAGGGTCAACTGGTAGGAGGTGAGGTGAAATTGGGTTTAACATCATGCTTCAGAATATTTCGCTCATATGACGATGTGCATGCATGTGTATGTGTATGTGCGGCTGCTTGTACTAGCCCACACTTAAGCTGGTTTTATAGTGCTAGCCCACTGAGATACCATGTCGCAGTGAAGCATGAATATCCCACTCAGACACATTATACTGACACCGAGCCCACCAGTCCTTGGTGTACCCATCAATGCCGAGCGCCATGCAGGGACCAACAAGTACCATATTTTAACGTCGTATGGTATGACGCAGTCGGGGATCGAACCTGCGACCTTCCGCTCTCCGGGTGGACGCTCTAACCACTACACCACGGAGGCGGTCCAACTAGTAGGAAAATCAACATCAAGAAACTTATCTCTGTCTTAAAAGATATTCACATAAGAAGGCTCAATAACAATGTCTTATGATCATCATGTTCTACAATAAACTTTACATACTAATTGCAAGAAACATGTTACATGATTCAACACCATCCTTAGTACTAAAACTGCCATATAGCTGGAACAACATTGAGTATGGCGTTAAACAACACACAACATACCAACGATTATTCAATAGAAGCCAGAGGAATGTTACACTCACAGTGCATTGAACATTCAAAACTACCCACAAACTGATTCAATGACATTGTGTTCCAAAACGTCATCAATAATTTCTGCATACATCCTTTAGGTTACGTGAGCAGTGGGGTAGCCTAGTGGTTAAAGCATTCGCTTATTACGCCAAAGACCTGGGTTCGATTCCCCACATGGTTACAATGTGTGAAGCCCACTTCTGGTGTCCCCTGCCGTGATATTGCTGGAATATTGCTAAAAGTGGCGTAAAAATAAACTCACTCACGCACACTTTAGGTTACGTACTCAACAGCTGTGACTGATTAGGCCTATCCTGATCATAAGAGGTGGCCAAATGGAGAAGAAGTCGTAAGTTTGGAAACATTACCCCCCTCCACACCTCTCAGAATAAAATATGTTTTAACTAAACTAAACCAAATCACTCCAGTGCTTAGACTTGATTCATAACATGTCAAAGTACCCTGATGGATAAAAACAAGCCTGGGCCCCGTTTCACAAAGCTTATCAGGGGCGGATACACCTTTTGGAAAAAGGGGGGTGCACACTATTGAGAAAAGGAGGGGTGCCTGACACACACACACACACACACCCTCTGGATCCGCCTATGCTTATGATTGTAGCGCTACAACTGTCGTAACTCCTATATATACTTTAACATAGACTTACAAAAGTTGAAGAGCTGACATCGCTTTGTGAAACAGGACCCTGGTTAGCAACTATTTTGATGAATCAACTACAGGCAGGGTTGTTCTTTTCTGTCAAATACAAATTAAGCTGAATATATCATGCATACTTTTCATGTCATTGGGTGAAAGGCATGTTCAAATAAAATCCAACAAGTTCAATAGTATATTTTAACCAATGAGTGTTTACCTTTTGCATAAACTCACTCTTATTTATACAATAATTAATGACTCACACATGTGAGTCAACACGTTATTCACTCAATGTCAAACAGATATAAGTTACAGCATGTACAATATATTAGTGAGTGAATTTAGTTTAATGCCGCACTCAGCAATATTTCAGCTATAGTGCAGCTGTCTGTAAATAATCAAGTCTGGACCAGACAATCCAGTGATCAACAGCATGAGCATCGATCTGATCAATTGGGAACCAATGTCATGTGTCAACCAAGTCAGCAAGCCTAACCACCCGATCCCGTTAATCACCTCTTACAACAAGCATGGGTTATTGAAGATCAATTCTAACCCGGATCTTCACAGGTCTACAATATGTTAACATTTTTATGTGATGCTGTGAAGTGATCAAACTACAGTCTTTCAGCTGGGCAGAAGCTCAGTCCATAAAACCAGAGGTGTGTTCCAAAAGCTGTCAACATCTTCAAATGTTTCCTAATTAACAAAATCAGTCTGTAACACCATTTTGAAAACTGTGCCCTCTGACAGCAGAAGTTGATAGCTGCCAACATCTGCAGTGAACGCTCAGAAAGTACTTGCACACAGTACAGATCAAGGGGGCCAGGATGACTGATACTTTTGATTCCCAAAACGTCTGCAACCCACCTCAATAGTTCCTTGAACTGTCTTTACATCATGTCTGGCAAATCCACCAACTCGCTGGACTTGTATCCCGCTGGAGGAAACATTTCAAATTGATATTTCATAATATACATTTCTAAGAAATGTGCATACCAAAAAATACAATGAATTTCTTTTTTAAATTTGGTTTACAGATGCATGCAGGGTAACATGATAAGTGACAAAAATATGCATGATACTCAATGACTGAAATAAACATCTTCAGTTATCTGCAGTATCAAGTTCTTTTATGTCAAGGTCATAAAAGGGAGGTCACTCTCATTCTGTACCTAGCAAATCCATGCAAGGCCAACCAAACACACCAGTGCACCACCCCCTGAACTCCCCTTTCAAAATTCCTGGATCCACCCAGGCAGTCTACACAATAAGGAATAGGATAGGAATAGGAAAGCATTTAGACAATTTGAAAAACAGATAGGTGATCTCATTTAGGGACTGGCAGTCTTTATTGACTTTTCACTAAATATTTCTATTTTATGACAATGGTGTGAGTGAGTTTAGTTTTACGCCGCACTCAGCAATATTCCAGCTATATGGCGGCAGTCTGTAAATAATCGAGTCTGGACCAGACAATCCAGTGATCAACAGCATGAACAAAATCTATCTGCGCAATTAGGTACTGATGACATGTGTCAACCAAGTCAACGAGCCTGACCACCCGATCATGAATAGTGTCCTGGCACTGTAGCTCATCTCTTTATGCTGTCAACAAGTCTAAGTCTTGAAGACGTTGTGAAAGTTGCTGTCACACTGACATTCAAATACATTAGCATAAATACAGAGAAAGAATATAGATTTGAACAAAACATGTCACTATAATAGAGCTGCACAGGTACAACAGATATATACCATAGGTACGTTCCTGCATACCGACAACGATCCTTTCAGCATAAGTAGAACCATACATGCCAAATTTCAGCATCCCTTGTCTGCCGTTTTTAAGAGGAAAAGATCTTTTAAAATGAAAAAATAGACTTGACAGAATTTTATACATGCATAACAGCATATTTTGAGCAGAAATGGCAGAGCAGAGGCTATAAATAAGTTTCTTATTCGAGATGAACCTCTTAGACAAATTGAGATGTTATAACTGGTGTGACTACAGCTTCATCTGTCAAGTGGTTTCTACTGACACTGCATAAAAAAAATGGCTCTTGATTCCTTTGAACTTTTCAATATGGCCACTGGTAGCCATATTTGATTTTCAATCAAGATGTGTTGACCAAACTTGGTAATTCATAAGGTGACTATCTTACCAACCATGTTTAAGCATCTCGGGCATTTTAAGCTTTTGAAATGAACATTTCTTTTCTATTATGCTTGTATGACATCAAATTTGATGTGTTGAGATCCCACTGATATAACAAACCTCCACACATAATAGTGACTGATTCAGGGCAGCCACTGTCCAAATAATTCCAAATATGTAACAAAGACAAGTATGACTTATTTGCAATTATTAAGATGACGCTAATCTCCATTCTTAATCATCATCAGCTCTGCATTGTACATTGACTTGTCAGCCAATCCCTGCCACTCTGTCACTTTCATTAATTACTGTGTGTGACATTTATAACTTTAATTGGTCATCCCCTTGGCCGTGTTTACCATCACATCAATAAGTCCAAGACAATATCATTGTCTCTTTATCTGTCCATTGTTGTCTTTAACTATGCACTAGTATATGTTTACATCCATAATGTTAGTCAGGCCATTAGTCTAACTGCTTGTGAAAGGTTGAGCTGGAACTCTGCTTACCTCATTAATGTTTCATTATCAGACAATGACTGTCCTAAATCTACTGCTATGACACATAACATCAACCTAATCCATTGAGCCATTTCAAAAAAGACATTGAAAATTAATAATTTTCTTGAAGAAAATGCTGACATTGCTGCAAAAGTGTGAAAACATTTATACATTTTTAGCATTTAATAAAGTACCAGTATATCCAAATTTAAATTTTGTTTGCACTTCGCAATATTTCAGCTATGTGACGGAGGTATGAATCGTGTCAGGAGCACATACCACCCGTGAAGGTCCGGGTTAGAATGAGCCTTCTTTAACCCATGCTTGTTGTAAGAGGCAACTAACGGGATCGGGTGGTCAGGCTCGCTGACTTGGTTGACACATGTCATCGCTTCCCAACTGCGCAGATCGATGCTCATGCTGTTGGTCACTGGATTGTCTGGTCCAGACTCAATTATTTACAGACCGCCGCCTAATAGCTGGAATATTGCTGAGTGCGGCGTAAAACTAAACTCACTCACTCACTCACTAAACAAGTGACTGACATCATGATCATCATTCTACACTGTGAGTTCACCGTGAAGATCCAGGTTAGAATTGGTGTTCAGCAACCCATGCTTGTTGTAAGAGGAGCCTAATAGGATCGGGTGGTCAGACTCATGTTGACTTTGTTGACATATCATCATATCCCAATTGTGCAGATCGATGCTCATGCTGTTGATCACTCTTTAACCGTGCACCCATTCCTGCCTTTTATGGCAAGAATGGGTTGCTAATGGTACATATTAGTAACTACTACTATTCTGATACATAAGGGCCACTGCATGTTATTAAAGACCTGGTCGGACTTTATGTTTCAAATATGTTTTGTGACTGGCCTTTGATGCATACCAGAACAATTGTGGGTCAAGCAAACATGTGATTGATAACACTAACACACATCCAAAGTATTACCTCCTAATGTATGACACGAAGTGATGGAAATATATTCAACTGTCAAAGAAAATAATATATAAAAATAAAGGTGACTAATTCAACATTAAAATTCAAGAATTATCCGATTTCAGATACTTTATTTTATTGATATATAAGGAAACACATATCCACTGACCTATAACGTGTTCCAAGATACTGAAGAAACATAAGATATCTTCCCATAGTTAAGCCAATTCATGTTCTAATACTTCTGTCGTGACTGATAAAATATTTGTATCAATAACAATCAGAAAACACGTGCATACTCCAAACATAAATGTGAGAGGAAGTTTATACTTTTCAGACATGCGCAGTCTTTACCGGATGTTCAAAATGGAGTCGGCTTCGTGACAGCGAGGCATTGCAACGTGGCCGGATGATTAAAACCCAGATAATTGCGTGGTGTTTTTCGATTTAGAACATTTGTGTGCATTTCCAGGATCATTGACATCAAGGTGCCCATTTCACGTTAAAGTAAGTTATATAGATTTGACAGTATCGTCAACAATACCTGCTTCCCGATGCGGCCGAGGACGAAAGAATTTGTAAAATGGCGGATATGTGTGGGATAGACTGAATAAAATAATGACAGTTGTTGTCTAGTGTGTAATTGTTGGTTAAGGTCTCAGGGTAGGAACATTTCTGTAGAATTATCATAATACGTTTAAGTTTCCAATTTACAAATGTCTATTCTGAGGCTGCTGTGTCACAGTGTGAGAAAAGGTTGTATGACATTCGATCAATGGTGATCATTCATAAGCATGATTTAGCTAATTGTTGTGTGAGACTGCACCAGATATCATATGAGATAGATCCATCTATGAAGTCGGTTGCAGTTTATCTCTTTAATATGTAGGTTTAGTTGAGTAAAAGTTGGACCTTCGGTTCCCTTCCCTGTAAACCATTCCAGGAATTAATTCAGACAATTATCAGTCAGTGGTGATCATACACCATAGCATGATTTAGCTAATTGTTGAGACTGCACCAGATATCATATGAGATAGACCCATCTATGAAGTGGGGTGCAGTCTATCTCTTCAATATGTAGGTTTAGTTGTGTAAAAGGTGGACCTTCAGTTCCCTTTCCTGTAAACCATTCCAGGAATTAATTCAGACATTTATAAGTCTACCCGGGACAACTAATATGTAGACATGTTTTACAATTGTTCATGTGATAATCAAGACAACAGTGGATGTTCTTATGTATCCCAATACCCACACCACAATGATAACACAATCATAAAGAATGAAACATCCCTTTCCGTTCCTTATGGTTAATTGTAAGTTAATGTCAGAGTTAACTCTCTCATTTTTTTTGACAAATTAATTTGATGTAATCCTAAGTAATTCTAAATATTTAAATCATCTATTAGGTTTTTGTGGATGAAAGTGGCACACTAAAATGGAAACATTTAAGTGGTAATCACCAGGAAAATGAACACTAATCAGTAGCGGCTGGTTTGTTGGTTTGTTATGAAATTTATTAAACTATCAGGTCAGGGAAAACCATTACATAATATGTCAGGGAAAGAATAATATCCTAAACGATGAATTATCTACACCCATACTTGTGTATAATAGAATCAATTTGGGATTCTTTTCAGTAACAAGCATTTGCACAATGCAGAAGTAGTATCATGAACATATATTCTTAGGCATTATATTTTGACTTGGTATGTTTGTAAAACATTCAGTTTTAACTGAATATTTTATCAATAACCGATGGGGAGAGGCAACTGCAGTAATCACTAATGCGCAAACATTTTTTCTAACTTATATGTTAAATTATAAGTGGTTGTCATGGTTATATACCAGTTAGGAAGAATACAATCTGAGGTATAATGCTTGGATTGGTGTATTATTCCTGATTTGATATTGACCTGCGTGGTAAATTGTAGTACTTTACAATATTGATGCATCAAAATTAGTGCAGTACATGACAGCATGATTATTTGTTTGTTCATTTCTTTCAGTTCTTTAGAACAGGATGTCAGCCATCATTGAAGAGCCCCAAACACAATCAAAGCCTAATGTTATAGCAAGAGCGTATAGACATTTTAGTGAGGTGAGATATATTTACATATTGCAAACTGCAGTGCAGATTTGCTGAAATGCAAGTTTTCATTTTCATCTTGAGCATTTTGTTATGAAATGGAGTTCTGTTTTGTTCATCTGGAGCAATGTGAATTAGTTTCATGATTTTGTGCTACAGACAATGGTCTATGGTAGTTTCTTTACAGAAACCTCCTCCATCACAATGCCTGTAGGCTGGTGGTCTCAGTGATAGTGTTTTGGGGTGACCAATTATCAGGGTTATTAAAGTCAGATTAAGTATTTAATGCTTTGAAAAATCATGTTTCAATTGTACATGGTCCAGTAGCAATACACTGGAGACACAATGAAATATCAAATATTCAAGAGTTTCCAGTTAAACATCAATATCATGTGCACTATTTATTAATTGTGTCAAAAGAAGTAATTTATTACTGGATGAATAGTAATCCTGTTGTCATTAACATTTCATTTCAGTTTTATGAGAGACAAGCTTAGTAAAAAAGGTTACCAATGTCCTGAAGGGATAAGCCAGTCATGTATGAAGTCACTCATTGCATAGTTTGATTCAGATATTGAAAAGGGGGCGGTGGGGTAGTCTAGTGGTTAAAGCGTTGGCTCATCGTGCCGAAGACCCGGGTTCGAATCCCCACATGGGTACAATGAGTGAAGCCCATTTCTGGTGTCCCCCGCCGTGATATTGCTGGAATATTGCTAAAAGCGGCGTAAAACCAAACTCAGTCAGTCAGTCAGATATTGAAAAGCATACTATCAAGCTCAGTGGAGAGAAATGGGACAGGCTTTGTTAGTTATTACCATATACGTCAAGTTCATGTTTATATGTTTCAAGTTCAAAGATTCATTTAAAGCGCTGTTATTGTTTGTACACTTCAATTCCAAAGGACACACTTATGTTACTGAATGTCATTAATACAATACTGTCTCCATGCTGCAGCGTCAACAGTACTGGTTAGATCGGGCCACACCCCACAACACAGGAAGATGGGTTTTTTCAGTTGTCCTGGCAGCCCTGTATCTACTCAGAGTCTATCTTCTCCAGGTAAGTACAGTCATTATTCCATGTGACACATGCATTGAGACCTGTGAAGCTCCGAGGTTAGAATTGGTCTCCAACAACCATGTTGTAACTGTAGGAGGCGACTGACATGAAATGGTGGTCAGATTTGCTGACTTCGTTGACACATGTCATCAAATCCCAGTTGTGTATATCAATGCTCATGCTATTGATCACTGGGCTGTCTGGTCCAGACTTGATTATTTACAGACCATATGGTTTGGAATATTGCTGGATGCAGCATTAAACAACAAACAAAAATGCACTGAAATTTCACATAGTGTGAGGTGTTGCTCATGATATCTGTCAATTGTTTGTCTGGTCCAAATTTTTAATTAATGGACTCATGATATGGCCTGACTGTTGCTGAGTGACAGTGTGCTATCCACAGTCACCTCTAATGTCTGTGGGGGCGGTGGGGTAGCCTAATGGTTAAAGCGTTGGCTCGTCGCCGAAGACCTGGGTTCGAATCCCCACATGGGCACAATGTGTGAAGCCCATTTCTGGTGTCCCCGCCGTGATGTTGCTGGAATATTGCTAAAAGCAGCGTAAAACCAAACTCAGTCAGTCAGTCTAATGTCTGTGACCTGTGAAGATCCGGGTAAGAATTGGTCTTCAGTAACCCATGCTTGTCCTAAGAGACGATTAACAGGATCAGATGGTCAGGCTTGCTGACATGGTTGAGAAATGTCATCGTACCCCATTTGTGTTGATCAGTACCCCTGATGCTGATCACTGGATGTCAGGTCCAGCCTCGATTATTTACAGACCACAGCCCAGGGCGTATGTACGGATAAAAAATATGCACGATACAGAAGGACATATTTTGGAAAAAGTAGCAGATACGCACCACAGCAATGGTGTACGGTCTTAGAATCATTTACAGTTGTATTTATCCGGAAAAAAGAATTGTTTTATTGTTCATTGTTACCTGTTTACACAAGAGTAGCAATGTTGTGTGTCCCCCGCCGTGATATAGCTGGAATATTGCTAAAAGCAGCATAAAACTAAAACTCACTCACTCACTCACTTTTCAAGAAAGACAGGACATGGGGTAGCCTTTTGGTTAAAGTGTTTGCTTGTCACGCCAAAGACCTGTATTCAATTCTCCACATGGGGACAATGTGTGAAGCCCATTTCTGGTGTCCCCCAACGTGGTATTGCTGGAATATTGCTAAAAGCAGCATAAAACTAAAACTCACTCACTCACTCACTTTTCAAGAAAGACAGGACATGGGGTAGCCTTTTGGTTAATGTGTTTGCTTGTCACGCCAAAGACCTGGATTCGATTCCCCACATGGGGACAATGTGTGAAGCCCATTTCTGGTGTCCCCTGCCGCCGTGGTATTGCTGGAATATTGCTAAAAGCAGCATAAAACTAAAACTCACTCACTAAAACATGCTTGTCATAGGACTGGAAAGGCTTTTTTGCACACACAATCCCTACTTGTCCAAACACCTGAACACCACATTTTATGATATTTTGTGGTTCAATACCCTGATCCCTCCAAACCAAAATATTAAAACAGGGCAGGATGGCTTTGAGTCAGTATACTGTTCCTAAGTGGGGTAACTGTAAATCTAATGCACAGTATCTCAGTGGGCATCACTGTAAAACAGGCATGATTCTAGATGGTTACAAGCAGCCTCAGACACAAGCATGCTTGTCGCTACATTATTGAACTAATCCTGGTTGTCAACCATTGCATGTTCTGCCTAGCACTATGTCAGACACTATTGTATGTTAGATAAAAATTAGATTTCTCATGTGGTTGTTAATTAATGTTGTTGTTTTATATTTTTTCAGGGCTGGTATATAGTAACATATGCACTCGGCATCTACCTGTTGAATCTATTTATAGCTTTCCTTACACCAAAAATAGATCCTGCTCTTTTAGATGACAATGGTAAGTAATCAACCAATATCTTCCTTGCTTGTATCTTAGTATCTTAGAGATTTAGTCTTCTTAGGGAATGAGTGAATGCAAATTCGCATAAGTACAGTCATGTTAACAAAGAATTGCTGTAAGCTGTTCACGCTCAGTCGCTTTGTGCAATCCTTCTAGCTTGGAGTGCATCCAAATACTGTTCATAGTGAACAGCTGGCTCAAACATTTGACCAAGAAAGATTCTAAAATTGTACTGCATATGACCCAAAGGAAGAGCACTAATTGGACCAGAGCCTTTTGCTAAAATTATATATATATATATATGTATGTATGTTTATTTCATCGCAGATGATGGTCCGTCATTGCCAACGAAAGCAAATGAAGAGTTTCGTCCTTTTATGAGAAGATTACCAGAATTTAAATTTTGGTGAGTATTATATTCTTCATTTGTTGTAAGCAGTAGTCAGAAATTGCTGATTGCTTGGGTTCAGTCTTACACTTTGCCATGGTTTAGCTGAAGACATTGCAAGAGTTAAGCTCTGCAAATTTGCCAAGGTTTAGCTCTACAAATTTGCCAGGGTTTAGCTCTACAAATTTGCCATGGTTTAGCTCTACAAATTCCCAGGCTCTACCCTTATGCATTCTTATACATGTTGCCAGAGTTGTTCCTCACTCATTAACAGGTTTACTGTTTTGTCTTACCGGGGTTAGCTCTTCACATAGCCAGTGGGGTTATTGTTCATTTGTTCTTTTCTGTGATAAAGACTATTAGTTGTTGTTTGTAAGATATGCCTTATCCATTTCACATTTATCATTTCAGGTACTCTGCTTCCAAGGCCATAGTGGTGGCAATGATATGTACATTTTTTGATGCACTTAACATCCCTGTATTCTGGCCCATCCTCGTCATGTATTTCATCATTCTGTTCACCATTACCATGAAAAGGCAGATAAAAGTAAGTATAGGTCTCTTCAATATGAAGAATGAAAATCATCTGGTCAATGTCAGGATCCTGATGGGGCAGTGGAGTAGCCAAGTGTTCAGTTGCTCGGGTTCAGTTCCCCACATGGGTACAATGTGTGAAGCCCATTTCTGGTGTCCCCCATCCTGATATTGCAGAAATATTGCTGAAAGCGGCGTAAAACTATACTCACTCATTCACATTTTTGTTGACCCGTGAAGGTCCTGGTTAGAATGAATTTTCAGTAACCCATGCTTGTCGTAAGAGGCGACTAACGGAATCGGGTGGTCAGGCTTGCTGGCTTGGTTGACACCTTTCACCGGGTCTCAATTGCGCAGATAGATGCTCATGCTGTTGATCACTGGATTGTATGGTCCAGACTTGATTATTTACAGACCACCGCCATATAGCTGGAATATTGCTGAGTGCAGCTAAACTCACTCACTCACATTTTTGTTAGGATTTTTTTTCTATATATTTTACCGAATTTGAGGCAAAAATCCTTTCTGGACATTATTGGTTAAATGTCACTCAGAATTTAGATATGCTAAATGGATTGGAATTATAAATACATGAGAATTTAGATATGCTAAATGGATTGGAATACTATATACATGAGAATTTAGATACACTAAATGGGTTGGAATTATAAATACATGAGAATTTAGATATGCTAAATGGATTGGAATTATAAATACATTGTATGGCTTTCCATCTGTATACCTTGTTTACTTTCAACTTTATTTCCTCTTTCTTTTCAGCATATGATAAAATATAGGTATCTGCCATTCAGCCATGGAAAAGCAAAATACAAGGGCAAGGAAGATTCTGGCAAAGTTGTCTCCAATTAAATACACCAGACAATACAGGGAAGGACATCGTTGGGTCATCACCCCATCGACTGTAGAGACCATCGGTGCCATGATCTGTTCCAACAAATGTGTACAGAACTTTTAACTGTTGTCATAGTCAAATGAATTTGATGTCCTGGATGTTCTCATGAGGAGAGTTTGAAAGTTGTACATAGAGCTTGTGAGTTATCTCCCCAGGGTACGTTGTAGTTACCCCCACTGTTCATGTTATGGTTGGACAATGTACAAGGTTAAAGTCCTTGTGATTTGTTTGCTTTTAGAATGGAAAAGTACAAAAATAAATATCAGGTTCAACAATGGCTGTTTCTGTTTTGAAAATTTTAAAAAAATATACTTGATCAATCACCTTGCAGTGTTTTTTGTTCTATTCTTACACAATCACCATGTAAAGTTTTACTTTAAGGATTACGCTCAAGTTTGCTATTTTGTTTCTTGAAATGTTGATATACCCGTACAAGCTTGTTTTTGACAGAATATGTTGCAATTTAGTACAGGGACATGTACCCTGTAATGAAAATCAGGTAACTTCTCAATCAGTGTGATTGGTGTGTTATTCATGATGTAACAAATCTATGATGCCATTTGTGTCATGATACAGATCAGTCTTGTGCTACGATCGTTGATCCAATAAATATGTCTTCTTTTATAACATTCATAGCATATGGAGGAGCAACTCTAATGAGAAATATCCACTTGATATATAAAACAATCATTCTTTAAGCATCTGTTTTTAAAATAGATGAGCAGATATATTTGGGATGCTATTAGTGTGAAAAAGCTTCAATATTGGCTCAGTACATTGTATATAGTCCTATTTATGTCAGGTTGTTTGATGCTCAAATGTAGATAAAAAATTAAACATTTTCAGATGTAATTGTCATTTGATCTTTTAATGGGAAGAAGTAATGCAACAGTAATAACCAGAGTTTCTGTAAGTCTTATGAACAATGAATGGTAACATGCTCTGTTGATGAACTGAGGGAAGGCAAACTGTATGTAGTGTGTATCTGAACATTTTCATGTATGTTTTGTAAATGGATGTACAAATGGGACTGCTCTGTATCGTTGACCATTGGTTCATCCTACCATGTGATGTGGTGAATCCACAAAATATCCATCCTTTATACCACTAGTAATCAGAAATAATGAGTATGTAGTTTAAGATCTTGAGAATCAAGGGAATGTATCCCCGAGTTTGTGAAGGTTTAGTAAAAATACATGCCCCAAAGGATGTCAAATTTCACCCAATTCCCTTTTCAAAATATTTCCAGCCACGAGCATGAATGGTGATTGTCCTGTTTTTCATCCTACTTTGCTGTGAAATTACCACAAACCATCACATTAACCAGAGATAACACTGTATAGACACAAGCACTGAGAGAGCTGATCCAGTTTGAACATTCACATTGATGTAGGTCCGTGGCTTGCTGTTATATAATAACCATCCAAGTACGAGGACAGCAAGTGTGCAGTAATCTCTCCAGGATTTACCTCGCATTCCATACTAAGTGCCCTTGGCAGGCAAATTAGGATATAAATGTTATTTTGTTCAAAGTGGGATTATTTTTAACATTTATATTTTCTTATATTCAGAATACTTTACTATTGCTTTCTGTGTAGTAGTATGAAGCTTAAGAACCTTTTCCAAAGGTCCTCTTATCAGTGAAATACCAGTGTCTGCAAAAGTGTAAGCTGCCCGAGGAAATGTATTTGTCCGAAGTATACTCTGCTAATTAGAACTGCAAGTATAAAGATAAGCTGTATCCAAGAAAAATGTTTCAACAATTCTCATTTCATCATGATGCATCATTAACTACAGAGTTATGTGATGCATGAAAAATCTAAATTTGTCTTCATACAGGTCCATATTCTATAAAGGAGCTATATTCTGTCAATAAGCAGCATATTTTTGTCTTAAATCACATATTCTGAAGCTAATTGTCCAAAATACTGATTCTTCAGTAAAGGGTGAAAAGGACATGTCACTTTTTATTCAGTGTGTCAGTGATTTTATTGCCAAATTCTTTTTCATGTTATCTTTGAACTGACATGTTTGATGAATGGTTTTGTATCAAAGACCATCAGTGTGTTTCCAGTTGAATAATATAAAGTGTTTCTCCCTTGTAGATCAGAGAAAAATGATACCAGGAGACATTTTTTCTTTTGTGCAGCCTCACTAGATTCACTAGGTTCCAGTTCTTGATAAAAAAAGTAGAAAGCTTAGTAATATATACACATATGTATGTCTAGTCAAGAAACTGATTTTATAGTAAAGTTTAATTTTGATTTTAATTTTTAATGTAATTTTCGCTTCATAGAAAATGTGAATGTATCCTCTTTCACAATATATGTAGATAGATATTGGTAATATCGGCAATAGAAATTAGCCTGGAATGTCTTGTTGGCACAGACTAGCATGTTAGTAATACCTTCTATTCCTGGAATAGATACACGTTTCTTTGAGTAGATGTACGTTTCTAGTTGCTGCTCACCCATAACCGGTTTTTAGGTTGATGTTTAGATAACCAGATCTGATATTTTGGTGAAATATCGAGACCATTGTAATGGGAGATGAGAATCCCAGCTGTTTGATTGTATGTGTGTAGGTACACCACGGAGGCCATGCTTTCAAATGTCTCAGATCTGCCATCAAACTATGCATCATCACTGTTTCCTGCAGAAAGAAAATATACTACACATAAGAAGTTAAGGAACAAGACGTTAACTCTGGTTTTAAAGAATCAGATGTTCTTAACTTCCTTTGAGCGAAATGTTTTCAGAGATACTGTTCAGATTAAAATGTTTAGATTTGTGTGTTCTAGGATACCATTTGAAGAGTCAGTAAATGTTGATTGTTTAGTGGAATGTTTAGGGATTATGTAATGTAGTGTTACTATACATGATGATCTGGTGAAAAAGTACAATATTCATGGATATTGTCTTGTATTTATGTTCAATAAATGTAAGAAATTTGAGATGATTCAGGAAATACAGTATTTACATCAAAAATATTATTTTGGGTGAACAAGTCATTAACAAGTGGTAACAGGCTTGCGTGTGACAGACGATGACTGAGCCATATGTGTGATCGTATGGTTCCTGCCTCATGTACAGAGATGAATGCCATAACACATGTACATAAACATCACTAATATCAGATTATAAAATATTGATATCTGATTCTCTTTGTTTGTTTGTTCTTGATGGACCAGGACAGTGGAGTGGCCTAGTGGTTAAAACGTTCGCTCGTACCGCTGAAGAGTCGAGTTCAGTTCCTCACATGGGCATGTGTGAAGCCCATTTCTGGTATCCCCCATCATATTGCTGGAATAATGGAGTGAAGGACAGATCTGCATCACTTAAGTCTGTCCTCGGTGGGGGCAGTAGGGTAGCCTCGTGGATAACACGTTTGCTTGACACGCCAAAGACACTGGTTTGATTCCCCACATGGGTACCATGCGTGATGTCCATATCTGGTGTCCCCCACCATGATATTGCTGGAATAATGGAGTGAAGGACAGATCTGCATCACGTAAGTCTGTCCTCGTTTGGGGCAGTAGGGTAGCCTCGTGGATAACACATTTGCTTGACACGCCAAAGACACTGGTTTGATTCCCCACATAGGTACCATGCTGGAATATTGCTAAAAGCGGCGTAAAACCATACTCATTCAGTCTGTCTGTCCTCCCATATCACGGTGACTGGAATACTGTTCACAGCAGCCACAAACCCTACTCATTTACCTTTGACAGTTCTCACAGGTCAAGAAATTATGAAAGTCCCTTTGGACAAACAGGGTCTACATAATATAAGAAATGTAAAATACTTTTTATTTATCAAATGTATTTGCAATAAGTGCCCTTCTCCAGAGAGTAGGTTTAGTTGTAAACTGCACTCAGCAGTATTCCAGCTGTAAATAATTGAATCTGGTCCAGACAATCCAGTGATCAACCGCATGAGCATTGATCTATGCAATTGGGAACCAATGACATGTGTCAACCAAGTCAGCAGTCCTGACCACCCGATCCCATTTGTTACCTCTTACGACAAGCATGGGTGGCTGAAGACCAATTCTAACCCGGATCTCCACTGGTACCTTCTCTAGCAAGTGCCCCCAGACAACTTTTGGACCAAACTGCAATTAATTTTTTCAGCATGCCTTGCTAATACCAACAATCCATTTGTGCTTGGGGAGAAATTACAGGCATAATTGCAAAAAGAAGTAGTGTGGACATAGTAGAAAGGGCATGTAATTCTCCTGGAAGTACGATTTGTTTTCATTTGAAATAATTTCACTTCTAACAGATCCCTAAGAACAAAATAAGTCTACCATAATTTGGAGTGTGACCATGACCCTACAAAGGTCACCTTGAAGTTGATGAGATTAAGAACCCACGGGGGGAGTATAAGGGGCTGCAATTCATTGTGCAAAGTTTTATCCCTTTGGCAAGCCAGAAACCTATGATTCTGAGTTCAAATCCAGTTTCACGCTAGCAATGTTTTTTGGTTTGTTTGCACCATATCCCATACTCATTGGTTTTCTTTCCAGATCCATGATACAAATGTTCATTGCACTTCATATGCTTATGTAAAGCAGGGTGCAATTTAGCCACAAACAGGTTGCACCTTTGCAAGTTAATTTTAGCTGGTGCAAGTAACATTTACCACCAGGTTGCATCCAGTGCAAGTAACTTAAAGCTTCAAAACATAGTAAATCATCATAGCAACAGTGTTAATAATGAAACTAAGCTGTTCATTATTTGATTAAACCTTTTTAAAGCTGAATTATGTTTTTTCTCTCATTGAAAGTTTCATTATGATAAAAGGAATTGAAATAATCTGTTGCACAGTGCATTAGTAACTTTTTAGCACTTTTAGATTTGGTAAGATATCTGTTTTCTTAGATGTTTTTGGGGGTGCAACCAATATTTTGAAAGTACAACCCAAAGTTTGCAATCTCTTCAAGGCAAGCTAAATGACACCCTGAGTAGTATACGGGACCAGGTCCCATAGCCCCATTGTGTATACTACTCCCTGTAAAGTGCATGTGTCATGATCAAACAACACAGGCAACATGATTCTCTTCCAAAGATGCTTTCCTTCAAATACATGTACTTATTATGACAAGACTGCATCGTTGATTCCAACCTGCTAAGTTCATATACTCATGGAAACAAATAAGGGAACACATGAAAGTACAAGTGTTCCTTTATTTCTTGATTTTTCACCAACAGTGCAATAGATACCTTGAGAAGAAACCCTGGAAAAGAATACAGGAACACTTATACTTTCATGTGTTCCCTTATTTGTTTCCATGAGTATATATAAAAGCATAGATATTTGAAGGTCGTGTTTCAGTTTTTGCAGAATTACAATTCATGTGTATTTTGGCAGAGTTGTCAGTGCAGTATATTTGAAAATGTAGACTGACATGGAAAACACTGTTGCTCCGTGTAAAGTCAAAATATAAATTGTTTATAGGGAGCAAAACAGAGAGATGGTTACCACAGCTAAATACATACCTTAACTTGCACCCATAATCACTGCCTATTAATATTATGCTGATTCGATATTGTACGCATATTTTAGCTGGTACCCATGCTTGTCATTAGAGGTGAGTAACGGCATCTGGTGGTCAGGCTCGCTGACTTAGTTGACATGTCATTGTATCCCAATTGCGCAGATCAATGCTCATGCTATTGACCACTAGATTGTCTGGTCCAGACTCGATTACTTACTTACCACCATGAAATAACTTGCTTGACAACGACATTAGAATCTATGTCAAAATGTCGCCTATACAGAATAAAGAAGTTGTATATCCATAAAAATAGTCCTCATTCTTCACCATGATATAGCTTGAATACTGTAGTGAGTGAGTGAGTGAGTTGGGTTTTACGCCGCTTTTAGCAATATTCTAGCAATATCACGGCGGGGGACACCATAAATGGGCTTCACACATTGTGCCCATGTGGGGATTCGAACCCGGATCGTCAGCGTGACGAGCCGACGCTTTACCCATTAGGCTACCCCACCGCCCCTTGAATACTGTAGAGTAGCATTCAACAACAAACAAAACAAATGGTACCCACACATAGCATGGCTTTCCTTTCCTGCTGTGTGATGACAGTCTGTAAATAATTTCATTTCGGACCAGATAAACATTGATTGACATGAACAGCTCACATCACCAACAGACCCGTGAAGGTCCGTGTTAGCATATTGATCTTCAGTGGTGGTGGTGGAATTGGGTTTAACGTCGTGTTTGAGAATATTTCGCTCATATGGCGACGTGCATGCGTGTGTATGTGTATGTGCGGCTGCTTGTACTAGCACAGACTGAAGCTGGTTTTATAGTGCTAGCCCACTGAGATACCATGCCGCAGTGAAGCATGAATACCCCACTCAGACACATTATACTGACCCCGAGCCGACCAGTCCTTGTTGTACCCATTAATGCCGGGCGCCAGGCAGGGACCAACAAGTACCATATTTTAATGTCTTTTGGTATGACGCAGTCGGGGATCGAACCCGCGACCTTCCGCACTCCGGGCGGACGCTCTAACCACTACACCACGGAGGCGGTCTGATCTTCAGTAACCCATGCTTGTAAGAACCAACTAACAGGATCGGGTGGTCAGGCTCGCTGACTTGGTTGACATACATGTCATCAGTTCCCAATTGCGCAGATCAATGCTCATGCTGTTGATAAATGGATTGTCTGGTCCAGACTCGATTATTTACAGACCACTGCAATATAGCTGAAATACTGCTGAGTGCTGGCATAAAACTAAACTCACTCACTCACATCACCAACACTACCCAGCCTGCACTTCCCATCAACAGTGTCAGACCCCACCACACAGACAACAACACAACCTGGAAAATAGATGAGGCATTTACTTCATTTAACATAAATTCTATAAACATTTCATTAAAACCAGTTTGTCACTCACAATGCAAATTTATTATCCCTTCCCATGGGTCATGATCAGCTTTCATGTTTTAGCCACAGATACTTCATCAAAAAGCTTAACACATTTCAGAAATTACACTTGGAACACATGGCACAAATAATTCAACCATGATCATTTCATTTCACATAACAGTCGAACCGTGACATTGCCACTACATATGACTGATCATAATTGAATTTCCATTACCATGGTTACAGACAATTAGATAACCATTGTAACAAATAAATCATCCCCTCTGTTCATGGGTTTCAGACTGTAACAATGTCAGCACCCACACATAAAGTAATAACAAAACCTGTATCATACATTTCACGATTTCACATTTTGGACCTACTGGCTCTCATTCTTGTTTTAGTATTTTAACATTTTACTAGATAGTCCACTTAATTTCCTCAATCAGCTTACAGTTAGGAAAAGGCTGTTTGGTACAAAACCTAATATTAATTATTTTTTTCGCATTTCACATTCAAATACTTTTCAAAAGAAGCTACATGTCATTACAGTATAACTATATGAATACAAGAGAATATTTAGCTTTTGAATAGTATACATGCATTTCTACATATCAGTTACCTTTCTGCAATAGCCATGGTGCAATACAGACAACTTAATATAACACTGAAAATAATTTTTGACTGTTTAAATCATCAACTGTTGTTTCATATGCATATTTTTTAATTTATTTAAATACATGTCGGTTGTTAATGCCACACTGTACGATGGCATTTGGTCCATCATAGAGAGACTCGTAAAGGCAAATATATACAACATTAAAACTCCATTTTCCACCAGGTTTTAGTCTCTGATCGGTTGAATCAAAATATGAGGAAACCGTTGCTTAGTTTCATCAGTAAACATCATACGTTGCTATGTTACCTTCCAACTCCTAAATGCCCATCAAGCATAAAAAAGAGCCCTAAACCTACATAAGTATTCTTGGACACAAATTAGATTTGTTCATACCAAAATCTCTGAGGTATTTATCATTGAATTCTTCAGTGTCTATATCAGTACAAGATGTGGTTACAGTAGCTTACAGTAACCGCATCTAAATTTCTAATTATGCTCACTGATTTAAATATTTAACAAGACATTTTTATTCAAATATATGCCAATATGTGTTTTAATTACTTTCCTTTCATATGAATACTTCAATTTTTTCTTGTCAAGGATTCTCAATCAAAACAAAAGCATGGTGTACTTAAACAAGATGGCAACAAGGCTAGTTCATGGTTTACACAGTACCTCAATTCAAATTTTAATTTTATTAAATAACACATGTTCTGCTCAAAAGAATATTAAATAACATTTCATATGACAACAGTTAATCTTAATAGTAACACAGAAAATTAAAGTTATAATACAAATGAACTGAATGTTTTTGATTGATAGATTAACTTTGGTAAATATGAATCAGGGTTTTTTCAACTTCTCCCAAAAGAGTAACGATAGGACTATGAAAGAATCAGGTATACTATATATTTTAGGAGGTAAGTGAAGAAAATATTTGATAGATATATAGCTTCTGGAACTATTTACACAAATTAGAAATATACAGGTGCTGTTAACTCTAAACCTCGAAGCCATCAGTAGTTATATACAGAAAAGCTGATATAATTATCACATGTGTTCTAAATTCTAAAATGTAACATTGATTAGTAATATATACTCAGGAGCTCATTCTTTAGCATTTTAGCATGCAGCCAGAAGCACATCTCTTACTATAATAAATAAATTTTCTGCATTTCGAAGTTTTCACATGGAAATAACTGAAATCTTTCAGAAAGAAATCAATATTTACATTCAAACAAACAAAAACTCTTTCGAGGAAGGTAGACAAATCATGTCTCATATAATGCTTTGTTTATGATAAATACTACTGTTTCCTTATTGTTTTGGCAAAGGGAACTCCCTTTTCTTCAGCCATACTTGGGCATGGGGAGGAGGGGAGGGTACAGACACATGACCCTTAATTTCAGATCAGTCGGTAAAAGAATATAATACTTGAAATTTCACAAATATTTTTCACATTTTTGCTTAGGATTCATCATAAATTGTTTTTTCCGTCAGTATATAAGATTCATTTTAAACAGGGACCATGACAGAATGTGAGTCTTTCGGGTAAGCAGAATAAATAAAAGAATCCTTTTCATTTTTTTCACATTTTTATATTTCAGTGTTTGCAGACTATTAAACAAGTTGTATAAAATGTCTATCCCTGCCAGAGATAATGAATTCTAAAGAGAAACAGGATACAAGGACTCCTATAATCTATATTCTTTTTCACCTTACAGAGAAATTAGTATGTGTTTCTGTAGAGAACCTCTACCTATTGGCTGTTACAGACTTTGCTAAGATTTAGTGGGCTATTGTCATGTGACACAATGTACAATACAAAGCACAACCCATGAAGATATCACCTGTGTTTTGGGGGGATTTTGACAATCATTGTACATCTCTCATGGTACATAACGCATCATGACAATCATGGTACACAATGTATCACACCCTTAATGGTAGATAACACATCATGACAATCATGGTACACAATGTATCACACCCTTAATGGTAGATAACACATCATGACAATCATGGTACACAATGTATCACACCCTTAATGGTACAGAACACATCATGACAATCATGGTACACAATGTATCACACCCTTAATGGTAGATAACACATCATGACAATCATGGTACACAATGTATCACATCCTTTATGGTACATAACACATGACAATCATGGTACACAATGTATCACATCCTTTATGGTACATAACACATCATGACAATCATGGTACACAATGTATTACACCCTTTATGGTACATAATGATTCATGACAATCATGGTACACAATGTATCACACCCATTATGGTAGACAATGCATCACATTATTCTTGGTACCCAGTGCATCATGACAACCATGGTACACAATGCATCATGACAATCAAGATACAATGCATCACCATAATCAAGGTACATGTACACAGTGTACCACACCCTTTATGCTACACAATGCATCATAACAAACATGCTACATATCACATATACATTTAGTATCTGGTACTTTCATAAGGATATTACCTTTATTCCATGTCCAAACATTAATTATAATGTGGAACTTTTGGCCAAGAAATGTTCCCAAGAGATAAACTTTTACAGAATTAAGCATTTTAGTATGTATTAAATATAACAATTACAAAAATAATACAAAGGATAAATGTATGATGAAGGCCCTTTCGGTGCTCTAGAAATGCAAAACTTCAGAATTATGGAGAAATCTTCAACATGTTGAAGAAACTGCTGGTTGAGTCCTTTCAAGCTTGGGGGATTAATGTTCTACGTCGTAATATCAGACTCAGGGCATCATCTGTGTTACATCTATCCAAGTAGTTTTTGTGAAAAGAGTATTTTAATACTTCAAGAGCAAGATTTCTAGGTATATGGACCTTAATGTCAACCAAGGATTTTCTTGTTGCCCATTACATTTCTTACAAGCTGCAAGCAGTATATTCTTTTGTTAAAACATAGTTCATGTAAATCAGACAACTGGTAACATGATAGACAAAGTGCCTCAATCAGATCTTTGATTAAAACAGAATTCTTAACAATGCAAAGCCCCTTTACCCAGTGACCGTGTACATATGTACCAATATCATCATGATCGAATACATTTTTTAAATTAACAGCTCGTCTCAACAAGCACAGACTTACATTCAACAAGGCGCTGAATAATTATATATATGTTCCTGGAACAGTAAAAGATTCCTTCTATGTGAACTGCAAAAGTCTTTCTCAATCTCATTGTAGGGTATGTTATATTTGGGATTACACTTTCTTAGTAAAGTACAGATTCTAGTACTTTTTGGGTTGAGTCCCATCCGGGATTCAAACCCACACCTTCAGAGTCAGGCACCTAATCGCTAGCACACAATGTCAGACGCCTAGACCGCTCAGCCACTGCGTGGACTTTGTGTACCCCTCTGATAAGTGTTAATTGGCACGGCTCCCACGGCCGAAAGCTATGAAAAGTACTAGAATCTCTACTATACCAAGAAAGTGTAATCCCAAATATAACATATGTTACATTTGACCACTTTCTAAAAATGGCATTGTGTATTTCATAGTTTTCGGCCTTTGGAGCCGTGCCAATTAACACTTATCAGAGGGGTACACAAAGTCCGCAGTCTAGACTACCAGTTGTCCGACTTCCATTTTTATGTGGAAGCCGCAGTGGCTGAGCGGTCTACGCGTCTGACTTTGTGTGCTGGCGATTAGGTGCCTGACTCTGAAGGTGTGGGATCGAATTCCGGATGGGACTCAACCCAACAAAGTACTAGAATCTGTATGTTACTCAGAAAGTGTAATCCCAAATAAACCATGTTACATTTGACCACTTTCTAAAAATGGCATTGTCTATCTCATTGTAGGGCTCAATCATGCTTCCTCAATACTTGTTCATTTACAGAAAGAAATTAGTTGTAAATGATAAATTCCTTGTACACACTGATATCAAGAGCCTTTTTACTGTTTGTGTTGGCTTGTTTGCAGAGATGTATTGTATTGGGAGTAAAAATACTATCTCAATGCTAAAGAGATGCTTCAGAGAGTAAAGATTTGTTGTTAATATCTTAATGTCTACTGATAAAAATACATGACATTAAACTTTATTTTATTTTGCTATAGCTAGTGAACAGAACATCCACATAAGGTCTTTTCACAATTAATGCAGAATAGAAGTCCCTCTGGACTGAAATCTTAAAATAATTCACAAAGCTAAAACTGTAACATTTTCAAATAGATTGTTGTTCTTGAATATCCACAATAAAATGATTTTAAAAAATAAAACTCAAGCACCAATTGGACAAAAAGTAAAGATTCCAACAATTTGAATCTATTGCTTTCACGATTAAAATCACATGCATTCAATGAATGTTTGGTCATTTTTTTTTCACCACTGCCTCTTCTCCAAGCTTCAGGCGAGCAAAAGCAAGCAGACACCAAGCTGACCTTGACCACTTCATTTGAAGGTCATGCAGATTTATCCAGTAAGGAGCAGGGAGTGCTTCTTTTCTGTATGACGGTCAGTGCCGATCATTTTGCATGACTTTGGGGACTGAAGTCACATTGTTCCAGCAGTCAGAACCAGACGTGGACTGTTTGGGGATTTGGGAAATCTATTACCATAACATGATCCAGTCAACCGTAAGGGAGAGAGGGAGAATGACAAGTAGCTGCTCTTAAATGTTTGCTTTCATATCATTCAGCCTACATTCATTGATAATAAAATAAACATTCATAAAATATCTATCATATTAGTGATTTTTCAGATTGGGTATTAAAATCATTATTCATCTCCCTTGAAGTCTGGACCTGATATGTTATGCACTGGTATCTAGTTCAAATGACTGCTGTTGGTTGGAGTTGACAAAATCTCTCTTAAGACGTTATCTTTCAAGATTGAATCCAGGGGTGCCATCAGGTCCTTTCGGCTGACGAGACACGGCATTGTCGGCTGGGGATACCTCAAACTTTTGGACCAATCCAGCAGGTCTGTAAATGAAAAGACATTTCCAAATATGCTTTCATATTCACATGGAAAAAACAGGTTTCAAATTTAGATCAATTATAGAGTATATTGAGTGAGTGAGTTAGGTTTTACGCCACCTTTAGCAATGTTCCATCAATACCACGGCTGGGGATACCAGAAATGGGCTTCACACATTGTACCCATGTGAGAAATCGAACACAGGTCGAGTATATTGAACACTGTGGGGATTACAATAGGTCGCCTGCAACCTATTCTGGCCATAAGAAGCAACCTTATGGTTGTTGTTTTTTGTTTTACTCCGCACTCAGCAATAGTCCAGTTATATGTCAAAAGTCTGTAAATAATTGAGACTGGACAAGACAATCCAGTGATCAACAGCATGAGCATCGACCTACGGAATCGGGATATGATGACATGTGTCAACCATGTCAGCAAGCCTGAACACTCGATCCCGTTAGTCGCCTTTTACAACAAGTCTGGGTAATTGAAGACCAATTGTAACCCAGATGGCGAACTTATGGATCAGACTGAAGCTGGTATTGAATTTGTCAGTTGTACTTGATCGCTATATGTTCCTCAAATTTGTCCATTTTCCAAATTTCCTAGACCCATGCTTGTATCATAACTTAACAATCAGCTCAAATGACTCAAAGCTCTTATGGATAAACCTCTATGACATTATGTAGTGGCCACAACAAAAGACTTCATCATCACACATTTCTTTTTTGAGAAACTTGTAACTTATCAATGAGCCCTCTTATACATGCTAAATTCCTTGTCCAGAATAATGTCTAGACCCTTTGGTTCTTGTGTTTGTATATTTGTTTCTTGCTTAATGCTGCACTCGGCAGTATTCCAGCCATATGGCAGCAGTCTGTCAATAATAGCGTCCAGATCAGACAATCCAGTCATCAATTATGAGCATCGGTCTATGCAGTTGGGATACGATGACATGTTAGTCAACTCTTACGACAAGCATGGATTGCTGAAGACCAATTCTAACCCACTTCTTCACGGGTAATGTTTTGTAAATAATTATGTCTGGACCAGACAGTCCACTAACTTACACCAAGAACATCATTCCAAATGATTGGGATAGAATAACATGTAGTCAAACAAATCACCAAGTCTGACCACCCAATCCACATCGTCAGGTGATAACAAGCATAATTTGCTGGTCCTAACACGTCAAGGAGTAAGATGATACATCAGTACACAAGTTGTGCATGCTTCATGGTGATATGTCAGACAAGCATGAATACCTCTCATCTCCCCTGTCCTGCCTCCACGTCATTAGCTGATGGTTCTTCCAAACTTCCAAAGATCCTCAGTCTCGCTTGGGCATATTCAGCTTCACGCTGTTCCAGAGTTTTCATTGGTTTGGCTGCCTGATTGCTGAAAACAAAGTGGCTGGTTTACCAGCTGCTCACACAAGAGAAGGGTATGACCGAAACGATGGGACAGACTAACAGTAAGGCCCAAACTGAAGTCAGGTATATGGCCTTCTTTTTCAGCTTGTTTTACAGATTTGTCCCTGAACAATTCAACGGGAAAACACACACATAAAAACATGAAACCTGACATGACAAGGCAAGGTACATGGATGTAAGCTAGTAGCTCTCACTGTCATCACTGAACTGTCATATAATTGATGTTAAATCAATGCAGAGGTGGCACATTTGGATGGCCAAGTCATCACATCACTGTGTTACTAATCCAGTAAATATAGATAGTCCAGTCAGGCTTGCGGGTTCAACTGACTCATTACAGCCCATACATTAACATTAAAAGCTGTCATACATTTTGTACACAGAACAGTATGGTCTGGTTATCTCCTATTACAGGCTACTACAATAACATGATTGAGCAAATCAGTGCTCAAACAGTAATACATGCTATTGGTGCATGTTGACACACATAAACTGCTCCCCGACCGCGTCATACCAAAAGACTCCAAAATATGGTACTTGTTGGTCCCTGCCTGGCGCTCGGCATAAATGGGTACAACAAGGACTGGTCGGCTCGGAGTCAGTATAATGTGTCTGAGTGGGGTATTCATGCTTCACTGCGGCATGGTATCTCAGTGGTCCAGCACTATAAAACCAGCTTCAGTCTGGGCTAGTACAAGCAGCCGCACATACACATGCATGGAAGTCATATGTGCAAAATATTCTCACGCACGACGTTAAACCCAATTTCACCTCACCTCACATAAACTGCTAGAACCTCATAACTCAACTTTGCAAGCAAAGGAGCTAGGTGAGGTGAAATGAAATGGGGTGTAAAACCGTGTAACATCACAATTTGGCACTTATGAAGCAGCTTGCAAGACATGTTGTACTAACATGCTTGTACTAATCAGTTTTATAATACTAGCCTACAGATGAACTGTTTGACTGGCATTTTAGAAGTTGATGAATAAGGTATGATACTTTATGGACAACAACTTCTTTATTATATTATGATGCGACGTTTCATTAAAGATTCTTTTACCGTTGTCAATCAAGACACACTGTTATCCATAAAGTATCATACCTTTCTCAGCCTACAGATATACCATGCTGCAGCTCATGATGGCAGGTGCTCTGACCACTAGACCATCAAGTACTGGTTACTTTGAGGGAAACATATAACAAAACTCATGTACCTGTTAGTTGCATTCACAGTTTTGGGAGACACAGTGTCCCTCTTCAGTATTCGGACTTGAGGCTGGTACTCGGTTCTAGCTGTGTCTTCTCTCATGCCAGCTGCCAAAACTGAGGCACTGAATTTCAGAAACACAGGGAAAAAAATTGTCAATGCTTTTACTAAAAGAATGGTCTTTTATATGGACTAGAGCTTAAAGATTGATTGAATAATATGCACTGAAAGCTTGCATGAAATATAACATTCATAAACATCCCGGATTTTACACTTCAGGTACTTAGAAGTACTTAACTTAACCTTAAAAATTCTATTTCATCCACCATGTGCCCCATTTTGAACAGAAATAAGAACATGTATATCCAAGAGTGTATTCAGTCTACAATTTTTTATCAGCATCTGAGAATCAGACACACAGTCCTCAACTACTATGGGAGTTCCCTCTTCTGCTGATTGGTCTAGTATCAACTATCTTTGCGAAACAAATCACAACTGGTTTATCTAGGATTGTCTTGCCTGGAAAATTGAGAAAATTCACTATGTTATACAAATTGGCATTTTTGTAATTGCTCTTAATTTTTCAGATTTATCAGCGTTTAAGCATTACATTTTAACTTTGCATTCAAAGGAATACTGTTAAACTAAAGAGTGAAAGACTGTTTCTTTAACATGGTCCTTATACCAGTGAAACATAAGTCACCTCCAAACATGCTGAAAGGCAATAACCATTACTAATAACTAATTAGTACATGATCACAGAGGGGTACACAAAGTCCGGGGTCTAGACTACCATTTTTTTTGTGAAAGCAGCGGTGGCTCAGTGGGTAAGGTGGCTGACTTTGTGTGCTGGCGATTAGGTGCCTGGATCAGGGTGTGGGTTTGAATCCCGGATGGGACTCTACCCAACAAAAGAACTAGAATCTGTATTTTACTGAGAGAGCATAATCCCAGATATAACATATGTTACCAAATTCTTAAAAAGAAATTTATAAAACTTGCTTTACTCTCATGAAGCTTTAGGAGACATTATCATTGCTTTATAATAATTATAATAAATATCACTGACATCTTTTGACCAAAGAAAATACATGATGTTTGTTGAGATTCTTGAGAGGCATACAGAAGTTGGTGTTCAAGTATAAGACAAAATATTATGGATGTCAACTTCTTTTTATTGCATGCACAACGTTTCTGGGCTTTTCCTTGTCCCTTCATCATCCACCTGATGAAGAGGCAAGGAAAAGCCCAGAAACGTGTTTACGATAAAAGGAAGTTGACATCCATAATATTTTGTCTTATACATGATATTAGATACTTTAATTCCTTGATATTAAGTTTTCATGAATAAAGATTCACAATCGTTAATATCCATGAACCGTGTCACATTTGCCTCATAATGTATTCTGTGTAGCCTTAGAGTTATGTCATATTTTAAAACAAATTTCACATGTTTACAAGTTTGTTATTTAATGCCACACTCAGCAATATCCCCACATATGACAACAATCTGTAAATGGTCCAGTCAGAACAAAACAATACAGTGATTACAGTTGGTACTTGATGACAATAACATGCATCAAAAAAGTGAGCAAGTCTGACCACTTAATTCCAGTCATTTGACTCTTGTGACAAGTAACCCACATTTTCACATGGCCCATTTAAATTCCTCTTATTGATACACAAAAATATCACTACTAAACTCAATATTCCGTGTTTTCAGAAGAACTTAAGAATTTGACAAGCTAGAAAACATCACCAAGTAATTTAAAATATACTTGTGTTAAGATGCTGATAACTTACGTGGCTGTTTTTGGAGCTTTAACTTTCATTTCATCCAAACGCTTGTCCAATATCTGAAACATGACACAAAACCAAAGTCGCAAGGAGTTTGTCAAAAGGAAAGGGCACAGGTATATTCTTAATTGACATATTCTGTCATTTTATCGACAAACTCTGTTACACTATACACAGCGGAAATGACACTTCACATTGTTTAAACTAAAACACAAGGCGCATATGTTGTCATTCTTGGTTTTGTACTTTCATGAAGCCATAATAACAATAACATGATTTGAAAATTGATCTCAAGAATTATTGTTTAAGTATTCAGCTTTGTCCCCAAACATTTTATGGTTCCAAAGACCTTTACACAAACATTAAAGGCTAAAAAAATCCTGTTCTAACACATTTTCTTTTCCGATTTTCAGGGAGATTGGAACCAGGTAACAGTTCAAAATGAGGGGGTGTAGGAGGATCAGTTGACAATAGCGGAGTTAGTCTAACTGAAAGTCAAGCACAGTACTTTGTAAAATCCTCCCAAACCGTTTTCAAGTGCAGTATATCAAACTCATCAGCCTAGATGTGTTATACAGAAACACAAATGTTACGAGTAATAGACACTAACGCCCTGATCTTCTTGATCTTCCCAACTGTCAAGCACTTCTCCGTCTTCCGCCATTGCGGCTTCCTCAGCCGATTTCGGGATGTTGAAAATGAATTCCTCACCAAAGTATCTTGTGTACCCAGTATTATACGACTGAGGAGATTAAAGCACCGTTTAAAAGGTCCGTAGAATACGTCCAAGTTTTATCTTTTAATATGACACAAATAGAAGTTGAACGTTTACTGTCGTAATAACAGAATGTGCCGTAAACAAGTGAGACCCTGTGAAGGTTTTAAAAGACATGCTCGGTCTTTCATCTTGCTTTTCAAAATTGCAACTTATCGTTATTTATTGTATATACCTACAATGTACCATTTTAGAATTTTGAAAGAAGCAAATTAGCACTTAAGCCATTTTCGAAAATACACAATAAATGCAGTTTTTCACTATACGATCCACATTTTATATAATCCACATGTTCCAAAATGTCGACGGATGCAAAGCAAGCGAAGATGGACATTGACATAACTCCTCATGACAAAGGAGTCCTTAATTGTATATTTAACCCTGGATTGCCTTATGGAGATTGTGTAGAAGAGGAAACACCACCTGTATATATAAATGGTTTGTACTGTCACTATTTAAAACGTCAACTTTTAACTCACCTTGACAGGGGTTGATGTAAATTGTAATACTAATAAGTTTGCGTCGAACGTTCATGCATAATCAACATTTCAACGCAACGTAAACTTCATGCAAACCAAAGACGTGTTTGTGCAAACTAATGTAAATGCCAGGTGCAGGTTACTTTCAGTAACATGTTGCACTCGGTTCAGGTAAGAATAAATCTTCCAGCATCTTATGGCTGTTATCATGTGGTTTAATTGGAAAGTAAGTGTCTTTACTCTTTAAGTGATGTATTTCTCTCCGCATGACTTGTTACAAGCACAAACATGTACTCATAAATCAGTTTTATAGAAGAAATCATTTTTGTGAGATTTATAAATAAAGGTAAGGCCAGAGCAGTTTTATTTCTTGTTTTACAGATCCGTCAGTCTTTATTTTTCAAGAGTAAGAAAAGTAATTCCCGTAAAAAATATAATCCTAATGTCATTTTGGGCCTAAAATGTAAACTTACAAAAAAAATTGTTTTTTGCCTCACATACACTTCATAACTTGCCAGAAGTAAAATACTTTTAGCATTTAGCAATTGGACAAAAATCTGTAAAACAAGAAATAAAATTGGTCTGGCTAAGGCAAAATTGAAACAGAATCATCAACCATTTATCATAATGGTGTAAGGTTCTGTTGAATGTATCTGATACTGAGGACTTGTTATGAAAATTGCTAAACAAATATTTATGTTTGGGGTCAGGACCCCCTTCTACGAGGATTCATAAAAAGAAGGCTTTGTCCTCTACTGTTGCTGCACCCCCAGCAGAGGACAGAGCTAAACAAGCCAAGGTCACCAAAGAGGTTCCTACTATTCCCATCTCTGCTACCCACTTACAACCTGTTGTTGCACCCACACCTGCGCTAACCATTGATGCAATTTCAGCTCCCTTGCAGCAGCAGATGTTGTCAGTAAAATCCCTAATCAGCGACGCGGTCTCCGGGCTCCAGCAGGAGCTTGGTACCAAGTCGTCTGATGGAGATGGAGCTGGCGCATCGATTGGAGGAGGGCAACCTCCGGCAGACCTGATCTGAGCTCCGGCGCATGTGACGGCTCGACCTTGGGACCTTGCATCGACCAGGGCTCTGTCTCTGGCCCCAGTCACTTGCAGGTTCCAGGCACCAGTGACTCAAGTTTTGACCTGCTACATGTGGTGCTAGGCCCAGCTCTCCAGGGCTTCCAGGCACCTCAGCATCTCGAGGCCACTTCGGGCTACTGGGGAACCCTGCTTTGGCAGACTCTTTCTTCCGCCTCAGCGCCACGGCTCGAACTGGAGCTGGGGACAGGACAACTCGGGCCCCCTAACTCTGATTGACCTTCTGAGCCCTTCGGCGTCTTCCTCTGCTGTGGCCTCGACAACCAAGGCCTTGGTATCTAGAGTGGTCGCCACTTGTAGGAGGATGAGGGAAGAGAGGAGTTTGGGGAAGAGGTCTCTCGGGTCGTCCTTGAGGCAGGTGCGTGAATGAATCGCTGCCGTATTGCCTCGCTGTCCCCGCGCAAGAGCCCGACACTGAGTTACACCTGCCGGGGGAAGCCTTTGCCCCTAGTAAGGTCGCAGAGGTCAGGTTACACATTCTACCATCACTGGTGAGTGAGGTAGTTAATCCTCTGAGATCCATTCTCGCTTCAATATACCTGATCCTAGCAGATCATACGCAATGGGGCGAGGAGGGGCTATTTGAGCTGCCAGTCGGCCAGGTAGGGCCATCGGCTGCCACCCTTTCCGGCTAATGCTTCAATGCTGAAGTCCGCTTACCGCTGCTTCAAGGAGCAGTACTGGAACACTGTTCAGCAGTTGAGAGTGGTGGTCCATTCAGCATACCTCTCTGCTTTGTGGGGAGAGCTGGTGGACCAGGACTAGAGAGGTGATGATGCTCGTCCGGCAGTTGATGGACGTACACTCCCACCTGGCTCGGGGCAGCATTTGTAGCTGTACTAGCCAGATGATGTGTGCTATCATGGGCCTGCTTCAGTTATGGCTCTCGGTAGCACGCTACTCGCCAGCCACACAACATTCACTGCTTTCGCTCCCTTTTAAGATGGGGTCTACCATCTTCCCTGGGGTTCGGGAGGATGCATAGGCAGTTAGCACCTTCAAGAACTCTAAGCACTTGCTGGAAGACCATTCCACTTCTTGCCAGAGGCCCTCGGTTCTTGCCATTTCCCATCCTTCAGTGCCGGCGAAGGAATCTGCAAAATGGACAGCATTGCAGACGCGGAAAGTCAAGAAGGCTGGAGATAAGGGCAAGGCAGCTCTTCCGCAGCAGCCCTTTAATGCGAAAGGGAAGGCTGCCCTTGCTTCCCGTAAAGTATCTGTCGGGCACCCTTGGCGTCCTCCGCTCAAGCAAAAACTGTTTTGCCGACTGCTGGGGTTCACTGCCTCCAGCCAGATGTCCTTGTCGGCGTCTGGCTGTCCAATGTCCTTCAGGAAGGGGAGAAAAGCCACTTCAAATCCCTGGGTCCTGTCCACACTCAGGGATGGCCACATGCCACAGTGGAGGCGACATCCACCATCCTTTTCATGAGTGCGTCTCACACCAGTGCCAGCCTCCCGAGAGAAGGCGGACATTCTCCGTGCCAAGGTCCAGTCGCTGCTAGACAAGGCAGCCATCGAGGTGGTTCCACAGGGTCAGGAAAACAAGGGGTTCTATTCCACTTACTTGTTAGTGACCAAAAAGGACGGAGGGTTCAGACTCATTCTCAATCTCAAAGGGCTGAACAACATGATGGAGACACTGCGCTCAGTGATCTCCTCCTTTCGAGGCAGAGGATTGGCTCATGTCAATTGACCTCAAAGACGCATACCTCCATGTTCCGATGCACCTCGATTTTCGGTTCTTCTTCGACGGGCAGTGCCACTGGTTTCGTGTGCTCCCCTACAGCAAGGGTGTTCACCAAACTAATGTTGATCCCAGCGCAGGTCGCCAGATCTCAGGGCCAGTGTTGTTACCCGTACCTGGACAACTGGCTCCTCGGGGCTCTTGGCCAACTCAACAGTTGAGTCAAGATACCAAACAGGTAGTGATGGACATTCTGATGAAACTGGGCTGGATTATCAATGTCAAGAAATCAGAACTCGTCCCGACGCAGGATCTGGTTTTCTTGGGGGTGAGATTCAAGACAGAACAGGGGATTGTTTCCCTGTCTCTGGACCACATTGTCAAAGTTCAGAGGTCTGTTTCACTGTTCCTCAAGTCCCCTGTAGCTCCGTAGCTTCAGCTTTGGACATGGCTCCAGTTGCTACGCTACATGGCAGCAGCAGTGGACGTGGTTTGGCGTGCGCATCTGAGGATGAGACCTATACAGCACGCACTGGCTCAGATGTGGTCCAACTCGGAGAGCTACAAGAAATTTCTCGAGATGCCGAAGTGGTTAATTCCATCTACGGTGGTGGACAGACATCAGGAATTTATCCAGGGGGCTCCTGACGCAGTCCCTGATGCCCACACTCTCGATTCATTAAGATACATCCCTCACGGGCTGGGGCGGTGTTCTGAGCAACCGGTCAGTCTCGGGACTTTGGTCAGAGCACGAGATCAGCCTTCACATCAATGTGCTAGAATTGAGAGCAGTCCGGTTGGTGTTCGAGAACTTTTGTGGAGCAAGTTTGAGGCCAAATGGCTCGTCTGGAGATGGACAACCAGACTGCCATGACCTATATCCTGTGTCTTCATCCCTCCTCCAGGAGGTGTGGCAGTTGCTACTTTGGTGCAATCAGTCGACATACGGGTGATGCCTGTTTATCTCCTAGGGGTAGACAACATCTGGGCAGACACACTCTCTCTGTGTATACTGGCTCCTCACGAGTGGAAGCCCGATTGGGGGATATTTGGGGTTATCTCCCAGTTGTACGGGTCGTTCCAGGTGGATATGTTTGTCTCTGGGGCAACAAACCAGATTCCAGTGTTTTGCTCTCAGATTCCAGATCCGAGAAGCGATAACCAATGACGCCTTCCAGCTCAATTGGACGGACAGGGCACTGTGGGCCTTCCCACCAATACCACTGATTCCCAGGATGCTCTCGCAGCTAGCCACGCAACCAGTTCGGCTACTTGTGTTTTCTTGCACCTCTTTGATCGGCTCAAAGCTGGTTTCCGGTAATTCTCAGGTTTCAGGCTCAGCCTCGTGTAGTACTACCCTTTTGACCTCACCTTCTATCCCAGAACGGAGTGCCACACTTGAATCCCAGGATTCAGTGGGTGGCTTGGCGTAATTCCTGCATCAGCGGCAGACACAATTATGGCTTTCGGAGGGATTTGACAAAATTTCCGTACGACGATAGATGGGCCTGCTATGCACGCTGGTGTATTGGCAGCTACATTCTTGATCCCCTTTCTTCAGATTTAGTCGCTGTTCTGGAGTTCCTCCAGTCTTGGTTGAAAGGATGTCTCAGTGCTTCATCTATTCAAGGCGACGCCACAGCTATTTCTGCGTTCCATATTCCTGTCAATGGTGCTCTTTTGGGGCAGCACCCTCTTGTACAGCGTTTTCTAGCAGGCGTGGACAGGATCTGTCAGGCAGATTAGTCCCCCCATGGGACTTGTCAGTGGTTCTTGACTGGCTGTCGGTCCTCTGTTTCACAATCTATCGTCTCTTTCCCTCCAGCTGGTGACGTGGAAGGAGGCATTTCTTGTGGCAGTAATGTCTGGCAGACGTGTCGGTGACATTCATGCGATGTCAGCCGATCCTGCGCTAACTGTTTTTTACAAGGACAGGGTCAGCTTTCGGTTGTCAGATTCTTACCATCTTAAGAGAGACAGTTTCTTTCTTGTAACTGCACCTATTGAGCTTCCCGCTCTTTCTCAGCTGGGGCGGTGGGGTAGCCTAGTGGTTAAAGTGTTGGATCGTCATGCCGAAGACCCGGGTTCGTTTTCCCATATGGGTACAATATGTGAAGCCCATTTCTGGTGTCCCCTGCTGTGTTATTGCTGGGAAAGTGCTAAAAGTGGCATACGATAAAACTCAGTCAGTCTATCTCAGCCTCCCTCGTCCGGTACCTCTCTTCAACTTGCTCACGTGTTAAATGTCCTTAAGACTCTTAATGCCTATGTCAAACGAACAAAGGATATCCGTAAGGGTAATCAGTTGTTCTGCTGTTATGACAGGGGTAAGGCTGGTCTGCCGGCGAACAAGCAAACCATATCTGGGGGACTTGTCTCTGCCATTTGCATGGGCTATATACACAAAGGCTTGTCATCCCCAGAGGGTTTGAAAGCTCATTCGTTTAGGGCAGCAGCCACCTCCAAAGGATATGCTGCGGCTCTGTCCATTGAGGAGATCTTCTCCGGGGCTATCTGGAGCCAGCTGACAACATTCGTCCATCATCAGAGAGAGAGAGAGAGAGATGTATTTATAGATTATTATAGATTAGGGATTCCACTTGTTATAGGGTTCGTTTTGCCAGACAGAATGCCACTCCAGGACTCTGGTCTATAGGAGTCTGTCTTATGCTTATAAGTATCCCAAGGAGGATCTCTCCTGAAAAAAGAATCGAACAAACCTGTAGAGGTTGCATATTCTTCGAAGAGAGTCCTCCCTTGGGTACGGCCACCCACTTCCCCACATTCTGTGACTTCATTCAGCACGGAAAGTGAGGTATGAGGTAGAGTCAATATTTTATTCAAATTATAGCTACAACTGTCGAAGGAATTTAAAATGGACATTTAAATCCTTATAAGTACCCCAAAGAGGACTCTCTTCAGAGAATCTGTAACCTGTACAGGTTTGTTCGAATTTACTCAGGTGCCATTTTAAAGGCTTTTCTTGTTTCAGTGGAGAGTGAAGAAGTGAAACAAGTGAAGGTTCTAGAGCTGCAAGCAGTGAAGGCAGCCGAGGCCGGTGACCTTCCAACTGCCCTTGACCTCCTGAATGAAGCTGTGACAAGGGCCCCTGACTGGGCTTCCACGTATAACAACAGAGCACAAGTACTTCGCCTACGGGGAGATATCCAAGGTATTTGTTCATGGCTATGATCACAAGGTTCGAAAAAGCTTGAAAAAGCCTGAAATTTGGACATTTTACTCTACATAGGCCCTAAATTCGTTTCAGCCTTTAAAGGCCCTAAATGCCAGTGATTTGCCATAGAAAGGCCCTATATTTAGCAAAACTTGTCAAGCTATGATTTTACAGGAAACTAATACATGATGAAAATACCTTGCATTGGATGTTAATTAGTCTCTATCATGAAGCAAAATGTTCCCAGTGCAGATGATGTTGGTAAGAGTTATTTCCCCTGATGGTCGGTTCCACACCTGACCAACCTTGTCTGTATTCAACCATTTTGTGTTATATGTGTTGCTATAGTTCCTTAAACTTGTTGATTGGGCCTTGAAAAGACCCTAAAAAGCCTTAAATTTAATGGCTGATGACCTGGCGACCTTCCAACTGGCCATGACCTCCTGAATGAAGCTGTGACAAGGGTCATATTCAACTCAGGATTAAGTAACAGCCCTAGTGTGTACACATTTATGCGTTCAGATATAAGTTGCTACCGTGACTTCCTAGATTTTACTTGAATTTGAAAATTATTTATCAAAGCCAGATATGCAAAATGGAATATATTGAAGGAATAAAACTTCAGCTGCTGACTTGTTTTGGTAATTGTTAACCAATATTCATGACATGTATCAATGGAATGGGTACTGTACCCACTGTATTTATTGAAGGAATAAAACTTCAGTAGGTCATAACAAGACAGTTGCTGACTTGTTTTGTCAAGAATCATTGTTAACCAAATATTCATGACATGTATCATATTCAACTCAGGATTCGTAACAGCCCTAGTGTGTACACATTTGTACGTTCTGTGGCCAGTATGTCTACATAATATTTCCTATTCATATTTTCTAAAGGTGGCCTCCAACCATGACAGAGAAAGAAGTACTTTCCGATATATATTAACTTCCATAGTCACATTAACCTGTGTTAAATCAGAGGTTGCTGTTGTGATCTAAAACAGCGTAAAACTATACTCACTCACTCTTCACCGGTCAATCCTTAAGACAACCATGTATCATGTTTCATTTGTCATTATTCATACATAGATTTTAGAAAACTGATGGGGTTTTGAGAGTGACTGTTTAAATTTTATGGCATTATTCTTTTTCAGGAGCACTGGAGGACTTGAATAAAGCTGTAGAACTGAGTAGGGGAGAGGGCAAGGTGTCATGTCAAGCATACACCCAGATGGGACTTATCCATCGACTGGAAGGTGGGTGATCAACAACTTATCTCCCTCACAAACAGGGTGGCAAATGAAGTCATTGTAAAACGACCCAAGAGCAGGCCTACCAAAGAAAACTTTCCCACTGTGCAGAAAAACGCAGAAAAGCCCACATTAATCGTGGAAATAGCAACATAAACATAATACCTCGCTACTGAAACAGTTAAAACGGCAACTTTAAATCGCTAACACTGCATCATAAAACAAGGAGCCCGCAACTTCGATTTTGCGCATGCGCACATGGAAGAGGAAGTCTCGACCGCATGTTGACATTTTCCAGCTTGGACAAAAGTAACATTCCTTTTTAAGTATTTCTATTGTGTTATTTGGCATTTATCATCATGATACTTGTGTGCACACTTGTTTAGTTTACTTTCCATTCGTATGAAACGATTGACAGCAACTATTTCAACAGATTTAATACTTTTTCCACGCGAGGCGATTCACGGTTGCTCCGAAATTGGAAAGAAGCCCGGATCGTAATGCGCATGCGCAGTAGAGGTCAGAGTTCGCTGATATAAAAATGTTGCAGTTTCATAGTTTTTCGTTGCCGTTTTTACTGTTTCAGTAGCGAGGTAATGTGTTTATGTTGCTACTTCCAGGATTAATGTGGGCTTTTCTGCGTTTTTCTGCACAGTGGGAAAGTTTTCTTTGGTAGGCCTGATGAGGATCCGGGTTAGAATTGATCTTCATCAACTCATGCTTGTCGTAAGAGGGATTGGGTGGTCAGTAGGGATGGGTATTGCAGGGAATATTCATATTGCGATATATTGCGATGCGAAAGCATACCGGGGTATATTGCGATATGTAGTGCAATATATTGCAAGAAGTTTTTTTAACAATAAACTACTTATAATCAAGTTAACGCTTTATATTTTTCCTTATCCTGACTCATGCTCTTTTGCTTGTCTTCTTCTTCTTGCGAACATAGTGGAACACTTGTATCTCCTTATTTGAAGCTCCCTTCAAAATAAAATCACTAATTGGTACTCACCACGAGTTGCTTCCCCTTGTCTCCCCTGGCGGGAAAAGGTGTCGCCACCTTCTGCCCATGTGCTTCACTCTCTCCTTCTTCGCCCAGTGAGCAGGATGTGAGAGCGCCTCGTGTCTCCTTACACACCATATCCTTTGATAATCTCTTAGTTTTTACCTCTCATAGGTTACTATAGAGGTATAGCTAGTATCCTTTACTATTTGTATTGATTAATTATCGTATTTCTACTGTTTATTCACGTGTATTCGTGATTGTTCAGCTAGCTTTACGTTGATGAAAATCTGTACGATTTGTAGATTACGTTTTTCTGCCTCCGATCCACATGTAATATGCCCTAGTTGTTCTACGCCGTGTACGTTTAATTCACGTTGCAGTTACTGCATTAATTTATCTCTTTCTGCATTTAATAAATATCATCTTTGCGTCTTAAGACGTGCTGCAGATAGATCACGCAAACAAGGGCAAAACATGGCAGAGAGTCCAGATATTCCATCCAGTCAGCTGCTAGCGATCGACCCTCTCCGCCTGGTGTTCTGCTAGAGACCCCTGCGGTAGAGGAACGTGGGACGCAGTCCGTTACTCGAAGAAACGACCGCCTCCCCAGACATCCCGCCATTGCAGACCAAGTCTAAGAGGGCCTCATCGCCGCCTCAACGCAGATTGAGGACACCCAGGGCAGCGCAGACTTCCAAAGGAAAATCTACGAAAACAGCGAGAACTTTCTCAGCCGAGATCGTTCCAGCAGCAGAATTGGGTCTCTACGATGATCAGCCGATAATCATCCCCGACTTACGGCAGAAGAAGCGACCGGTGTCAGCGACTGTGACTTCTGCAGAGATCACCATGCAGCCTGATGCCTCTACACCGACGTCAGACGTTATTGATGTGAACCCCATCGCAGAGAAGACGCGCCCGACGACTTCGTCACAGATCATCCCAGAAGACATGATCACGGCAGATTATGAACATCATGGAGGACCACTACAAACTGCAGAAGCAGGGTCCGAGCCTTCGCGAAGGCTCCAACGTAGACAGCACCCCAGAGGCACCCCCCGTCAACGTAGCAGCCAAGACGATGTCACCTTCGCGAAGGAAGTCCCGGACCACCTTGACGAAGGACCTAGATGTACAGCCATAGAAGACTTCGCGAAGGCCTTCGCGAAGGCGGGATAGATCATCACCATCTTCGATTTCATCTCTAGATATGGACTCGGACCATCAGACATCACGGAGGCCTTCGCGAAGGTCATATCATCGATATCATCGATCCCCCGGCCCCACTTTATACAGCCCCGTGGTCGACAACATCCATCTTTGACGGAGAAATCGACAAAGTCGCCAAGGAAGTCTCTAAGGATTCCAGGGAAGTCCTTATGATTAAATCGATGGACACACTAGCCAGCGTCATTCGTCAGACTTCACAAAGATACTCAGGCAGATCTAAGTTCACGGGCCTACAAAGAGCAAGAGACAGGAAGATAGCCAGCTCTAGAGGTAAAGATTCTTTTAAATTAAGCCCATATGGCAACTATAGAGGAGGATCAGGAAGAGGCAGGACACCCAGAGGTTCCCGCAACTATAGGCGCTGAAACACAGGTTCGAGCGACTGGAGTCTTCCACCCCAGCCGTTCCAGTACAGCCAGCACAAGTGGGTGGGCGCCTCCAACTACACTGGAAAACTGGGGAATATTGCAAGACCCTTACGTCTCCAACATTCTTCAACACGGAGTTTTGGTATCCCACTACAGGCCAAGCCTCCGCTGACAATCAAACCCCCAAGTTCGATTTACAAAGCGCAGCAACTACCAAAGATAAGATAGGCTGTTTCATCACTCCTATCCAAACAGGCCATAGAAGTAATAGATCAAGCAAGCGTCGAACCAGGTTTCTACTCCCCAGTTTTCCTAGTTCCCAAGAAAAACTCCACGGAGAAATACAGACTCATCTACAACATGAGCTTTTCAACAAGAATTATCTACGCCAAACCACCGAAGTTTAGCATGATACATTTACCTCAGTTACGCCAGATGATTCGTCCTATGGACTACATGGGCAGCATAGATCTACAGGATGCCTACCTGCACATCCCCATTCATCCCGATTCAGGAAATACCTACGATTTACTCTAGAAGGGCTACATTACCAGTGGAAAGTACTCCCATTGAATATCATCAGCCCCTGGCTATTCACGAGGATAACGAAACCGATTATCATATTTCTACATCGTCAAAGGGCTCGCGAGTCGCGTTTTCCTCGACGACGGGATACAAGTAGATCAAGATCCACAGCGTCTCAAACTACAGTTAAATTACATCATAAAGCTACTAACACAACTAGGTTGGTTAGTAAACTTACATAAGTCGGACCTAGTACCATCGCAAGACCTGCAGTTCCTAGGTATTGATTCATCACAAATCGTAACCGTATTATGGTACCAGAAGACCGTTGGCTCAAGATACAACAGACCATTCCACCAGCTCTACTCTCTCCGTTACCACTTACGACAATGGCAGAGCCTACTAGGTCTTCTCACATCAGCCCAAGACATGACTGTCACAGGCAGACTACAGTTTCGTCCCCTACAGGTCCTCATCAACGCACATCTCAACGATGTAAAACCATTCAGTCTACCGAAACATCTCAGACCTCATCTACTATGGTGGACCAAGAAATCGAATGTCTGCGAAGGGATTTGTTTAGCAGAGCAGGAATACAAAACCCATCTGTATGTAGCCAGCGTCACTCCAAGGTTGGGGAGCTCATCTCACCAACCACCGCGATATCAGGATTATGGAATCAGCAAGAATGCAAACTCCATATAAACAGTCTAGAAATGAAAGCTGTAATCAGCGCCATTCTACATTGGAGCACATTTCTACAAAATGCGCATCTAATGATCCATACAGACAATTCGACAGTGGCGTTCTACATAAACAAGCAAGGCTCAACGAGATCGATGAACCTTTTGAACCTAAGCTTTCAACTGTTCGATTTAATACAAGATCTAAATCTACATGTCAGAGCAGTGCACATTCCGGAGCCAGAAATATACTAGCAGACGCTCTCTCTCGGCCTCATCTACCATCACCGACAGAGTGGATGATCAACAGGGAAATATTTGCACAGATAATCAAGCAATTAGGGCGCCGCTAATAGACCTATTAGCCACGCGATTCAACAATCAGCTACCGACATTCGTGTCACCAGTCCCAGACCCCCAAGCTTGGGCAACGGACGCTCTAAGTCTATCATGGGAAGGCCCCAATGCGTACGCGTTTCCGCCGCCGCTATTACAGAAAATCAGACAAACACAGAGCCTACAACTCACTTTGGTCGAGCCCTACTGGCCGGCCAGAACGTGGTTTCCCACACTAATTCAAGAAATCGGTCAACCAGCACTGGAGCTACCCAAAGCTGGCGCAAACCTGTTAATTCATCCTCACACCAAACAAGTGCACGGAAACCCAGCAATGTTCCAACTACTGCGTATGGACTGTATACAAATGTGTTTAAACAAGAGAGGATATTCTGCCAGGGCGGCAAAAGCAGTCACGCTTGCCTTACGTTACTCAACTCGTAACTTGTATGACGACAAGTGGCACAGTTTCGAAAATTATGCAGCAAAGAAAGGTTTTACAGCAAGAGAGGCTTCACAACCTCAAGTGGCAGACTATTTGTGTTACCTGCGCCAAAACAAACATTTAAAAGGTTCAACGATATCAACATATCTTGCGCTTAGTTCTGTAATCACCATGAGAGCGGGTGTCAAATTAACAAGATCTCCAGAGTTACTGGCCTTACTACGAGCATTCGATTGGAGGACCAAAGCGGAAGTTCCACGCCCCAGCTTGGGATCTGAATGTAGTGTTACAACACCTCACGAGTGAGGTCTATGAACCTTTGGAATCAACAACTTTTGAATTTCTCTCACAGAAAACACTGTTTCTGCTATCTCTAGCCACGGCAGCAAGAATGTCTGAAATTCACGCTCTGGATTACGAGAGGATACAGTTTGATGACAATCATAACACAGCGCACCTCGGATTAAGATGGGATTTCATCGCTAAAAATCAACTACCAGGTCAACCAGACAGATTATTCCACATCCCGGCGCTATCCTCTATTCTCGGATCACAAGATACACAAGACCTATCACTGTGTCCAGTAAGAGCTCAAAGTTTATTTCTGACGATCCAAAACAAGGAGAAGATTTCTCAAACGTTTATTCATCCCCTTATCGCCTACGAATCAAACAGAAGTGTCACGGACCACAATATCTATTTGGATAAGGACTGTCATTCTCCGTGCCTACAAGGCAGCAGGCTTGGACCCACCAACAGCATCAAATCCACATGAGATCAGGGCACTGGCCTCCACCCTCGCCCTACGGTAACTGTTCCTTGAACACGATTATGGAAGGATGCTATTGGAAATCTAACATGGTATTTGCTAATCACTACCTGAGAGACATCACTACAGAAGATGTCTCTGGCATTCCACCATTCGGACCACTGGTCCTAAGCCCAGCAACTGACAGTCCCTCGTGGCGTTAAATTTTATCCTCACAAGATTAATCTGTATTTTATACATACTTATCTAGCTTATAACTCTACGGAGTTTTAGGGCTATGTATATATGTTCAGCTTAAGTTATTCAACCTTAAGCATATACTTTTGATATATTCAATTTCAGTGCCTCTATCAGAGTCACCTATATATATATATATATATATTATATGTATTGTTCAATATTTTCATAATGTAATTCCCCTTTAATGGCTTTATATAACCTATGGTTTTTATACAGGAAACATCCTAAATCTAAGCCTTCATGAAGTTCCCGTAGGGGATATTACAGTATATCTATACAAAATCACTAATTATAAATCCAAAGTATTCTGTTACTCCCACCTCCGTTCCGTAGGATGCTACAAGCAAAAGAGCATGAGTCAGGATAAGGAAAAATATGTAATTTTTGGAGTAAAATTGATATTTTATACTTATCCTGACTCATGAGGTTAGCCCTCCCATCCTCCCCACATAACACTTTGGATTTCCCTGTAAGTCCAAGTGTTGGGCTCGCAAAATCAGGAGAGAGTGAAGCACATGGGCAGAAGGTGGCGACACCTTTTCCCGCCAGGGGAGACAAGGGGAAGCAACTCGTGGTGAGTACCAATTAGTGATTTTATTTTGAAGGGAGCTTCAAATAAGGAGATACAAGTGTTCCACTATGTTCGCAAGAAGAAGAAGACAAGCAAAAGAGCATGAGTCAGGATAAGTATAAAATATCAATTTTACTCCAAAAATTACATTTATAAAGCAAAAACACAACAAAATCACTATGCTTGATTAAGCTTTAATTTAAACTTTTTATCATGACAAAATAAGAATATAGAGATAATATTTAAATGAAATTTTCAGCACGATCATTCCCACCACCATTACCACAGTTGCCACGATCATCAAGGTTTCCGAGTGTTACGAAGTTTTCCGAATGCATGTCAAATACCGGTTTTCGATCAGCGTATCCCAATACTATCGTTTTCATGTCTGAACTGGTTAATACCGGTAAACCGGTTATATTGCACAGCCCCAGTGGTCAGACGATGACTTGGTTGATACATGTTATTGTATTCCAATTGTGTAGTTCAAAGATGGACGGAGTGAGAAAATCAACAACATACTTTTGACATATTTTATATTAAAAAATGCATAAATCGTAATGAGTAATAGTACATAGACTCTGCTTCATTCTATTTCCGTGATGTGAAGCATTGATATAAGTCACTTGCTATGTTGCAGCACTTCTCCCTTGTCTTACAGACTTGTAAAACTTCATTGGTGGTAGGATTTGTTAGAGCAAGTGTTTTAATGGTTTAGTCATGATATGACTGAAATATTGCCGATGTGACGTTAAATAATAACTCACTTTAATGGTTTACAGTGTTTTGTCAGCAGAGGTAACTATTCAGATGCAACTTTGCAAGCTGACACTAATTGCAAGTAATTTGCATGAAAATTGCTTCTTGTCAATGTGAATTTTACAGAGGCCCCAGGTGTTCACAGATGTGTTTATTCCATACTAATTAACATATGTTGTATTATTGTCGTTGATACAAGCTGTTGTTGACTACCAGTTTAAAATGTTGTCATGTCAGGTCATTTGTTGATGAATGGACCAACCATTTAATATTGTGAGAGCTTGGGGGTGGGGATGTCGAGGTGGGGGCTGAGATTTTTTATTGCTTATCAAAGGCAAGTCAAAGCATATTTAGAAAATTTGATTCATTGTCTACTTTTTATATTGTGCTAAATTTTGTGAATATAGAAGACTGGTTGTCATATATCTGAATAGATATTTTTCCTTTTTTTCACTGTAATGAGTGGGTAGTCTAGTGGTTAAAGCTTTCACTGTGTGCGTGCGTGTGTGTGACAAATACAAAACCATTAAATACCATTATTTAATTACACAATTGGTTTACCATCTATTTTTTATTTCTTTTGTAATGGGTCTATTGTATACAGTGCACATTACATGCCCTTTCATGCATACTATAATGTTGTTTTTGTTAATTCCTCCCAGATGTATATTTAATTCTGTACTGTTAGAATCTATATGGAATTGGCACATCATAATATAATACAGAAGTTATTATCCATAAAATATCAAACCTTTCTTATTGGTAATGCAATACATGAATACCACAACATATTGCTACAATCAGCAGCATCAAAACATTTACTGATTACAGGCGATGACACCCAGGCAATAGAGGACTTCAAGAAAGCTGCCCAACTCGGCAGTGAGTTTGCCAAGCAACAGGTGGTGGCACTCAACCCCTATGCTGCGATGTGCAACCAGATGCTGAGTGAAGTCATGCAGAAAGTCCGTCGAGGAGAACAGTAGATACCCTGCAGTCATAGCCAAGTCTTTCACAGTACACAGTAATGTGATTGAAATAAAGATAATTACTTGAGTTGATGTAATTACTACAGTCATAGCCAAGTCTTTCATAGTACACAGTAATGTGATTGAAATAAAGATAATTACTTGAGTTGATGTAATTACTACAGTCATAGCCAAGTCTTTAACAGTACACAGTAATGTGATTGAAATAAAGATAATTACTTGAGTTGATGTAATTAAACTATTGGTATGAAACAGTGAGGTAACAGTGTGTTTTGGGTGTTAAGGTTAGGTGAGTCTTGTTCAATTTCTTGTTTCTCTCAAATGTCTGAAGACGAACTTCGATGAACAAAAAAAAATGATCACTTTCTTTGAAGTAGATATGGAATCGCTTACTGCTTTCCTGCATTACCTATATTTTCTGTGTATGAAATGCACATGTTATTGTTATGCTTCAGTCGTTAGAGTTGGATGGTGGTGATGCAGCTGTTGTTTTGTTTCAGATGAAATGTTTGTTGAAGTGTGGACAAAAATATTGCAGCTATAAATATTGCTGTAAAAGGTTGCTAGAAATTGGTATTTCCTGTACAGGAGGCAGTGGTGGCCCAATCATTGGGGCTCAGCAATTCATAGTGCTGAGCTACGTCAGTTGGGCCTTTCAGAAACCTGTATAAGGGAACCCCTAATCAACAATAACTTCACTTATTGCTATAATAAGGTCACTTTACAAATGTTTTTGTCAACTTAAAGAATTTTTGCTGACATTTGCTGAAGTCTTGGAGCCAAATATTGGTCTCTGAGCATGTGTTAAAATACCCCTTGAATGTAGATGCATTTGTGGAGCCTTGTAATACCAAGAGGGAATGGTTGTTTAGCATTGTGGAAATGTTAACTATGGCAGAGGGACAAAGTGACACTGACTCCAGTTTAAGATTAACTTTTAGTATTATGGTAATACTGGCAGAAGTTATAAGAGAGGCAATAATATAATCAACTGTGTCATTACAGCCTGATATACACCAGAATTAATTTGTCATCTGTATGTAGATTGTATTTATTACTCACCCACTGAAGATATCACTGTTTAATAAATCTACAATGTTATTACACAATGTATAATAACATCGCATGATGCCGGACGTATGACATCACAATGCTAATGCCTCTGTCACAATGGTATTAGACATTTTTGGACTTGCAGAAAGCTGAGAGTCATCACACTGTAGGCAATTTATGTATGAGAGTAATAAACAGAATACTAAACTCAATTACAAGAAATACCATTTTTATAAAACTCATGAAAGGTTTAGTAACAAATTCGCTGTCGCACGTTCAATACCAAATCATTAACTCATTTAATAAAAATGGTATTACCCGGAAGGTCGTTTAGTATCCTTTAGTATCGTTTAGTATTATAAGGATTATATGTCAGGGGGGTAGCCTAGTGGTTAAAGCAGTCGCTCATCACGGCGAAGACCCAGGTTCAATTCCCCACATGGGTACAATGTGTGAAGCGCATTTCTGGTGTCCCCTGTCGTGATATTGCTTGAATATTGCTAAAAGCAAAAAAAAACTAAACTGTAGGATTATATTTTATCCTGTGTAGAAAATCACATTGTCCATGTATTAAGCATTAAGTGGCAATTTTTATTCAAATTAGGCATGTTGTAAAGAAATCTATGGCAAAAGAATTCTTAAGAAGACAGTGTTAAGCAAGTATGGGTGTTTATAAACTTTAAATATTATTACTATGGGCTCAACTGACATGAAGTGTACATTTATCCAACAAGTTAAAATGTTGAAAATCACATTGTCCATTAGCAAGGGCAATTTATCTGCTGTATTTTTAAACTTTAAATATTTTACTATGGCTCACATGAAGTGTACATTTATGTTAAAATTTGATATCTTTTAGCGGCATTTGGAGTTTATATGGATGTCAAATTTATGGTATTTAAGCTTAAAAAGAATAAGAAAAGAATAAAGAAGCTTAAATCCATAAAATTTATATCTTGGACAAGTTAAAATTTGACATTCTTTGATAGATGCATATATATATATATTTGTCAGTATTTCCAGTTAAGCCCTGACTGATCACACATCACAGGCAAATTTGTATATAATATTTTTTTATGTTGTGTGGGATTCTAGTTTTTGCAGTGGAGGTTTTTAATTTTTTGTTTGGGTTTGAAAGGAATTATCACTTATAGTGACATTTTGTTTGTTTGAATCATAGAATATGCTATTGTTATACCACTTTGGTGTGAATTATGAAATATTTGTTTATGGGCTGACTTTACAGATTGTGATGGTGGTATTGCCTAATTTTGTTATCTAGTTCATTCCAGAGTATTTTCAAGAAGTAAGATCTGTTATATATTACATAAATGTCCATGTTTATTCATGTTGGTTTATTTTTTTAAAGGAAAATTACGTATACTATGTATACTTTTATATAGGGATATTCCTGTTTTTCCAGTAGTTCTAAGACTTATTGTATAGGTAAGTGACAGTACCCCTGTATGAAAAGTTAGTATTTTACATGCCTCTGACTGACTTCAGTCAAAATTATCTCCAACTAATACACATCAACATACGAATGGAACTCAGAACAAAGCTTAATTTCATTTCCTTCTGGACTTAACTTTTTCTCAATGGTCTGGGAGACGGACTATACAAGCCTCAAAGAATGAACTTTATAAGAGTGCTATATGTGTACTATTTTCTTCAGATTTAGAACAATAAATATCAAATAATTCCTGGATTAATATTTTATAGTCAATCTGATTTTACAAACCTGTTCACTTGTCATCTGTATAATATTTGTATTTGCCTTTTGTAAAATCCAGTGGCAGCTATGTACAGGATGTACTCAGACTTTTATTCTTGGTATTTTGGCAGAAATTGAAATACAATCCATATTAATTGTATCAGCAGTGTAGGATGAATTTTGTGGAGAACGGGTTAAAAAAATATCTAGTCCGTCCTCATGTCGGGTAAATTTTAGCAAACCAATGACATATATATAATGATTATAACCTTTTTGAATATTTACTGCCGAAGGTGTTTTATTTATATTTGGAGGACAGGCTAGATTTTTCTGCCAGTCCTGTGGACAGGCTAGATTTTCTACATCTTTCCTACACTGGTATCAGATTCATATATTTCAGAAACAGCTAGCAGTATTATGTTAACTGTAAAGGTGGGAATGACCATGGTTTACAGTAACAGTTATATATGTGAGGCAGGGTGTATTCGTAGTGAAACAGCTGGAGATGAGTGTCATGACCAAAAGCTATCTTAAAGTATCTCAAACAATTTATGTTTAAAGTGGGAATGTTATTCAGTACATTGTGTTTTTTGTTGGGTTTTCTTTTCAAAATAAAGCTGGTGCATAGTTTTATTTTTTGTACGTTTTGTGATCTGTAGGTAGATAGCATTGCTACACTGACATGTCAGACAACGATGGATAGATCAGCCCCGCCTACAACATCACGATCCCATCGGAGAAATGTTATCCGAACTTGTTTTGATGTAATGAAACAAATGCTAACACAACTGTTTGGTTAGCCAAATAAATGCCATGGGATCACTTGCAATATTTTAATTTCTTTTGAGTTGTGAATCAAAATACCAATGTGCAAATGGTTTTTGACAATCTTATTAGAATGTTAGTCTGTTATATATCTTTAAGTATGAATCGGGGCAGTGGGGTAGCCTAGTGGTTAAAGTGTTGGCTCGTCACGCCATAGACCCGGGTTCGAATCCCACATGGGTACAATGTGTGAAGCCCATTTCTGGTGTCCCCCGCCGTGATGTTGCTGGAATATTGCTAAAAGCGGCGTAAAACCAAACTCAGTCAGTCAGTCAGTTAAGTATGAATCAGATTAATACTAGTGGAGTTTTAATTAATTTGTCTTATTGTTAAAACTATCATTAGATCTACTAATGGTATACACAAATATTTTTGTTGTGAACATGGAGATATGAATTTAGTTCAATAAGAGTGATTTTTGTCAAATTCATGTTTTCAGTTCTCATTTTCCTAGGGCAAGTTGAGTCCATAAACAGTCCTGCCCAGTACTGATGTCTGACTAGTTATTATACATTCGTTAATATCAGTGTGAAAATATAAATATCAGTTTGTGGAAAATGCGTCTTGTTGGAAAACAAATTGTGATATCCTTTCAACATGATTTATTTGTTGGTAATATGAGTAAGTCTTCCCTAATACAGTATCAGATGTTTCCATATTCAACTGACTGTATTGTTTACCAGTGCCTTGCATTTACAAAGATGTCGATATGCATGATTGTGCCCTGTCCTCTGGCAGCTATGTATAATCAAGATTGATCTGATTAAATTGTTATACACATGTATATTTAACAGTGTATTCCATTTGTAAGCTTATCATGTATTATGAACATATAATTATACAAATAGCAATGATTTTTATTCATCCTACAGGAATGTCAATGTAAATTCTCAGACTGTAAATAGGGTGACACATTTTTGCACTAAGTAACATGGTGGTCTTGGCCGACACACAGTATCGGGGCAACAAGAATGGAACAGGTTGCATTCTTGAAGACACACAACCTCCTCCATGAAATAGTTTGAAACACAAACATTATCTATTTACAAACAGATAGTCATGTTTCTTTGTTTTGGATGTTAGATTACAAGTTATTATGTTTAGACACCTGTCCCCAACACTTACAGTCTGTGTCAGATTAATGTGACACCGTAAATCAATGTTCTTATCTCTCAAGTATGGGTTGAAGTTAATGCTGTTTGAATGCAGGAGCTCTTCAACTGAATCTCTTATTGAATGGTAAGATATTGAGATTACAGCCCAAGCATTATCAAAATCATGTGTTAAAGAGGATGATATATTCCTAATATTCTTAATGTTTGATATCCACAACTCATAATCACAAGAGGGTTTATATCTCTATAGTATAATGTCATTCTGAAAGATAATGAAGACATTGTTTAATTCACTGAAGTAACTTTAGAAACTGTAGGAATACAATGCCTGAGTGAAGAGTACCCAGTACTAGATAGTGAGTGATTTAAAGTTCTCGCATCATAAAATCTATCTGAATATTCTGAATATTATCTACGGTTTTGAAGGTAATAGGCACTGCTATGATGAAAAGAATCTCTAAAGCAGCACAGTCATATGACCTCATTTGCATATTTATCAGACTTTTATCACTACGATAACATTCCATTTTTTTATAAACAGACAATATCTTTAACTTGCAGAATGTTATGGCAGTGTTGGAGACCGAGAAGATCTGGGTTAGAATTGATCTTCAGAAACCCATGCTTGTCAGAAAAGGCTTACTACTAATGGGATCGGGTGGTCAGGCTCACTGACTTGAATTCGACACATGTCATTGTATCCCAATTGAGTAGTATAGCTGGAATATTGCTGAGTCGCGGCGGAAAACTTAACTCACTTACTCATACAACGTGGAAGGCACAAGTGTCCTAGCCTTGTTGCTAACCAGGCCTATCCTATCATGCTTTGACACTGATCCCCACAAGTAGACATCAACGAGGTAAATAGCTTTGCCCTAACTGATCACTATGACATAAATGCATGATTGTGCCCTGTCCTCAGGCAGCTATGTATAATCAAGATTGATCTGAATAAATTGTTATATATATTTAACAGTGTATTCCATTTGTAAGCTTATCATGTATTATGAACATATAATTATACAAATAGCAATGATTTTTATTCATCCTACAGGAATGTCAATGTAAATTCTCAGACTGTAAAGAGGGTGACATATTTATGCACTAAGTAAAATGGTGGTCTGAGTCGACACACAGTATCGGGCAACAAGAATGGAACAGGTTGCATTCTTGAAGACACACACACCCTCCTCCATGAAATAGTTTGAAACACAAACATTATCTATTTACAAACAGTTAGTCATGTTTCTTTGTTTTGGATGTTAGATTACAAGTTGTTATGTTTAGACACCTGTCCCCAACACTTACAGTCTGTGTCAGATTAATGTGACACCATAAATCAATGTTCTTATCTCTCAAGTATGGGTTGAAGTTAATGCTGTTTGAATGCAGGAGCTCTTCAACTGAATCTCTTATTGAATGGTAAGATATTGAGATTACAGCCCAAGCATTATCAAAATCATGTGTTAAAGAGGATGATATATTCCTAATATTCTTAATGTTTGATATCCACAACTCATAATCACAAGAGGGTTTATATCTCTATAATATAATGTCACTCTGAAAGATAATGAAGACATTGTTTAATTCACTGAAGTAACTTTAGAAACTGTAGGAATACAATGCCTGAGCGAAGAGTACCCAGTACTAGATAGTGAGTGATTTAATGTTCTCGCATCATGAAATCTATCTGAATATTCTGAATATTATCTACGGTTTTGAAGGTAATAGGCACTGCTATGATGAAAAGAATCTCTAAAGCAGCACAGTCATATGACCTCATTTGCATATTTATCAGACTTATCACTACGATAACATTCCATTTTTTTATAAACAGACAATATCTTTAACTTGCAGAATGTTACGGCAGTGTTGGAGACCCGAGAAGATCTGGGTTAGAATTGATCTTCAGTAACCCATGCTTGTCGTAAAAGGCGACTAATGGGATCGGGTGGTCAGGCTCACTGACTTGGTCGACACATGTCATTGTATCCCAATTGAGTAGTATAGCTGGAATATTGCTGAGTGCGGCGGAAAACTTAACTCACTTACTCATACAACGTGGAAGGCACAAGTGTCCAAGCCTTGTTGCTAACCAGGCCTATCCTATCATACTTTGACACTGATCCCCACAAGTAGACATCAACGAGGTAAATAGCTTTGCCCTAACTGATCACTATGACACAAGTCTTGAAATGAAGTCTTCATCATACTGACACTCAAACAAATAACAAAAGTCAACTGGAATTGAATCATACAAATATATTGTGTATTGAAATGTGAATATTCTACAAACACCCTAATGTGTAAACGTGATTTATAATACTGTTTGTTTAGCTATACAGTCCTTAGAGACAAGAGATCTTGGTGCTAAGATTTGTTCACATAGTATACAAAAACATGACTTTGTTGTATCAACAAGATCCCTGTTCAGTAGTGGGCCCATGGCACTTGATATATCACATGTTATATGACACATCAGGTATCTCTGGGTTGATACATTAGATGACAATACATCTGTATACTTTCACCATTAATCCACAATATATGTTTATAATAATAATAATAATAAATTATTCACGTAAATATTCCCAGATCACATGGCCAGCTTTTGATGATTTTATAGAATCATGCATGTGATGAATAACATGGAAAGTCATTCAAGTCCAGATCCAGTAAACAAATCTGACGTTTGGCAATATAAATGAGACTGATTCAAACCAAATTTACTAGCATCATATAGTACTCAAAAGAAGTTAAGGCACACCCTATTCTAAGTTTTAGATAAAATATTCTGTCAAGGCAGCGTAACGAAAGCCATATGAAAAAAAGTGAGTATACTTAACTTCTTTTGACCAGTCTATTACTGCCATGTGAACTTCTGCAAACAATATTGACACTGGTATATAGATATATAAATAAAATCCATATCACATCATTGATGAGACAGTTAAATACCATAAAGCATATTCATTAAATGCAACAATATCACAGACTTAAAGCTATTGGTTTAGCAAAATTAACAATCGATAATACTGAATAAATGTGTATGTAAATACCTGTATATTCATAATATATAAAAACAAACAGTAAAAGTGCAAAATACAATATATGCAAGGTTATGGTGATTCATAATACTGAATACTGCCACTTCATTCAAAAATATGATTCAATAATACTGTGTTAATACTGTGAGCTAATTACCCTAAAGAATGTCACGTGGTGCTGTTGTTATGACCACAAACACATACTACTTTAAAAAAGTTGAACACCTTATTCTTTCATTTTACATTACTTCATCTGTTGTGGTAAGAAAGATTAGGAATAGTAATATCAAAGAAGCAGGTGTACTACTTTTAGTTCTGTTCAGTAGTACATATCCGAGGCCATTTTGATTTAAGCATTCTGATTACAGCCAAAGGCATATTATGCTGAGAGTATTGTCATTGAGCAAATGTGTAAAGTGAAAACCTCTTTCGACAACAAAGATGGTTATCATGAAATCCAAACAAACATGTTTACAACAAAAATTGTCCAGATTTACAATTTCTGGATTAATGAATAAAGTTTAAAGAAATATATTCCTTTGTATATGAGCCATTTTCCAGATAAAGAGGGTTTGGAATAATGAGGTTTCTTGCATAAAACAAAATAGGTTATTATTCTTGGAGAATACAACTCAACATATTTGGCGATAAGTGAGGAAACTAACATTGAGCAACCATTTTAATTAGCACAACAAGATCAAGCTTGAGGATGTTGTGAGAAAATATGACCAATCCATGTTTTAGAGACAGTCACTGTCTTAGCAGCATTATCATATATGAAACATTGTTTCTCTTTAAAGAATCAAATATTGATTCAAGAACATAATAAACTGAGGTTAGCAAATTTAACTTGTTAATCTGATGTATTGTCAAGCAGATGATGCAAAAATCATAACAAAAAGTGCTTGTGTCTGCTAAGACTCGAGTGAAAACAATTGGTATTGAAATTATTCCAAGATTGTGAATATGCTGAACATTTGTGCTCGCATTACCATTCAGCATGATCATTTTAACATCAAGGACATATCTCGTGCTGTGCAACTAGTTAAAAAATTTATCAATGTAATAACAATGTGCAGATATATAATCTAAAGACTTAAATGGAATTCACAAAATCAGTAATATGAATACTTGAAAGAGTTGGATCAATGCTACATGATCTCGAGGATGTCTAAATACGTAGCCTCCAATTTCACTGTTTTGATTTGAACTGTTCATATTAAAAAATAGATGAAACACTGTAAATTCATGTAATACTGTTAGTTATTCATTGTCACATAATATCCAATATGTTAATCATTACTGATATAAACCTTTGATTGTTAAACAACATATATCAAAATACTTCATAATGTACAGAAATGAGACTAGATATAGTGATTTTAGATGTCATCTGAAATAATTCAGATGCCAACACACAAGTTCTTATTTCAACAAGAGACCAGTGGAATGTCACCAGGAAGCTTTTCTGGAGACTTCACTGACGAGACTTGTCTCAAGCCCAGATCCTTGTTGGTGTGATTGTATTTGTGGAGGGTCGTGGAGTTCTCACGTGGATTGGCAAATCTTGTTGTCACCAGCCCACTAGCTGATCTAGGGTTGTATGAAGATGTATAAGTTGAAGTGAAATCCCCACGAGTTTCATCAGCAATTTGGTCGCTCCAGCGGTTTTGAAGTTTCTGATACAAGCCATAGTTGGTGGAAGACCCTGCAATGTGATGAGGTATAAGTTAAATTGAAAATTCATGACTGTCCAGTCTTGAGAGAATAAGTACCCAGCAGTGCAATGGCTGTTAAAGGTTGGTAAAATTTGATTTAGGTAAATAAGGTAAGAAAAATGTCCTTATTACATACACTATGTGGTTTTAACCATAATTCTGGACCCGTGAAGGTCCAGGTTAGAATGAACCTTCAGTAACCTATGCTTGTCGTAAGAGGCGACTAACGGGATCGGGTGGTCAGGCTCGCTGGTTTGGTTGACACATGTCATCGGTTCCCAATTGCGCAGGTCGATGCTCTTGCTGTTGATCACTGGATTGTCTGATCCAGACTCGATCATTCACTCGACCGCCGCCATATAGCTGGAATATTGCCGAGTGTGGCATAAATCTAAACTCACTCACTCACTCATAATTCTGAAACCAAAGTCTTAAAATAAAATACATCAATTGATGTATTGAAAATATTTTTCAAACAGACTACAGCTGTAGTAGTTCGGCCAAGATCAACCGTACATGATATTGTGCTTAAAGAAACTTTTTTACATTTTCTACCTGAAATGTTATTTGGCTATGTGTATATTGTCAAATGATATGTTTTTTTGTTTTTTATGGCAATGCTGCAACAAGTTGTGTTGCAGCAGACGGACATTGTACATCCTTGGATGATGTCTTTTTGTAAAGATATAGTTGTCTTTCATAATTTAATGAGATGTTTGACAGTTGTTCATATGTTTACAGAGAAAACAATGTATGTTTCTTATGCATCTGAAAATCCATAATGCATTGATACTACCTTGTAGAGGGTAATCAGACTTCTCAGGTGCCCATGAGAGTTCATGGCTGTTCCAGGTTCTCAAATCAGGGAGAGTGTTTTCTCTCCATCTCCCGTTGTAGTGCTCGTCGTACCAAGAAACCATGTTGTTCGAGTAGCGGTTGCCATGGTGATAGAACAAGTTTTGTTGCCCGATTCCTTCATTTTTCAAACGAGCTGAGCGTCTTATGACGACATCTGGACGATGACTTCCAAAGTTTCTGAAGTCAATTCTGTGAGTGCTGTTGTGTGGGGTATTTCCCTTGTTAAACTGTTAAAATCAGAGAAAGAATTTTATTAAAACTTGTCATTCAGTCTATTCAGCTGTAGGCCACTTTTAGCAATAGGCATAGGGTAAACATGATCATGAACATATCTTGATCTTGAAGAATATTGGTATTCATAATTAAGACTTTTTTCAATCCTTTAACTTTTTATCATGAAAAATAACTGTCTCGGAAATGTTATGTAAGTCATATCAACGTTTACGCTGTTTGTTGCTCTGTTGTCAAATTATCTTGGCTCTGATCTACATTACTAAAGACCCATTTTTTATACTGAAACTTACCACATTGCGTTCTTCTGACCAGTTTCCAATAAGGACCCCTTGTGAAAAGCGTTGTTCTATTCTCCAACCCGGTAAATGCCATTTTCTGGGGTCCCCTTGCGCCATCGTGTGCTATCAGTCTCGGACAACTAGCGAAAATAGCCGAAAGTGTCACTGTAGTTGTATGACAGTGATAGTTGCTGTGAAATCCCTACGCCACGCGTGGAATAAAAACAATGGCAAATGTGATATTTTATCACTGCAATTTGATAAGTTATGTTTTACAATCTTATGTACAAGCGCCCATTAACAGACAGTACCTCATTTTGTATCTTTGATTTTTTATAATGCAAAACTCTGTGCACTATTTTGTTATAGCGGACTTTCACGCGTGGTTTGGCGTTGCTATCAACTAGGTTACTCAAAATATGAACTACGGACGAAACGAAATATTATGAGAACGCCATGAACCCGCGCCAAAAATCGCCAATGTCTTCACCGGGGCCAAATTTTCATGTTAGTTTGTGTAGAAACTTAGAAATTAATAAATTCCCTCTTCTTCGCTGCAGGTAGTGTAGTGATTGAACCGCTCTGAACAGTATTTGGTTCATGCCAGCGGAAAGTGATTCTTATCGTACTGCGTGAGAATTCGTCACAAAGGACAAATTTTAAAAACTATATCCCGACATAATTTAACTAATAAACTCGGTTCCCAATTGCGCAGATCGATGCTCATGCTGTTGATCACTGGATTGTCTGGTCCAGACTCGATTATTTACAGACCGCCGCCGGATATAGCTGGAATATTGCTGAGTGCGGCGTAAAACTAAACTCACTCACTCACTCACTCAACTAATAAACTGACGTCCAAACTGAGTTTCCTATGTTCGATCTGAAAGACCGAATAAATTATCCTCAAAATGATAATATTTAATGTGTTTGACTGTAAAACCCATTAAGAGAAATGGAGAAAATATCAAACAATGTCCAAATTATAATCAGAACATCCCATTAATGTGTTGGTACCATGCGACTTATGTCCAGTTACAATGCGCCAGATTCCATCCATATAATACTATATAATACTAATGTAAACTCCACATCAAAAGTTTAGACTCACTATTGTAAATATAGCCACTTATTTCAGGCAAATGTTCTAACTAAATTTTGCAAAATATTCCATACTGTTTAAAGGTGCTGTTTATACATGAACTGATGTATTGTAAAACAAATTCATAACGTTGAAAAGATTATTGTCATGCGTTCAATATATGATGAAACTCGGTTAAAAATGGCGAATTCTTATCAAAACTTCGCACCAAAACGCAGCTGATCACATGCCTGATATTTGCATATACTTTTCAGCAGTTTGATGCATGATCCTCATGCAATTAATCTGCATAAGGTTTGCAGTTGTTTCCCCCAAGTTAGTGGAGAAATTCATCTTCGTTGTAACAATATATACATACATAACATATAGTGAATGTTTTAAGGGAGTCTAAACTTTTGATGGGTAGAATATATACATTACAATACGGCGGCCTGTGAACAGTAGTCTGGACCAGGCAATCAAGTGATTGACATAGCGAGCATCATACGCCAACAGGACACGAGAACAAAAAGTCAACGAAAGTGACAGTTACTTCTCGTCGATCGCTTCTTACCACAAGGGGGCGGTGGGGTAGCCTAGTGGTTAAAGCGTTGGCTCGTCACGCCGAAGACCCGGGTTCGAATCCCCACATGGGTACAATGTGTGCAGCCCATTTGTGGTGTCCCCCGCCGTGATGTTGCTGGAATATTGCTAACAGCGGCGTAAAACGAAACTCAGTCAGTCAGTCTTACCACAAGCAGGGGTTCTTACCCGAATCTACAAGGGGTTAATTGCTCGTGACCATCATTGCCCAGGAAGAAACCGAAAACACTTCTTTGAAACTGGCGTTGAAGACTTTTGGTATGGATGCCCACATCGGGTATATGTCGGTTTACAGCGGGTATTGAATTAAACTCAATTCTGGGGTGGAGGAGTTTGTTCGTCTGGTTGAATGACGCGACACTCTGCAGTATTCTATCTCTTGGACGACGGACTGTAAAAATCGATAAGAAAGTAAGATACTTTATGGATAACAACTTCTTTATCATATATGTTGCATCACATATAATAAAGAAGTTGTTATCCATAAATTATCTTTATTTTCTTATTACTCACCAACTTCTAAAATGCCAATCAAACAGATCGTGTAGAAATCGAGTCTGGGCCCATAAAACCAAGGACATATGATGTATTTAGCAGCGTCATACGACGTCGGGTTACGATGACACCAACACACGAGGGCCACTGTGCCTGGCCAAACTATGTCAGTTTCTACTCTCGGATATCAACAATCCCCGAACCAGATTATCCATTCTGCCCAGCCATTACTGCAATGCTATTGTCTTCTAAATGAGTCAGATCGATAATTTCCACAGGCCTGTTTTGAGTAGCCTCCTATTCAACTTGGTCCTTTTCAGTTTAAATGGAGCTGTGCGTTTCTATCAAAGTTATGTATTTTCTAGAGACTTAGCGTTAGTCTACGGGAGAACATGGTTCTATTTCGAAGCTAATTCAACAAAATGGGGAGTATTACAGAAGGGCAACAATCTGTACTCTGACGTCCTGAAGCTGGACAGTATAGTATTGATTTCACCCTTCGGTAGCCGCGGTCATACTTTATCAGGAAAATGCTTCAGTAACCTGACTGGCTTCGAAAATATGTAATTTACAGGGAGAAAATGCCCTGTGCTGTCTGAGGCATCTCGTTAGATAAGCTCTTAAAGATACTGACAGCTGATGCCGCTCATAGAGCAGCGTATTTGGGGGGTCAGAAATTGAGTGAGTGAGTGAGTTGGGATTTACGCTGCTTTTAGCAATATTCCAGCAGTATCACGACGGGGGACACCATAAATGGGTTTCACACATTGTACCGATGTGGATAATCCTTCGGGGTGACGAGCGAACACTACCCCACCGTTCTGAAACATGAGTACCAGAACTTGAGCAAGATGTATATTTTTGACGCATGGCGTCTTTAATTTTCCAAAACCAATGTTAGAGCCTTGCAACATTTGGTTTGGAAACCTAGACTCGACAAGCTTTCCAACGGTACCACATACACACAGCTATACCTCCGGTAGACCGATCTTTATTTTGCTAGCTAGCTGGAGATTGTCACTGGTCTTCAAGCTGAAAACGTGTACTCATTGGGAGGCTAAAGGCTCTGTGAAAGGTTGCCTCCCTCAGCTGGACAAAGATACTTATCCTAAATTGTCCAGTGATAGGGTCTGAGGTCTGTTAGGTGAAGATGTCCTAATGTCTCCAATCATTAAAGATCACATATACTCTAGGTAGGTACAAATACATACATCATTTATTGGCATCGTTATTAATGAAACCCCGTCATTAGAACTACTAATTGCGACATTTAATTAACTTAAATCGATATATTTGACAACAGTGCACAATTCTCTCCCGAGAACGAAATTTCAACCAATCAGAGGGGCGCGTCTCCGTGACGTAATGTGAGGTATACATAGGAGGGGCGATGTAGAATTCAAGGACATTTCCGAGGGTAGATTATCTTGTTTACAGTTTTGTCTAAACCTGAAATCGTGACAAATGTTGTGAAAAATGAAAGCTTTATGTTTTCACAATCTACTGTCATTTAATCTTGTCACCTGTTTTGCCTAGCTTTCCGAGTTACAACTTGTTTTCATAGACGATTCTGTCAAGATAGCAGTGGGACATTAGGAAGGGTGGATGTCCATCAGATGCCGTTATTTGAAAATATCCCCGGTACTTGTTATCTGATTGTAATAAAGTATCCCAACAGTGTAGGATTTTTCAGATTTTCTAATGCTTGGATCGTATAATGAAGGATCCAATTTGATCCTATTTCTGTGTTTTTGCCTCGATATTTAATCATGTTATGTACAAATATGTCTATTTCCTGCTATGATATTAGAAACACACATTTGATGTATTTGAATCCCTAAACATCAAGCCAAATCCAAATTCTAACGCTGAAAACACACTTGTAGGAAAAAGTATCTTCAGCAATGATGTTTACGAGTATGTTATATTTTCCTTTCTGCATGTCTGTGGGGACGGGTATGGTTACGACTCATACTCATACTGTAATGATATTTGGCCCCGTGCCATTGCCGGTCAAAGGGGAGTAATCCCGTTTACCATCAGCTGTAACCAACTTATCTCCCTTTGAAAAAGGGACGGAATTCTCGATTTGTTGAACGCGATTTGCCGCCTTTGATTGAGGGCATACTCCGTAATTATTCACTCGCTGATATTCACCAGCAGCCGACTCCTGAATCAAGTTGACGACGCGCATTGGAAGCTAGGAACCAGCTTATGAGGTATCGTGGTTCCCCACTCCCCTTGCACGTCGTCACGCCACCAGTGCAAAATATATGGTCAAAGGGAGGTAATCGTGTATACTCCGTGTAGGAGTTATGTCCCTTTGCTGCAAGGGAGGTAAGTCGATGTAGCAAATGCTGAATAAAAACAATGTTACTTCCCTTTGACCATCAATGGAACGGGTTTTCAACAGCAATAAGTTGGGATTGGTGTTGTGTTGATAGCAATAATAAGTACCACAGTGAAATATCGGTGCAAGGCCCATGAAACGACATCCCTGCTCACTGAGAACTCGCTATAGATCGCCGAGATTAGTTCATGGAACTATTGAGTTGTCTTTCTGAGGGAAGATCTTAACATTATTATACAAATTATGGGTACAATTGTTTTTAGGGCATTTCCATTTGCAGAAGACTCGAGTTCTGTCATTAACAGCCTGAGCTAATTATGACGTCGTGTATTGCGATTTATTACCCATATGGTGAAACATAACCAGTCTCATAATTATATATCACATGTGCACATACCACTTTAGCCTAGGAACCATTGTTTCTGTATTTCGTCGTCTATGAAGTCATTAAACAATTGAACGTGACGTCAACGAAGAGGGCCGTCACATTAGCTCAGCGTGTTTTACTGCACAAAATGTACATGAATAAAATGGTCGAGTGTAATATTTTCTTAATCATCCAAGTGCTCTCGCTCGGGCAATACAAAATTTCACACTCGTTTCGTATAAGTCGTATGGCACACTTGCTCGTGTAATAATCTCTATTATATGTTAATCAAATTTCTCTCAAAATAACGATCGCATTTACAGTAAGTGTCAGTCTCGCCTTCATTTCCTCGGGAAATTTTGATCTTTCACACTGACTCAACGTTTTTGGAACTTGTCTATAAAACTTGTGTACAATCCATCCCCCTGTTCTCTATTCAGTGAACCGCCTCATACCAAAAACAAAAGACGTTAAAATATGGTACTTGTTGGTCCCTGCCTGGCGCTCGGCATTAATGGGTACAACAAGGACTGGTCGGCTCGGAGTCAGTATAATGTGTCTGAGTGGGGTATTCATGCTTCACTGCGGCATGGTATCACAGTGGGCTAGCACAATAAAACCAGCTTCAGTCTGGGCCAGTACAAGCAGACGCACATACACATACACACGCATGCACGTCGTCATATGAGCGAAATATTCTCAAGTGCGACGTAAAACCCAATTTCACCTCACCTCATTTCATTTCACCTCACCTCACCTATTCAGTGATGGTGCGACTCCCTTTCACTCAGTAATGAAAACAAACTAAACAAGATTATAGAACAAGGAGAGAAAATTACTAATCGTAGCTTTTAGAGAATAGATTAACTACATGGAGGAAAGGCTCTAAATGTAGCTACAGCAATTATTACTGATCCCTCTCATGTTTGCCATGAATGTTATGAAGTTTTACACTCTGGCCGTCGGTGAGTGAGTGAGTTTAGTTTTACGCCGCACTCAGCAATATTCCAGCTATATGGCGGCGGTCTGTAAATAATTGAGTCTGGACCAGACAATCAAGTGATCAACAGCATGCGCATCGACCTGCGCAATTGGGAACCGATAACATGTGTCAACCAAGCCAGCGAGCTTGACCACCCGATCCCGTTAGTCGCCTCTTACGACACGCATGGGTTACTGAAGGTTCATTCTAACCCGGACCTTCACGCGTCGTCGGTATAATGTACCGACGTACAAATCCAAGCGTCATATCATAAAAATGTTTTTTGTGCCATTATTTATATTACATGGGTATTTATCATCGTAGTCCATCCATCTACATGCATGCTCAAAGCGCTGTGTTTTTTCCCTCGATCATTGGATGTCAATCTCAACGACACATCGTATTTTCAATCTCAACTCCCTGTGGATCATATAACCCGTGCAGCCACTTGGCGCACCAAGTTAATGTGGCTTTCCCATCCTTACGAGATACCCATTCACAGCTAGGTGGACTGGGACACATAGTCACAGTACTTTGACCAGGTTTACTGCACGTTGCTGTACCAGCAACTAGGTGTTAGCACGTATTCATGTGGCCACCATCTGGTCATTTACCAATGGATTCGTGGGTTCTTTTAAGTGCACAGGGTTGTGTACTGTACACTAGAGGTTGTGACAACACTGAAAGATTCTGCACACAAAGCTGACTCCCAAGATTTTCACAACCATCACATTTTGGGCTCGATCCCTGCACCTCATGCTCGCTGGATCAGTAGCCTGGCGCCTTAGAAAGCTCACCCACCACGCCCCCATTATCAATTTCTTTGTCGAATAATCGTTGATATTCTCCATTTTCATGCATTTGTACATTTGTGTGTAATTATGATCATGTTTTTATGTATTCATTTGATATACATATACTTATGCTAACTCAGATGTAAAACAAATTCCCTCACGGGCAATAAAGGATTATTGAATTATCTTAATTTAGCTCATATGGTCAAAGGGGGGTAATTGTGTTTTTACTCCATTGAAGAGTTATGTCCCTTTTCGCAAGGAAGGTAAGTCTGTGACAAATAGTGAACGGAATCGAAGTTATTTCCCTTTGACCACACGGGTCCTAAGTCCTTGCGACGTAGCATCTCGGTGAGTAAGTAGTTTGTTCGTTGTTTAACGTATATATGGCGTCGGTCTGTAAATTTTACCAGTGACACAGCGTTGAGTTGTCTGGACAACCTAGATTAGTTCATGCTAGCGTTGAGTTGTCTTCCTTTGATCTTTAACCGAACAAGCTCACTAAGTTGAGACCTTCGTTACTCTTCTAATATCATCTGAAGGACGATCTTACGTAATTATTGATATTTTTAAGGGTACTATCATTTTCTCAGTGCATTATTATTTGCATGAGCCTGCGTTCAGCCATTAAGGGGGAAGTGTACACGAAAAAATCACTTTCTTTTATGTGAAATAAACGGATTTTTTTAATTAGTTAATATCAATGTTTGAAAATATACACTCATTGATGCTGACAAAAGTTTGATTTTCGTGTAAACTTGCCCATTACGTGCCTGACAACTTAATCAAAGGAGAGTTGCCATGGGAACCAACATTCCTTCATTAATCCAGGTCCAGGTCCAGCTTTGTTGGTTTATTAAGGCTACATTCAGCAATTTTGGGGTAATAATAATAAATAATAGTCTGGACCTGACAATCCAGGGATTAACATGCTCATCTATCTAAGCAATTGGGATATGATGGCATCCATCAATTAAGTCACCATGTCTGAGCACCCAGTTCCAGTAGTTGTCTCCTTACAGGTATCCATCCTGAGCGATGTCTTTCTTCAATCTATTTTCTTCACTGAAACCTCTCCCAGTATGCTTGTTGCGTTAACAGTACACTCATAAATACTAGACCGCCTCCGTGGTGTAGTGGTTAGAGCGTCCGCCCATAGAGAGCGGAAGGTCGCGGGTTCGATCCCCGCCACGTCATACCAAAAGACGTTAAAATATGGTACTTGTTGGTCCCTGCCTGGCGCTTGGCATTAATGGGTACAACAAGGACTGGTCGGCTCGGAGTCAGTATAATGTGTCTGAGTGGGGTATTCATGCTTCACTGCGGCATGGTATCTTAGTGGGCTTGCACTATAAAACCAGCTTAAGTCTGGACTAGTACAAGCAGCCGCACATACACATACACACGCATGCACGTCGTCATATGAACGAAATATTCTCAAGCACGATGTTAAACCCAATTTCACCCCACCTCACCTCATAAATACTAAGCAATATAACAGTAAGTAGTAAATGACAGGGCCTGAACAGACAAGCCCTGCTTGATGTTATGAGCACTACCAATAATGACTACCGACCAAGTGATAATCAACCAGACAATTTATTCGACTTATACAACCAACATGGTTTGCTTGGGACAATGTGTGAAGCCCATCTCAGGTGTCCCCCATCGTGATGTTGCTGGAATATTGCAAAAAGTGGAGTAAAACCAAACTCCCTCACTCCTAAATGTCATAAATTTAAAGTGCACTTATCCTGACATCCATGCTGAAATGTGGATTATTTGTGTTCTCTGATCTGTGGATCTGAATGCACACCTGTTGTATTTTTGGTGAGAACACAACCCACACTACCCACATCCTGCTCACATATCAGGTACCTAGTGATGTTCCGATGATTGAAAATAATCGAAAATCGATTGAAAGAAGGATTAAAAATTATTATTGATTGTAAAAAACATACTTTTGATTAATCGAATTTTGTTGTTTTTGTATAACACCCTTGAATGAAGTAAACTAACCATCAAATTTGACAAATATTCACAAACAAACATGCGCTCAACAGCGTCAAGCTTTGCACATTGTAAAATTTAACCACTTTTATTGTTTAATTACAATTCCAGTGTCTTTCTTGCATGCATACATTTCATATTTTGCCTGAGAGCATTAGTTATAAAAAAAACCCCACTAATTAGAAAAAACCTCGGGAAAACCCCTTACAATTGGTGATTAAATTAAAAATGTATATATTTTGATTATAATCGATAATCGTTCACCACAATCCTCCAATAATGGATAGTGGATTTGGTTTACGATTCCCAACACTACAGGTACCTATTCCCTGCTGGGTGAACAGAGGCATATTTGGCCTTCGTCACTAGCCAAGTATGACACCACCTGCAACACTGGCTGTTCTAGTGTGTGCAGGTATTTGAGTTTCCACCATTTAGTCATCTATCATTGGATAGCAGGGTTCCTGTGGGCAGGGTGAATGTACTGTACACAAAGATTAGTGATTCACAGAAGATGAATAACAGCCTGGTTCTTGTTTCACAAAGAGACTTAAGCTCTGAGGTTATGGAAAATCCCAGACTTATGACAGTCGCAGCCTTACAGTGTCTTGGTGGACCGAGGCCCTGGTGTTTACTGAGATGGGTTACAGAACCTGGTACTTTAGACACATCACCTCACCATCCCTGGAAACTGACGGGATCTTGCTCCACAGTTATTGTTAATCAAAGCCATGTGCTATACACGTTTAGTAGAGCTGTGACGATATCGTAGTATCGATAATCCTGCTACAAATATATTGATGCTTTTTCTCGTATCGTGATATGTATCATAGACCTTAAAATTGTTAATTTTTACGTGAAACTGACGGTTATGTCAAAATTTACACTGTTAATTGCTATCAAAATATACATATCCTGAAATTTCTGTATCACACATCTAACGTTTAGGAATAACCCAAACATCAGTTAACATTGTTGGTATTCATTCGTGCAGTAACCTTGATGTTAAACATGGTTTTTATTATTAATCTTTAATTAAAATATTGTGAGATTTTTCAATAATATTTATGATAATCACATTTGCACATTCTGACAGCTGAGATGCTGAATCTAAGAAAGATCTCAGTCCGAAAAGCAATCTCAGTGATGCCATTGCCTTGGGACGCTGTTAAAGTAAGGGAGGTAACTCTTCAAGCTGTGCTCAATTTGTGGAAAAAGAGTCCAGAATTTAATAAGACAACAAAAAGCAGGTGATTAACTTATTTCCTATAATATAACACATACACAGGCATATACAATCCAGATAGTTTTCATGCAAACTCGATCCAAATCATTGGAATGACCTCTCTAAGCCTTTATCAAGGTGATTTTCCATATGTAGACTTGTAATACACCTGACTTAGATTCACAGTCACACAGGAACCTTTATGGGAGCCAGTTAGACATAAATGGACTCAAACACAGTCCAGCAGTCTTGACAAAGCTACTGGACTGTTGTGACGAGTCAACTTGGCACAGATGAATAGTACTCTCCACCCAGTACAGCATACTTGTTATTCAGATTATCCACATCAACAGTTTGGATGTTGAATCACTGCACGTCAGTTGTGACAGGGTCAGGCGTACTTCTTGGGTACAGCGTGGTATATCTCCTGATGGCCTCCGCCTTGGCTGCCCTGGCCTTCTCTGGGTCCACACTCTGGATAGCCAGTTCAAGTTCCGCCTTGTGTTTACACTCATGTTCTAGGTACACCTGGAAAAACAGCCAGCGAGTGAGTATATCTATGATACATTGTTAACTCCTATCTATGATGCATATTTCACTTCTATATCATCTATGATACCCGAATCCTCTTAGCTAATAATCTCAAGATACACATGTAAATTGAGGACAATCTTATGAATATACAACTTTTTTATTATGTATAAAAGTTGCATATCCGTAAAAAAAATCCTCATTCTACATCTCCTCAACTTCTAGAATGCCAATCAAAGAAGAGATACACATGTGACTGTAATTATATGATATTTTAAGTATCCTTGGGTGAATGTGGAACTGAAACTTTGACAACAAAATCTTATAATCACATACTTATCCTATCTCACTCAGTGCAGTTCATCTTCCTTTGAAGCTACTTAAGACCCAATCATAAAACATGTTTACAGCTTCAAAGAGGACACCTCATCCCAACACATCCCAGTCCCATGGTTACCACCTTAAACAATGGATCAGGCACTGCCTGAATCCTGTGCAAGCTGATCGGATTAGGTCCCCAGCATACTCACTCTCTTTCCTATCACCTAAGTGTGTGGCAGAGGCGGATCCAGGAATTTTCAGGGGTGTGTGTGTGTGTGTTCAAACCCACTGAACCCCTCCTCGGTTCTCGCCAATGCAAACATTAACTTCAATGTGGTCTTAAGTCATTTTCAAATGTATCCGCCAATGGTGTGGGCATATTTTACGCTGAGTCTGACTGTCAGAACTGTTTAGTTGCTGCCTGTGATTAGCATTGGATGGTAGAGAACAATTCTTACCCAGGTCCCAACCTGGTGTGAATGCATTAGAGTGAGTGAGTTTAGTTTTACACCACACTCGGCAATATTCCAGCTAAACAGCGGCAGTCTGTAAATAATCGAGTCTGGACCAGACAATCCAGTGATCAACATTATGAACATCGATCTACGAATTTGGGATACGATGACATGTGACCACCTGATCCCGTTAGTCGCCTCTTACAACAAGCATGGGTTACTGAAGATCAATATTCTAACCCGGACCTTCACGGGTTTGAATGCATGAGACAAGACACAGACAATATTAAATACCTTGATAACATCTTCTTCATGATTCTCTCTGCAGTAAACTGCGGATGATGACTGTGTATGTACAAGGTGGTAAATGTTGACTAAGTAAGCAGCATCATGAGCTCTGGAAAAAAAAAAAATAATAATAATAATATTGATTTTTTATTGATGTTATATTTTGGGTTACACTTTCTCAGCCTGGTAATGATTAAAAAGAATTTGGGTTGAGTCCCGTCTAGGATTTCAACCCACATTCTCTGTATGAGGCACCGAATTGCAAGCACACAAAGTAATCTTACCAAATCAGCCACCATGGTTTACACAAAAATAGAAGTTAGAGATATACTCACAGGTTTCTCAACAGCATGTCAATCAGCAGGTAGTCTATCTGTTTGTTCCAGACTAAATGAAAGGCCACTGGTCCAAAATGCCTTGTAGATCGGAGATCATCATAATCTCGCTGATCATGGACAGACTGGTAACATCTGTGAGTTATCTAAAACAGTAAGATACTGAGTCAAGGGTAGTGTTGAGGGAGTGAGGGAGGAAGTTTGAGGTTTTAATATCACTGCAGGGGACACCAGAAAAGGGCACCACACAATTTACCCATGTGGGGAATCGAACCCGGATCTTTGGCATGACAAAAAACACTTTAACCACAAGGCTACCCCACTGTCCCAGGGTAGTGTTGAAAATGGTTAGGTTGAAGAGTTGCTGGATGAAAATGATTGAGTGAGAGAGATGACATGGAAGTTCTCATAAGTACAGTCAAGTCAAGTCATTTTTTGTATTTGTGGTCAATGTTAGGAATGCATGTTTAATAGTGTGTTGGCCAGACTGGAAACAAATTTGAAACATGAAATTAGGGCAAGTTTGAATTTAATCGAATGTTGGTATGAAATGTGTCACTGAAAATGACTGAACAAAGGGTGATAACTCTGTACATACCCTGATGTAGTCTGGGTGATCAGGCTCAAACTGAACACAGGCTCTGTCCAGAATGTAAGCATATTTCTTCTTCTTCAATAAATTCTGCAACCAAATACAGACACATACTTTACTGGAATCTGAGTAAATATGTAGCTTGAATTTGGTTTCAAAAACACAGGGTTAAACAGTTAAAATGAGTGAGTGTGGTCTTACACCACTTTTAGCATTATTTCAACAATATCACAGCAGGGGACACCAGAAATGGGCTTCTAACATCCATGTGGGAGATCTAACCCAGGTCTTTGTCATGACAAGGGAACGTTTTAACCACGAGGCTACACCATCACTCCCAGCTCATATGAACCACAGCAGCTAATTTGTAGTTATCTCCCTTGATCTTATCTCCCTTTCATTGTCACGTAACAGATACACAGATGCAGGCTGGGAACACTAGCAGGTGAAGGTGCAAGAAGCAAGTCAGTTTTCTCACCTCAAGGTTTTCGTCCAGGAACATCTGAGGCATCACCAGCATCCTGCCTTCCCGAGGATTGTAGATCTGGTTGATCTTGTCTCGTTCTTCCCATGATGCCTTTCTCAAAGTTCCGTTTGGATCACGGACCACAATCAAACGACTCTACAAAAGTAGGAACATGTACATTATTACTGTACATTATTAAGAAGGCAGGGGCGTAGCAACCATTATAAAAAAAAGCCCGGGCTTACACAAGATTGTTGCTAAAAGGGTGGGCAAGCCCTCAATACTGTCTTAATATGAAGCTTTGCAACCTATCGGGCTTACACGAAAAAATTGGCTTGCTACGCCCCTGGAAGGCTGCAACTAAACCACCTGCCATAACAATAACCACAGCCTGGAGTTGCCAGATTAAATGCTGAACACAAAATTACCTGTCAGTGACACTTAACGCTGTAACTCACTCACCCTGTCAGACACACCAAAAGTGATGTCTGTGAATACCAGTTTGGATGTCTCCAATCCCTCCAGATCTGGATCTTGTGTCAACACTTCTGTGATGGGCTGTCTCATCCCCATGTAAGGGGGCATCTGTAGACGCTGCTTGGCTCGTCTCAGTGCCTTTTGTCCTATCTACAAACCATGCACAAACAATTTTATATGGAGAATCACCACTCCATGTCCTTTCATATGAAATATAACAAGCTTCTACACTAGCCACATAAAGAAACTGTGCATTGTCAAAATATTATCCCAGTTGATAAGTACGATAACAATGTCAAAGGTACACATAAACTTTAATGGAGGGATCATGAGACCATAACATGTCGGGAGAATTTCAACTGAAAAGTGAATCACAATGACGTCACGAGTCCACAAGCGGGACAGGGGTCAAACGACCATGTCACAAGCTCAATAACGGGTATGTCCACCATCGGCATTGAGAACAGCAGTGCATCGACGACGCATAGAGCCTATCAAACGTGCAAGGAAGGCTTGTGGGATGTCACGCCAGATTCTCTCAAGTTCTGTTGCAAGGTCAAGGACGTTATCTGGCAGATGAGGAAGACAGCGTAGACGTCGATCCATGTCGTCCCAAACATGCTCTATCGGGGAGAGATCCGGTGAATTTGCAGGCCAAGGCAGTAAGTCAACGTTGTGGTGTTGCAAGAAATCCATAGCAACCCTTGCCGTATGAGGGCGGGCATTGTCCTGTTGGAATGTTAACCCAGGGCCATGACGTTGCAGAAAAGGAATTGCCAGAGGTCGAAGAATCTGATCCCTGTAGCCCACACCAGTTAAGTTGCCCTGAACAATCACCAGAGGAGTTCTTTGGTGTGCTGTTATTCCACCCCAAATCATCACAGAACCACCACCAAAGCGATTCCTCTCCAAAACACAGGCCTGTGCATAACGTTCTCCCACGCGTCTATAGGCACGTTGACGTCCATCACTATGGGAAATGTTAAACCTGGACTCATCTGTAAAAACAACATTTCTCCACCAAAACAAGGGTCTGCGGACATGATTTCGGCACCACATTCGGCGAGCTTGTCGATGACGTTGTGTCAGGAAAGGCCGTATGGCGGGACGTCATCATGGTCTGATCCCGTGATGACATAAACATTGTCGAACTGTGTTGGGGTGGGTACGGCGAAGTCCTGGGATGGTTCGGGCAGTCATCACTGCAGTCTGAAACCTGCGGCGAAGATGGGTCACCCTTATCCATCTGTCCTGTCTTGGCATTGTTACACGTGTACGTCCAGAACGTGGCCGATCGATGACGTCATTTGTGTTCTGGTAGCGTCTCACCAGTGCAGAAATGGTGTTCCGGTGGCAGTGGAAATGTGCAGCCACTTGTCGTTGAGACATTCCCCCACGGACCATCCAAATGGCCTCATGACGTTGTGCAGACGTGAGCCTTGGCATGCTATGCATTTCAATAGCCGTTTAATTTTTTGAACGATCGCAAGGGCAGGGGTTGAACTTTCCAAAGTGACAGTATTGTGTGGCTTTCATTTGCTCTGTTTCTCTTTCCCAGAATGCACGTACACAACGTATTGCACGTCTCAAGGACGAACCCACTGACGTCACGGAACGTGGCACGTGGAGGTATGTTGGATACATGTCACTAATCTCTGAGTTTAAATCCTTATGTGTCTACACAGGTTTGATCAATTTAGATTTAAAATTTTTGTATGCACAGTTTCTTTATGTGCCTAGTATATTTATCATCCAAAATCTATCTTCCAACTTTTTCAGTGTGTTAGCAGTAATAACCAGTGTATTGAGTACAACTAACCAACTTCAGTAGCAGAGATTAGAATTACAGATGCATAACATTAGATTGGTTTATCAATGTTTTACCTTATTAGTTCTAAGGGTCTTTGCAGACAATTTAAGGGTCCTGTGAAGTAACAGTGTAGAGAACCGTACATTTTGATAATTTCTTTAGACACTGGAATGAATCATTGATTATATGGTGAATGAAATGATGTATATAACTGCTGTGAATGAAACTATGAAACAACATAGATGTGTAGTCGGTACAATGAATAATACTCACTGGACGCAGTGAATTATTTTTTGTGCGTCCATTCTCTACATTTGTGCGTATTGGACTAACATTTGCATGTCACATAAAACCCTGGTTAATAGTGTGTTGACATTTGCCATTCAATCACTGGGATGTCTGGTCCAGAATACATTCTAAACAGGTTGCTGCCATACAGCTGGAATGCTGCTGAAAGCAGTGTTAAACAAAAGAACAAAATAGGGCTGGGACGGGTCCAAATTATCTACCCGGGTACCAGACCCCCTATTACCCTACTCTACCCAGATACCCGATATGTTAATTCCTGACATCAAATTTGTAAGAAATGGCAATATATTCTTCAGCTCGGATGCTAAAATTCGAATTTTTCAATATCTTAATCATGTTTTATATTCAAAACAGGTGACTGTAAATAATGTCTAAATCTTCAAAGACAGTACAACATAAAAGAATAACATATTACATTGTTTGTAATCTATTAGTCACATGATCATAACGGGTCCAGATATTGAGACGGGTACCCGGGTCCAACTCATTACCCACCCGTCCCGGATATCCGGGTTACCCATCCCAGCCCTAGAACAAAACATCACCACACTGACCTGCTCCAATTCTTCATCTGTCAAAAGCTTGTACTTTGGTTTGGAGAGAGGTGTGGGTTTAGGCTGAGTGATCTTCATTATATCAAAACCAGTGATCCTTCTAAGTAGTCTCTGGATGTCACGATGCAAAAAGACTTGGAATGGATCTTTTTCCTCTTGCTGACTTGAAGAATAGAAGGCAGCTAAAAGAAACAGACATAAAAAGAGCTAAAAGCTATGTCTAGAAAATGAAATTAGTTCAAGTCGGAATGAAACTGTTGTTTCTGATACATTTGATTGCGTTATAAGACAAGCGCATACAGAATGATAAATATTTCGCAATGCACAATACCACTTGCAATTAGTTGAACAGGAACAACTATATACAGTTTGATTTTGGGTTGCAGGCATATTGACACGTCCACCGGGTACTGGGTACCTTTCTGGGTACCTTTCTGTATTTTCACTTTGTTTCGGGTACATTTGAATTTCTGTATACAGAAACGTACCTTGGGTACAAATCTGTATTACCTGTGCCGACAACAATACCTTCAGCAAAAGTAACAACTATAGTATGTAGAAATAAATATTAGGTTGCACTTTTCAATAAGCTAATGTTTTACACAGTTAAATAGTGCTGAGGTAACCTCATAGTCAGGCAACTAACCCTAAAATCAAAAAGCAGTGAAGCATGAACAAGGATCAGGGCCAATGAGCAGGTCAGGGACAAGAGGTGAGGTGAGGTGAAATTGGGTTTTACGTCGTGCTTGAGAATGTTTTGCTCATATGATGACGTGCATGAGTGTGTATGTGCGGCTGCTTGTACTATCCCAGACTTATACTGACTCCGAGCCGACCAGTCCTTGTTGTACCCATTAATGCCGAGCGCCAGGCAGGGACCAACAAGTACCATATTTTAACGTCTTTTGGTATGACGCGGTCGGGATCGAACCCGCGACCTTCCGCTCTCTGGGCGGACGCTCTAACCACTACACCACGGAGGCGGTTCTCAGGGACAAGAATACACGTTGCATTTTAATGCAATCAAACTGTAATGCCTGAAAAGGTGTAATGTTGATAGAACCGTAATGTGATGATCACACATGGATAGACAAAATGTTTTCTTCATATTTGTTTTCTCGATAAATCTCAAAAGTGACGATATCTTAGATGTTTCACACAACAAAAAGGAATGTAGTGCTGTAAGTGTGACATTTTAGTCTGGCGTGTGTCCCTCGTATGCGTTATTTCGTATGGAAGATACAGGGGGTATGATGGTACAGAGCACTATTCCTGTACGACATCGATCCCAACACTGCTACTGTCACACTCTTGATTTCAGAGAAACAGCAGACGCCCGGGCTTTACCAACAGAAGATTATCACATAAAACAGACTTCCCAAATGTTACAAATTAACCCAACCTTGCAATGCAGGTGTCCTGTTGAAAACTGATGATCTTAACTGTGCACCAACGGGATGACATCGTCTTAACCACCGAAATAATTGACTGCTAACAGCGCACATGACTTTATCCAAGGGCGCAGCCATCTTGAGGACAGGTTATATTCAAAAACATGAAAACACAAGAAACGAAATTTGATTTCGCTACATCGTCTGGTTGCAACACACGTACGATCGCTATAAATCTGTTTGTCATTTGTGAAAAGAGAACAAAGTACATTTATAAACATGGCAATAAAATCAATAAAATTGTTCAATTTGATTCACTTTTGAAAGAAGCAAAAGGGTATATTGGGGCTCTATGGGTTAGATGCTTGATTGGCATTTTAGAAGATGATATTTGATGAACATAGAGATTTTTTCTGGGTTACATCTTCTTTTTATTCTCGAGTACAACGTTTCAGGGCTTGTTCTGGCTCCATCATCAGGTAAAACTGATGAAACTTCTCCCGCTACACACATTACATAAAATACATAATGAGTATAGTGGGACAATTTTCTGTAAAATCCATTTCCTCGCCGATTTCGTTCAAATTTGAAATATAAGTTACTCATAACATATAAAAACAATATACGGTTGCAAAAATCTAGATTTTTATTTTTAAAATTTATTGTCCAAACAGTGATTCAACCCCCTGTGCTCAGTAGCCTACATAGAACATAAAAGTAACATAAACACATATGATTTGGGTAAGTATCAAAGATATAACCACGCCCTGTTAAAACCGCTTGGGAAAAGAAAGTACATGTACACACCCATGTGGTGGCTAAGAATGAAAGATACAAGACGGTGTAATACGAGTTTCATAACAATGTTGCGCGGGGTGGGGGTTGGGGAGATGATGCAGGGGTGTCCTGATGGTTTATTAAATGACCATTGAAATTCTCTTGAAAATGAAGTGTGCACCCCACTCTTCTCAAAAAGCTGTATCTGCCCCTGACGTCCACCCAGTTTTAAAATGTATACTTTCTATTGCCGGTCAGTGTATTTGGGTAATTTTCTGTACTCAACACATTACAGGGAGTAGCCTAGTGGTTAAAGCGTTCGCTCGTTAGGCCAAAGGACCCAGGTTCCATTTCCGACATGGGTACAATGTGTGAAGCTCAAGATCATTTCTGGTGTCCACCATGCAACTATTGCTGGAATATTGCTAAAGGAGTCGTAAACCCTTACTCACTCACTCGTGTCAGCTAGATTTACATTTTACAATGTTTTGGGGGGTATGTGAAGAAGGTTTTAGGCCACTTTGACAACAGTTCAGATCTTTGATAATGGGGGCACCAAGGGCGGGTTTCGGGCATTCAGGAAGAAATCGGATATTCCACTGCATTGATAACTTGATAAATAAACTGACGTAAAAAAGAAAGTACACACCAGGCTTTGCTAACATTATTGCTCGCTACGTCTCACCACAGAAATTACCACGTCTTACCACAGAATTTAAAAAAAAGATTTCCTTCCTAGGTTTGTCAGTCCAAACCCGTGCTGTTCGGTCTCGTCAAAATTATACAGTCATATATCTTTATCACTCCGGTTCCCATCCCAATTTAAAGCTGACATCCCGTGATATACTTGAAATACTGTTCAAAATGCCCTCATGCGACACCCACTGCAATAATTATGAGTGGTTATCTCCCTTTGACCACATACCCATGACGGACCCACCCCCAATAAACGCCACATGTGTTCATGAATAACAGTCGACAGGTTCATAGGGTGTACATCAGTGAAAACATAACTTACTCAACATTTGATAAGGATACAGAGATAGTTTACACTGATTACATATAAATCATGGAAATGATGGTTTGTTTCGCAAAAGTTGGGACGTATTTTCATGTAGGGAGTGACATGGGTTTTACGCCGCTTTTAGCAATATCACGGCGGGGGGACACCAGAAATGGGGTTTTTTTTCATTGTACCCATGTAGGGAATCGAACTCGGGCCTTCTGCGTGACATGCGAACGCTTTAACCACGAGGCTACCCCACCGCCCCTTCATGTAAGGAACTGACCCGTGAAGATCCGGGGTATAGAATAGGTCTTCAGCAACCCATGCTTGCCACAAAAAGGCGACTATGCTTGTCGTAAGAGGCGACAAACGGGATCGGGTAGTCAGGCTCGCTAACTTGGTTGACACATGTCATCGTTTCCCAATTACGCAGATCGATGTTCATGCTGTTGATCACTTGAATGTCTGGTCCAGACTCGATTATTTACAGACCGCCGCCATATAGCTGGAATATTGCTGAGTGTGGCGTAAAACTAAACTCACTCACTCATGTAAGGAAAACTGTTCTCCTCACCTCAATACAAAGGTGCTCGAGTTGAACATTAATCACCCAGTTTAATTCCATTAAATTCAATTTAATTTCATATCTGCTACACGTAACTATCATCCGAAATTAGGTATTAATGTATGCAAGTTTATTGATTTGTAAACGCACTGAGGCAAGCCGACGCTGGTACTGTGAAAACAGCGTTTTGATTTCGCCTGGTCTCCAGATGGTGCGAAGTATTGTCCTTTAAGTGCTGACGTACTATATGAGTTGTGTGGTGGTTATAATGATTAGATCATCTGTTTGAAGTGATGTCACTGTCACATCTAATGCACCGAGGAACCTTCACGTGAACTGATACGGCGGCGTGTTGGTTAATAGGGTTCGTCTCAAAATCAAGATATTATTTATAGTTGAATGTTCGTTTGTTGTTTAATTCCGCACTTCGATTCCAGTTAAATGACGGCGGTCTGTAAATAATCGGATCTGGACCAGACAATCCAGTGATCGATATCATGAGCATCGGTATACGTAATGTAGATGTAATGACATGCATCGTGCGAGCCTATATGTCCCTGGTTGTGACCCGCAGTTCACTGAGCCGACATATACTTGGTGGATGGATGTCACAGTACCCCAACTGTGTATAGACTACTATAGATATTTTCACATGATGCCAATCAATGGTACGATTATTTATTTAAGTTGTATATGTGGACTCAATTATTTACAAACATATTGCTCTCAAAGTGGAATAAAGACCCTCCCTCACTCACTCAAACGTTTTATCTGATTTTATGAAACGAGTAAACTGACCATAATATAAATGTGAAAGGACGAATCCCCAATCTATAGGCGGGGAGGGTGGGGAAGCCTAGTGGTTAAAGCGTTCGCTCGTCACGCCGAAGAACTTCTGTGTCATCTCACTCACTCAATCATTTTCATTAAGCCACCCTTCAACCGAACCCCTTTCATGACTACCCTGGGGCAGTGGGGTAGCCATGTGTGTTAAAGTGTTCGCTCGTTACGCCAAAGACCCGTGTTCGAATCCCAAAATTGTGAAGCCCATTTATGGTGTCCCTCGCCGTGATGTTGCTGGAATATTGCTAAAAGCGGCGAAATACTCACTCACTCACTCACAATGGGCGATCCAAGAGTTTGAGTGAAGTAATTCAAAACATGCCTTTTGGTTGCTCAAACTTTGTGCTAGCTGTCTTCCAATCTACCTACTAACTATTGCTCTAATTACAACGGCTCAGTTTCATACATGGCACTATTAGTCTAGTAACTTTACCGATACACTAATGTTTAGTCTCTGAATATATATAATCTTGAGAGTAACAAACAAGCCCATTTAAATTGAAAAGGAGCCCCAGGGAGACCAGAGATTCAGAACCTGAACCTGAGGAAATCTAGACTTGCTATATTTAGATTTTTAGCACTGCAGAGAGGGCTTGGCAGTAGGGAAAATAATGTGGTTCAGGGTCTGTAAGACAGGCTACTTTACCTAGGGCGTTTGCATTACAGAAGTGACTGGACGGAATGGGTATAATAATAAAGTATTGGGACTGTGACTGACTGACTGACTGAGTTTAGTTTTACGCCGCTTTTAGTATTTTAGTATTTGGACTGTGAGGTGACTAAGTTGGGGGGACTTCAGTTTTATTGGTCCGATGTTGCTCAAACTCTCTATAAGTATAATTCATATATGAAAACGCATGTTAATGTAATCAGCATTTAAAACATAATGTTATGATCTATGGTGTAATTTTTTTACTAATTATCTTTTCAATGATATAATTGTGATAATTGAAAATAAAACCATGACAAACTCCCCACACACTGAACATGTATATGCAACCCAGTGCATATATTTTCCTCTTGAATAAATCTTCTCGGAATGTTTGGGCATACCATGTTTAACTGAATTTTTGTACGGCTGAATCCGTTTGTAAATAGATTCTGATAACAATCTGCAGCCCAGTAACAATACATTCATTTATTCATCGATAATCCACTCCAAAATTTGCATAACAAATAAAGCGACTCATGAATCAATCGGTGTCAATTTCCTTTTCATTTCCTGAACAGAAAATGTGCTGTTATGCATGCTTGCTCCCAGTAATAATATATGTATACGATTATTTTTATAGAAAATTATAAAAAGACATGATGAAAATAGGTGTTTACATATTGAATTAAGGTTATATACCATATTTGATAGGTAAATAAAGATCTGTCTATCAAACGATCACCGATAAGGCCAAAGTTTGACCAAATATTTACATATACATCAAACGACACGACCCAACCCGCCCGCCATAATATTTCAAAACGGGAGCCGCTCCGAGTGATCAGTTCGCCCTTTCGATGATATATTCTGCCTCAAAAACAACAGAAATGACATCATAACTTTCATAATGGATTTAATTGGTCAAAAGTGTGTACATACTGTCCACAAATTGAACATAAACGTCGGGGTTGCTGACAAAATTATCCAGGAAATGAATTTCCAGAACAATGGGCACAGGGCAGGTGCGCGTTTCGACAGAGTTATCGTTCTTTGTTATTTTCTGTCGATTGATCCTGCCAAACACAATGTCGCGCAATAATGATGTGTACAAAAATCAATAAAAACGCGTTTTAGACATTCAGTACTCGGAATCAGCATCCATTGAGCTAAAAATCACTCATCTCTTTACTTGTGTATTTTGCGATCGATGTTTTCCCATGATGCATTTCGCTGTAGCTGCCGCCATCTTCATAACTATCGTAGCCCAGGGGAGCTAGGCGGGCTAAAGAATTTCGGATAATTCCACCCGTTTCGTTCAACGTGCATTGCCCCAATTCGTCCCAAAATGAGTCAGTATATACAGGTGGCTGAGGATGAAGGCGATGAGCCAATGGAGGTCCCAGTGGAGGAGGATGGAACGCTGTTGTTGACAACTTTGGCTGCACAGTTCCCTGGGTCGTGCGGTTTGAAGTACCGCAATCCCGACAGCGGGAGTATGAGGGGTATTCGACTTTCTGACGGTCGTCTGTACCCTCCGGATTGTGACTGGGGTCGATATGTATTCATTGCCGTTTTCCCAAAAGGTAAACTTTTATCCGATTCCTCGTGGGACGCATAATGAGCGGTTGACATTTAGAACCGAAACAACCGATTCTGTCGCTAGGAATTAGCTATCGGAATCGCGATCGTTGATGTAATTTGTTGACATTTGTTGTCACATATATTACCATTTGATATTTTAAACCCTTGTTCATCATATTTCGCATATGTCGTGCCCCAGTTCTGCTGTCAGGGCGCGTGGATTTGTATGTTTACAAGTACCAGATTGTTGATTTGACAGCTGGGCGAGTTTGACAGTTCGTTAGGGGAGGTAACTCTAGACATGCAAAAACCAAGTCATTAATTCAAGAAACAAAACTGAAAGTTGTAATGTTTTTGGTACGACTTATTAGTAATTGAAATGCTTTATATGTTTTGTAAATTCTTTGTTGATGATTTTGAAAGCTTTTTGGGGGTTAATATGAATAATTTAGTCTATTTTTATAGTTATGTTGAACATATTACAAATTGACAATTTTGAATGTGTACTGGCAACCGTACAATTATCACCATATTTTAGTGGTATTTACAAAATTATTCCGCCGTTCGTTACATTAATGAAACAGAATCAATTATGATACTTAATTAGCTATTCATTGATGTGTCCAGCCTGTTCACTGCTGCCAATAATGTTTTTATATAACACGACGGAAGGGAATTATGGCAGTATAAATAGATGCTTTCTCACAACTAACTGTAACAGTTATCGCCATTCCAAATTTCTCATGCCATTTGTGATATGATACAGTTACCTCGAACAATTGATTGTGTGACTATTTGAGTGTTTCTTTTACAGTAGACTGATAGTGAATGAAACAATGACTTGTGAACTTGAACTTGCTATTATATAGGTCGTGAGACATCCCCCCTGACTAAGTTAAAAATAATTTATAGGCTTCATAACTTTATCTTTAATTTTTCCCTGATGTTACTTACCATGAAGAATTTCCTTTTGCTGTTTATTGTTGTCAAATACCGTGGGGAAAAATACTGGAATTGTAATTGACCAGAACTGCGCACATGTGATACTGATGTATTGGCTATAACTGTTACGCAGCAATAACTGTTGGAGAGACTTCCACCTGTATCCTCCCTTAAATTTAATTCTAGACAAATCATATCACCTGAATATATATTACTCATCTGATAAGGATGAGTTTTAACATGTTTCATTAATTGTATCTGAACATACTGAAAGACAAATCAAACTTCTAAAAATGCCACTCAAAGAAAGTTGTCCTCATAGTTAAAATTTGGGGGAATACCGGCGGAAGTCTTACCGATAATTCAAGGATTGTATTTAATGCTCAACACGTCCATTCCAGAGACTGGACTTTAATAGAGCTGAGAATCATAAGATTAATAACGCGATAATTTAATGTCTGTATGCATTAGGTCATGTTAAAACTTATTTCATATCTTCCAGTCAAATCATTTTACCTGAATATACATATATCTTTTTCCTCATCGTTACAATTTAGGGGAAATAGGGGCGGAAGTGTAAACGAGAATTGTTATAGACTTGCTTGGGGTAAATTGGGCATATGTTTCAGGAACTGTATTGTATCTTTTCAATGTTCAAAAAGAAATATGAAAGTCTTATTCTTGACAGCATTGTAGCATCTTCAAGTGTTTTTTACTGTTGACCTGCTTGCAGCATGCGTCGACTGCACATGATTTATGTCATGACAGTCCGCCAACATGACACACCTGATGGTACTGACATTGCACAGAAAACATGACATTCTTTAACTGCATGGGTATCACAGTCTGGAATAGTCCATTAGTCCACAAATTTACCCCCTACAGAGTTGTCATTGACACTTATTATTTCATAGCCTTTACACAATGCTGAAATCTGCTTCCATCACATACAAGTGTTTAGAATACACACGGAAAAACAGTATGGATTTTATGATGAGGGCTGTTAATATTGAGTAATTATAAAGTCTTACAGAACAGTAACATGATTTTATACTTCAGGACCCTCACATTTCCAGTACAGACCCTTGAAATGAGTCATGACTGACATGAGGTCTTCAGCATTTCTAGAGGGAGTGAGTGGGGTAGCCTAGTGGTTAAAGCGTTGGCTCATCACGCCGAAGACCCGGGTTCGATTCCCCACATGGATACAAAATGTGAAGCCCATTTCTGGTGTCTCCCACAGTGATATTGCTGGAATTTTGCTAAAACTAATAAAAGTGGCGTAAAACCAAATTCACTCACTCAGCATTTCTAATTTACAATTGATATTTAAGACAGGTTTAATGCTATTAATGTCTAGCGAAATAACATATAATACCAAGTATGTCATTATTAATGTAGTCATATCATCCAGTTTGTAATCAGTCCCAAAATGTTAGAATTTATTTGCCAAAAGATGTCAATTCATATGATTGGATCATTTCCAGTAGATTTTAGGATTAATCTATGAACATTTTTCAGCAAAGGTGAAAGATATGGTACTGAACCAAACTTTTTATCTGGTGGCAACAATCGCAAACTGGATTTTATATGACTTTCACCAGTGTTTTATTAATTGCGATATTGACGTTTACTCCCTATAGTATTTGAATCTAGGAACACTCCTGTTTTTACCTAAGACCAGGACTCTTTGACCTTCAAGCTAGTTTTGAACACAACTTTCTAAATATAATATGAAACACTTTCTCCATTTAGAAAACAAACGAAAGGTAGAAGAGCCATGGGACAGCTTGCAGCTGAAGACGAAGCGTGTGGAGAAACAGCGATGTAGTGACTTGATTGTTCTGGGACTGCCATGGAAGAGCACTGAGGAAGATCTCCGCAAATACTTTTCACAGTTTGGCGATTTGCTGATGGTCCAGGTAACACTGCTGTGATTTTTATTAGTCACTAGTTGAAGATATCACTGTTTAATAAATCTACAATGTTATTACACATTGTGTAATAACATCACGTGATGATGAACGCATGACGTCATAATGGTTTAAAGTTATGATGACACAATGATAATACCTCTGTCACAATGGTATTAGACCTTGCTTCACTCGCGAAAAACCTAGAGTCATTTCACTGTTGGCAGTTTCTATCAATTCATGTTGGAGAGTAATAAATAGAATACTAAACTCCATTTTTATAAAACTTCTGAAAGATTTAGTATAAAAAAACGAGCGAAAGCGAAATCATTTAACTTGCTTCATAAAAATGGTATTACACGGAAGGTGGTTTAGTATCCTCTGTTTTTACTTCAGGAACTTATCCTATCTCACGACTTGCACCTCTCTCTCTTGCTTCGACTTTTAGTGGAACGACTGTAAACTTTTTTCCATAGGCCTCCTTGTCCATTCGCCCGTGCACTCCATGCTGCTCTCCTTAATTAGCTTCCTAGTTCCTAATAAAGCTTGCAGCATGCTCCACTAATTGCCCACGTGACTACCTTGAATGATCATTCTCTTTCTTGTCGCACGACTGTGTGGACGTGCTGTATATTAGGGACATTATTTCACCCTAACATCATGGGGAAAACTGATAATCAGTCAAGGAAAAGGAAAGTTTGTGCTCAATGCAAGACGAATTATTCGTCCCTCGACCCTCACTCGTCTTGCAGTGACTGTATTGGACAATGTAACTGGAACAAACGATGTGGCAAGTGTAATTCACTAAAAGATGAGGATTTTAAGGCCTACCTTCGTGTTTGCTCCCGGAGAATCGCCGATAGGGACAGGAAATCAACAGAATCTGATCCCACTCCCGCCAAGCGTATCAAGTTACAGCGACAGAAAATCGTACCTTCACGCAAGAGAGCGACGTCTGTGGTTCAAGAGGATTTTATGGACGCTTCATCAGATTCTTACTTATCTGAGGACGTTCGGCACCTATTACGTACGCATCAATCACCTCCTTCCATAGCGTCAGATCACTCGTGGGTGGTTGTGATCGACAATTCTTCGTTGCCTGTCCCATCTACACTACCAGGGGACCTTAGATCGACACTATCATCATCCAGATCATCCACATATCCCCTCGACTGTCTCAGTTTGTTTGGAGCCTGGCCAACCGCGTTCAACCAGCCAACTGTCTCCCCACAGTTCATTGAACCGGACGGAGCTGGCTACAACAGCGTCGCCAGGGACGTTCATCAGCATGAATCAACACTTCAGGTTTCGTCACCTAATCGCCGATCCAGATCGCCACATCATTCTAGATCACCACAACGATCTAGATCACCTTCACGATCCAGATCACCATCACAAGCCTGATCTAGATCACCGTGCCGATCAGATCACACAAGGATCGATCCAGATCACAGTCACGATCCAGAGCACAACTACGATCCACATCACCTGATCAATCCAGATCACCTAACCGATCCAGATCACCAAACGGGTCCAGATCACAACTTCGAATCAGATCACCGGACCGATCCAGATCACCGAACCGATCCAGATGGATCAGATCATCGGACTTCCAGATGATCCAGATCACCGAATGGATCCAGATCACAACTTCGAATCAGATCACCAGACCGATCTAGGTCACCTAACCGATCCAGATCACAACATCGAAGTAGATCGCCAGACCGATCCAGATCACCGAACCGATCCAGATCACAACATCAAAGTAGATCACCTAACCAATCCAGATCACCAAATCAAGCCAGATCGCAACTGCAAACCAGATCACCTGTTCGATCCAGATCACCTTATAGATCCAGATCACGATCACAGTTTCCAGTTAGTGCATCGAATCGATCCAGATCACTTTACAAATCCAGATCATCTTACCAACCCAGGTCACCTATACGATCTAGATCACCTTACAGAGCCATTGACCAATCGGGATCACAGTACAGATCCACATCTCATGGCCGATCCTATTCAGATGGTCGAACCAGAGCTCCAATCAGAACCAGATCACCAACTAGAACTACAGCGACCCGGACTAGTTCTTCATATCATACCGGATCACCTAGCCATACTAGGGAATCCAGATCACCGGCTTACCAACCTACTTCGGTACTTACCACGTCGAGATCTCGATACAGTTCCTCTGACCGACGTTCGGGTGATCATTGCTCTGATACCACTAATAGGCCTACAGTCTCTTACGATGTTCCGTCTACATGCTCTGAGAATCCTTCGACTCACTCTAGGATCATCGCTGAGTCATGGGAACCTGATAACAATCCCACTCCTACAGCGACTCCGGATCTAAATATGATGATCAGGGCCATAACCTCAGCCTGGAACCAAATACAGCCTTCTACTCCAGCCCATCCGGCTTCGGTAGCTCCTGGCTCTTCATCTGGTCCACCTCCTGAGATTGATCCAGTCCAAATAGCCATGCCTGCATCTCCCGCTCACTCTGAGTTATCTACCCCTGGGGGTAGCTTTGCAGCAGTTGAGACACCTCAGGTACTCCTTTGGATTGTTGAGAAGCTCCAACTTCCCTTGAGTACTTCAGCAGATGACCTGGATCACTCTTATACTCTTAGGAACCGGGATTGGTCTACCATCACCCTACCACCTCGACCTTGTATTCTGAAATTATCCAGTACACTAAATGATGGTTTCAAGAGCCTGAAACGAATTAAGGACGGATTCTCTGCTCCCAGATATAATCCTTCTACCTCTCATGTCCACGGCCTAACAAAAATCTCTACGGCTCCAACAGTTGATGAGGATATTGGAACCCTGTGTGGCAAACGAGCTGCTTCGCCCTACCTTATTGAGGACCGAGAGTTGGCTCACATGGATTCAGCCGTGAGAAAGACGTTGCCATCTATTAGTTGCGTGATTGCAGCAGTCGACGCTGTTAACACTGCTCTGGAGCATACTTACTCTGATCAAGACGCTTACATCCGAGGATGCATGACTTTAGCTCTGGACCAGTTCCAAATTATCCTGGATCAGTTGTCTCATTTTTTGGGCTACACTCTTGCTGTTCGCCGACGTGGACCCCTTAACATCTCTTCATGGGAGGAGCGATTTAAAACAGAACTGTTTCGCCAGCCTTGGTTTACTGACTCCCTCTTCAATGGTAGCATCCAAGAAGTATCTAATAAAGTTGATAAAGAAACCCACTTTCAAGTCTCGATTGAACTGTTAAAGATACAGAAGTCACAGCTCCAGGACTCATTAAAACAGCGTCGAACTGCACAGTTCACCCCTACCAATCCAGATTTACGCAATCTTTTTCGTGGCGCATCCACTCAAGGCCGTGGCAGAGGAAACAGATCTGGCCGTGGTGGTTCCTCCGCCCTCGCCCCCAGGACCAACTCTGGCCCAGGGACCAGCGCCGGGAAGCAGTGACGGCTTGAGACAATCGCACGATTGGGACCTCCCGCCCCCAGTCGTTCCGATTTACAACACTCCGGTAGGCGGGAGATTGCAGATCTTCGCCCCGAATTGGACCATCCTCAAAGATCCGTACGTCACCAACCTGCTACTTCACGGCTATCAGCTACCCGTTATTGGCAGTCCACCTCTGACGTCGCATCCGGCTCATCGCTCATATCCTGTGGACCAGCTTCAGACTCTGCAATCCACAATAGGTACGCTATTAGACAAACTCGCGATAGAGCTCCTAGGTCCATCGCCCGTCACTCCAGGATTCTACTCCCCCATCTTCTTGGTTCCAAAGAAAAATTCCAACAAACTCCGGCTCATCTTCAATATGAAGTTGTTCAATGCCCGATTCCTGCTTCCACCGCCTCACTTCAGGATGGTGTCGATCAACCTTTTACGCACCATCCTGAAGAAGGGAGACTTCCTCATCAGCCTAGATCTTCAGGATGCTTATCTTCACGTTCCGATACATCCAGAACACCGGAAGTACCTTCGCTTCGTGTTCAACGGGAATCACTACCAATGGAAAGTCCTACCATTTGGAATTTCCACGGCCCCGTGGCTTTTTACCCGAATTACCAAGCCCATAACGAGCTTCCTCCACTTTCAAGGGATCACCTTCGAAAGCTACATAGACGATTGCATCCAGGCTCAACAGGATCCGATCGTATTGCTTCGCCAGCTACAGTTCACCACCACGCTGCTCAGACAGTTAGGGTGGCTGTTGAACATCGCGAAATCGGAACTAATACCGACTCAGAAACTCCAATTCATCGGAGCACTGTTCGACACTCGTCAGGGGATGATGTTCGTACCTCACGACAGGTGGATAAAGATTCAGCAATGCATTCCTCCAGGACTGTCTCAGGCAAGAACCTTACGACAGTGGCAGGAGCTACTGGGCCTTCTGACGTCAGCTCAAGCCTTAACGTACAGAGGCCAGCTCCAACTTCGGCCGATACAGCGATTTCTACGCCCGTACCTTCAGGCCGACAACCCCAAGGAACTAATTTGCCTTCCAGAACCGCTTCGTCCAGTCCTTCAATGGTGGCTCGACGAACGGAATGTTTGCGCCGGAGTCTCTATGATGCCCTTTGCACCGACTCATCACCTATTCGTCGATGCATCCCTCATGGGTTGGGGAGCTCACTTCCTCGACCACCAAGTGGCCCGGGCTGTGGTCATCCGACGAACGGGTACTTCATATAAACGAGCTGGAATTCAAGGCGGTAATTCAAGCCATCTCACATTGGGCAACAGAGCTTCAATCAACCAGTCTGTTGATCCAATCAGACAATTCGACAGTGGTTTGGTATATAAATCATCTAGGCTCGACAGGCTCGGCGAATCTGCTACAATGGGCGATCAGGTTCTTCCATCTCATCTGACTCACTCAACATCGTAGCCAGAGCCAGACACATTCCCGGGTAAAAATGTGATCGCCGATGCCTTGTCCCGATCCAACCGACCGTCCCCCGACAGAGTGGAAGTTACTGCCCCAGATCTTTCAGTCGATGATCTACCCGTTATCACGGCCTCAAATAGATCTGTTCGCCACAAGGTTCAACAACCAACTTCCAAAGTTCGTATCACCAATCCCAGACTCCTTGGCGTGGGACCTCGACGCGTTGGCAATATCATGGGAGGGTCTCAATGCCTACGCGTTCCCCCCTCCAGCTCTGCTACCAAAAGTAATACAGAAACTATTGGCCACCAGCAACATACTACTGCTTTTGGTCGCACCCTTCTGGCCAGCAAGAAGTTGGTTCGTCAACCTAAGAAGCCTGGCAGAGCCAAACCCAGTACCGCTTCCCAACCGGGACGACCTACTTCTTCACCCTCACTCGGAACTGCGCCACGGGTCACCTCAGACCCTCAATCTACACGTTTGGCGCATCTTCAGAGGTCTCTCATAGCTAAGGGCTACTCTCGCCGAGTAGCCACAGCTATCACTTCAGCGCATCGTACTTCGACCCGTTCCTTGTACGACAACAAGTGGAAGAAGTTTGAAGACTATTGCAAGCTTAGGGGAATTGCATCTCCCACTTCCACCTCGGCTCAGGTCGTTGCTGAGTTTCTCCAGCATCTCCGCACTACTAAGAAACTCAAGGGTACTACGTTAGCTACCTACTTAGCCGCCATCAACTCGGTTTTGGCTACCACCACGGGCACGAAGATTTCCACTGTTCCCGAGTTGCAGAGTCTACTACGCTCCTATAGACTCTCTGACCAGTCCAGGAAGTTCAGACCTCCGGCCTGGGATCTGTCCGTCGTCCTTCGTCATATGATTTCTACAGATTATGAACCTTTAGAAGACAAGGACTTCGAACAAGTGACATTCAAGACATTCTTCCTGGTAGCTTTGGCTACCGCTGCTCGTATATCTGAACTGCATGCGCTTGATGTCAATCGGGTGCGGTTCGAGCAGAAGAAGCATGGCAAGGCTTTCCTGGGTCTCCGCTGGGACTTCATTGCGAAAAACCAACTGCCAGGGCAACCGGACCGGATGTTTACCATTCCCCCGTTGTCCACCATTCTTGGGCCTGATGATAATGAAGATTTGACACTCTGCCCTGTTAGGGCTCTACACGTTTACCTTGCTGCCTCCAAGGATCGTCGACGGCTACGAAAGCGCCTCTTCATACCCTTGTCGACCGCTTCAAGAACTGAGGTTTCCCGGACCACATTGGCCTTCTGGATGCGTGCCACGATCCTGCATCGTGAGCCTACACCTTTGCAGGGTTGCCTCCTCCAGCCGCTTCCAATCCTCATGAGACTCGTGCACTAGCCTCGACGATGGCCCTCCATAGCAACTGCTCCTTGACCGCTATCATGGAAGGTTGCTTCTGGCGTTCTGATACAGTCTTCTCTTCACATTACCTGCGAGACCTGTCTGTCACGGATGTCCAGGGACTACACCAGTTCGGACCTCTTGTACTGGCTCAGCAGCTTACATCGGCCCAACAACGCAGATGAGGGACGGTTCCGCATTCGCGTTACTACTTCCTTGTATATACTGAATAAAAGTTGAACTGGATCTCAACCTTTTGTTCTCATTATATGGGTTTAAGAACTACTTCACTTGGCCTCCATACCAAGGCATCGAATACGGCCACCTAGCGTGGCCCTACGGACCTGAGGCACAATCAGTATGACGATGCAGAGGTGTTCGACATTCACGCTTACTGACCTCTACTCCACGGAGCAATTACGTCAGTGAAGTGTGACACTCCCGAATTCCAGTGGATTTCGTTGCGTTCTGCCTCCAAAGTTGCCGGGCACATCCTTTGACTAAGCTTAGGCAAAGGAGTGAGGGTCAAATTTGATGCTGCCCGGAACTGAACGTTAAACCTTGGAGATGCCGAGTTGTGTTTCTCTTTCACCCGCCTCGGTCGGTGTCTGGGGGGCCTTCTTGAAGCAGGGGCTGGCCCGATTCTAGTCGCAAGACTTTAATTACGGGGGTACCTTGTAAATCGTGGCGAGGCGAGGCTTACTTGCCGAGTTGCGTCCCTTGTCTTGTACAAGGTTGCGGCCGAACACCACATCGCTCGGGAGCACCCATCTCCCTTGGAGTCGTTGTGCTTAGTAAGCCAAGGGGTTCCGGAGAACCCACTACAAGCATAGGAGTTGCGTGCATGCGTAACAGGCCTCCCTTGTACATCGCTATCTACGGTTGTCATCAGTCCACACAGCTCCAAGACCAGCTGTTCGCACTGTCCAGACAGAAGGGTAATCTGCGGCCCGCCGTCCAACCGTGGGATAAGTGCAAGTCGTGAGATAGGATAAGTTTAAAAATTTGGAAATTTTAATATAAATTGTATATTTATATATTTATCCTATCTCACGCGATGGATGACCGCCCGGCCTCCCCACTACTCAGATTACAACGTTGGCTCCAAGATGAGAATGATCATTCAAGGTAGTCACGTGGGCAATTAGTGGAGCATGCTGCAAGCTTTATTAGGAACTAGGAAGCTAATTAAGGAGAGCAGCATGGAGTGCACGGGCGAATGGACAAGGAGGCCTATGGAAAAAAGTTTACAGTCGTTCCACTAAAAGTCGAAGCAAGAGAGAGAGGTGCAAGTCGTGAGATAGGATAAGTATATAAATATACAATTTATATTACAATTTCCAATTTTAAGACTTTTTTAATATGATAAAAAATGTCTTTTGTTGTCAACCATGTCTACCTGCTTAGTATGCTTTGACCTTTCAGCTGTCCTTTCTCTTAGTAACAGGATTCTTGTAGGGGAAGACTTCATGTTCAGAAAAATTGTGAAATCATCAGAATGCGAACTTGGCTACTTTTGAACACTTTTTCTCAGTCAGTGTTAACAGGACAGGTAGCATTCATTGTTTGTTGACTGTTTCAGGTCAAAAAGGACCCAAAGACAGGTCAGTCCAAAGGGTTTGGTTTTGTGAGGTTCGCTGAATACGAGGCACAAGTGAAATGTATCTCTCAGAGACACATGATAGATGGCCGCTGGTGTGATGTCCGAATACCAAACTCTAAGGTAGATATACAGGTATAAACATTTTGTTACACTTTCTTATATTTCCCTCCTTCATTGCTCCAAGTAAAGCATTTCATTACAAATAAGGAAATAGTCTTTTTGCTTTAATTTGGGAGATGTTATGTTTGTGAAAATGCTCTTCATAGTATTAACTAAGTAACTTGTCACTACTTGCACCTTAAGAAAAAAAAAGCATTTAAAGTAAATGGGTCCAAAGCTTTTTAAAATTTTAGCAATACATAACTGTTCTGTGCAGAGTATGGTAACTTCAATCAGAATATTGAGCTGGCAAAGTCAACATAGATAATGTGTTAACCTTGTGGAAATATGTGAATGATTTCTGTAAATGGTGCATCAAGATTTCCTTGATGTGTTATGGGTAATATGTTAGAAATCAAGTGCAGCCAGATCTTCAGCTTCAGCGTTTTCATCCATAGACTCTTTAAGTCTATTATTTGTAACTTTTCACTTATGACAACTTCCCACGAATTTTTATTCTTAATTCAGAGACTCAATGTTTCTAGATTGTGAGTTGTATTAGAATTGTTTTCTCCAGGAAGGAGCCCAGCTGATGATGAATCGCAAAGTGTTCGTAGGGCGATGCACGGAGGATATGACCGCCGACGACCTACGACTCCACTTCAGCCGTTTTGGAGAAGTCGTCGACGTCTTCATTCCAAAGCCCTTCAGAGCATTTGCATTTGTTACATTTGCTGATCCCGAAGTGGCCCAAAACCTGTGTGGGGAAGACCACATTATCAAGGGAGCCAGTGTTCATATCAGTGGAGCCGCGCCAAAGAACAACGAGAAACACACAGATCGACGGACAGGGCTCAACCACACCCCCTTTGGATTCAACCAGGCATATCCCCCAGGTACTTGGGGTCACGCTGGCCGAGGGAACAGTCAAGGTCTCTCCTCCCAGGGCAACAGCATGGGAACCAACTTGTCCAACAATCTAGGCTTGGGCAATTTAGGGCTTGGTGCACTGCAGTTAAACCACGCCATGCTTGCAGCAGCTCAGGCTGTTTTGAGTAGCCAAGGGGGGTGGGGTCCTCTCGGTCTAACTAACCAGGGGGGTAGCGCAAGTAGTGGGGACAACCCCACACCCAACCATGCCAGTGCCAACAGTAGCTTTGGCACAGTAGGGAATGGGACAACCAGTAGTGGGAGTGGTGGGGGTTTCCTAGGTTGGGGAGGGTCCCAGGGCAGTGATGGTCCCTCCCACAGTCCAGGGCATGTTGGAGGGTGGGGAGCCCAGACAAAGGCAGGGACAGGGTGGAACTGAAGTGAGTATAGGGCAGGCTGTAGCAGGGGGAATGTTCATGTGGTAGAGTATTCTGTAACACAATTAAATTCGATTGAGTTCTATTGAGGGTCTTGGCTGGAAGAGGCGTGAAATGTTGAGGACACAGAAACAGCAATGAAATGTGTAATCTATTTAAACCAAAAATGCTTCTTTCGTTATTGCTAAATCATTTTACATTTTTCAGTCTAGATCATTAAAGTTGTAAAGGAGTGTCTGCAAACATAACTTCTAGTCCAAAGCCTGTGTGTAGAAATGTTTGTTTTGGCTGATAACACTAACACATACTCCTCAACATTTGCCAAGGATCACACCTTTACCTAAGCAGGACTAGTTTGGTCCTTAGGGAACGTTGAGTAGTATACACTGAAATTGATGCCAAAGAGGTGTTTAAGCTGGCAGACTCCATTGGTTTATGGTAGAGACTGAAAATATACTGACATACTATGAAGGCAAAGTGAGGTCTTCCCACACAGATTGAATAAGTGTTTGATTCTGTTACTGAATATTTTACGTCAAATTAACTCCACTCTGTTACATGTGAGCATGCTAGGTAATGTGTGGTGTGAAAGTTTGGCATCAAGCACGGACATCATGCATGAGTGGGACATCAGAAATCTCAAGTGCAAAGTTCTTAGTTGAAGAACGAACATCATGCATGAGTGAGACATTAGAAAATCACCCAGTCCACCTCCATTTTAGTTAATGGCTTCTTGCCCAGTGCCACTGTCAACCTTGGTATTTTCATGCACAAGACGATGTACTTGTTGCAGTGCGAAGGGTTTTACTTGTGAGTATTTGATAAGTGCTAACATTCATGTTTTAGTTACAAATATTTGTGCACTTTTCAACAACATAACCACTGTTTGCCCATAATGGTTTACAAACTGTTTTTTGACAAGGTGAAAGATTGTTGTTTTAAATTAGATTTGTGTAGGTTATTGTTGATGTATACTCTATACATCTTTGCCAAACTATATTGAAGAGAGTTAACGATTGTTGAAATTGAAACTGCTTCCACTTTGGGTTCAAGTCATGACACAACTTAAAGTGAAAAATTAATATCATTATGATTTACACCAATCAAGTGGTGACAAATTTTTGAAACCATCATGACATGTTCATTCTGAAGTTGGCAGCAGTTCTCACTGATTACAATTACCTTCCTGTTTAGTGCTCGCAACAACGTGTAGAGGACTAGTTCCTGAAACTGTAAGCTCCTTGCCCTGTATTTGACACTCTTTGAGCCATTCACAACACAACAGCATGTGTAAATGGGAGTTTTGAATGATGTCATTTCAAGAGAACAAAGTGTTGATTTGCCAGAACTGTGCATTGACTGAAGGTCCTTCTTGTGTACATCTTAGCAATTTCGATGATGCAAAGATTTGATGAAATGTTTGAGGTGTTTTGATATTCTGATATTGTTTTGGACCTGGTGTGAGTGAACTTACTCCCTCAAACAAATGTGAATATTATAGCCAAAATGTGGAAGAATTTTAAGAATTCTATTTTTGAAATCATGAATGTAAATGCATGAAAGTCACTTTTAATTGTGCATACTTATCAAATTTGACAGTGCACTTCGTACATCATGCTTCTCAATATTTTATTAAGTTTGATAATGAGAGCAGTGTTTTAGCGGTGAGTGGATTTGAGACAGTGTTTGGTGATAATTTGTGCAAACATTTTGGTATTTGAGGCAGCAAGGTCTTGGCTTCTCTTGAGTGATTGGTCCAATAGGATATTGGTGCTTGAGTGTCCTGAGGCTAGCTACGTGCTTGCATATATGCGTTCATAACATTTTTATATGAATTTAACCGAAACAGGTGACCAAGTGTTGTTTGGATTGAATTGTAATGCGTTTTTTGAGAGTGTTCTACAATGTTAAAGAGTGGGGGTGCTTTTTCGTTACCATGGTTACTGTTTGATTTGCAGGTCTCTGAGTGTATTATATGTTTTCAACTGGTTTGAAAATAAAGCACCCCAACAATTTATTATTATTAAAACCATATTTTTTTATTTTATAAACTACATCTACCAACCTTTCACAGTAGCACACAGCCCTGAGTGCATAATAATTGTGTAGTAGTCTCATTTTAAACATATGAATGGATTGTCTGGCTGGAGGGTGTCGTACGAGTGATCAATGGTTTCACAGCTTCCCTAATGATTCAGCTGAACACTTTTCAGAAATATGACAACGCATGACACGAGTTGTAAGAATCTATGTGGTGAATTTGTTCTTTGAATGATATTGTTTCGTCTATTATCAATAACTGTCTCACATTGCTGTTCAATTGATCAAAATATGAATCCTGTTGAAAGGGAAGTTGTGAAACAATTCATGTCCTCAGTAGTGTCGTGGTTACCAAATTTTCAGCCAAGTTTGTCAAGGTTCATACAGGCTTGAAAAGTCCTTGAATTTAAAAGTCCCTATTGAAAAGCCTTGATTTTTTAATGTCAACTTTGAAAAGTCTTGAAAATGACCACAATGGCTTATAAAGCCTTGAATTTATATAAAATGATACATACTTGTCAACAAGAGTATTAGCACTGTTCATAGTGCTATTTATGTCAGAATTTGTTATTTGATAATAAAATTCAAAACACTGAAAATAAGTTACAGTTGTGAACACTGAATTCAAATTTGATCACTAATTGATTTGGTCTTAAATATCAAGTTATTGACTTACTGAATGTAAAACAATTACGACGATCATAGAGGTGTGGTTTTTTAAACTTGGAATTTCTCCTCTCCCCCCCTCCTATATCGACATAAGTGTGACGAGTGGCGTTAAAACGATACCCAGTCATACTGTACAATATGATGTCCTTGGTGTAAGGTTGAACTGTGGTGAATTAAGAATGAAGGTAAACTTGGCTGGATTTGTGTTGACATAAGTGTGGTGTGTGTGATCATCCAGTTTCCTAGCTGACTATATGTTAACTTGGAGTGCTTCAGTCTGCATTATTTTACATCAGGAAAACATTGCATGAGAAAGTCCTTACAGTATTGTATTGCATTTGAGAACAAACTGAAGCCAATGTGGGAAGCTGAAAGATAATCTCTGATTGTTGGTATTTAAGAGTTGAGCTGTTTGGAGTTATCAAATTTTATCCACACACCACTCTTAGCGTGTGTGTTAAGTTTGTGAGATGGTATGTCATCCTCATTTAGAGCAGGTGCACAGCACAACTGGGCCCTGGTTGAGGATAATAGATGACTATTTTAATACTGCTGGGAAAAGGCTGTTCACCTCTATATTGAAACAACTGCCAGTATTTGCTGTCGATTGTGGTTTAAAGATGTGTGGATGGTGTTTTGGATATCTCAGCAGGATTTTCTCTATTTCTATTTATATTTTAGCATGCATGAATTCTCATAAATGTACTTACTTGTTATTTATTGTATATAGTTGTTGATGTGGTTCCCACTGTTATGTGTTACTGATGTGTGTGGTTATGAATAAGACACTCACAAACATGGGAGAAAGGTGACTCCATCAATGGGTGCTCTCAAAGGCTGGCTTGTTCGATGAGGCAATACATTTCCACTGCAACCAGAGTAATGTTCTGATGGCAATGTACCATGGAAACTCATGAAGTACACTCAATCCAGTTGGAAATATAAAGTCAGGAGACGCAATCATCTTCAACTTGTCATTTGGTCACATTTGGACAAAAGTCAGTTAAAATTTCCTCTTCATTCTGAAATTAAAATTAATCTGTTTATGGAATAATATTTTTTTATAGATTATGAAATATTTAATACAGTAAATACTTTTATAACGAACACGGATATAATGAACTGACGGCTTTAGCGAATGTTTTAAAAGTCCCGAATAAAAACCTTATATTATCATATAAAAAAGTGAATAGCGAACTACGGATGTAACAATCTAATTTCAGTGGTCCCTTAGAGTTTTTTATTAAGGTATTTTACTGTATAAATTTTGTTATATATGCTAATCTTCATTAATACATTCTTCCCATTGTTAAATATGCACATATTTGGGTTAAAGCAATTTTAATACGAAAATATTTGCTCTTGCTGTTATTGTTGTGCATCTTATTTACAATTTAGGTTTTAAGAGATTTTAGTTGAAGAAAAAGATTGCAACACTAAATGTTGACCTGAATTGTTATCTGTGTGAAGGGTGGGCTTTATGCCTTGGGAGTTAGCTAAGGAATGGAATGTATCACTTCAAGGACTTAAGGCAACCTTTGAAGTACCACTGTCTGTTGACTCATTGCACTTTAGCCTACATTTCATATTTATTGCTGCTGATTTTACGGTGTACCATGCAGAGTGAGGTCTGGGTGTGCAGTAGTGATTTGTTGGTGTATATCTTATGTTGGGAATGAGAGAAAAAAGACTATACTTCAAGATGACTTCAAATTGGTACCTGGATCCATAATTCTATAATCTTCAAATTGGTACCTGGATCCGTAATTCTACACATCTTTAAGTTGGTACCTGGATCCGTAATTCTAAACATCTTCATGTTAGTATCTTAGTTTTGTAACTTCTAAATTGCTTCAAATTGGCCTACAGGTTTTTAATTTCAAAACTGCTTGTTGTAAGATCAAAGTGTTATATTTTTTTTTGTTAATGAAAAAAGTAGCCTGAAAGTGTTTTACAGTTTAAAGATAGTTGATGCCATATGCCATTCATTCATGAGAGTACCGAGGTTAATACTCCTTATTGACAATAATGTAAATTCCTGGTTAGGAGGAAGAGATCCTTAAGTTTTCCATTTGATCCTGGCCCAATAACTCTATGAAGCCGTAGCAATTAAAATTATGGATAAACAACTATCATTCATTCAGTGTTTTAGGAGAATGAATCACATATCACTCAACCTGAAACTGAGATTTGGCAAGCATGTCTTCTAATGTAGATCAGTCAGGTACCAATCTGTCAAGACTACTGAAGTCTGGATTTTTTTTCTCTCTACTGTGGTCCATCTATTAAGTTTCACTTAGGACAACATGCTCAAAGCAACTTTGATGTGAGCTGAGACCAAACAAATTATCTCTGAAATCACCTCATGCTGTGGTTGTTCTGAGTAGAGTTACCTCCCTTATATCTGGTGCACAAACCCGGTGAGCGTGCGTGTTGCCTTATTTGCAAAAATGGATCTTGCTTTGATCATTTAAAGCTCATCTGAGGTTCTGCTGGAACACCAAGCATGTGTAATGGCAGGATTGTTGGTACAGTTGTAATTTGTTTGATGTTTTTGAGGAACCTGTTACAAGTATGTTACAAGATGAAATGAGATGGTGTCATTGCTCCTCATCATTAGTGTCTCTGTTCACTATATTAGTGGATTCTGAAAAATGTCAACATATTTCTCGATGTGAACCAGATTTGTTTTTGTTTCTGTAATTTCTAGAAAGAAAGTCTGTTTCAAGCTTGTCATGAACTTTGCCCTAATCTGTTGTTTTACATGATATTTAACTCTCTTTTTTTATTGTTTTTGCATGTATGGCATGATACCACTTGTTAAAACTACTAATAGTAAACCAGAAAACTTGTGGGAGCATGTTGTCCTTGGTGGTGTTAGAGGGAAGGTATACTTGGAAAGGGAGAGAACTCGGTTGTCTCCCTGTGCAGTAGATGTGTCTGTTCCTTGAATCTCTTGTAGTGCTGTCATTAGATAGTCAGAGCTCGGTCTTCACAGTTGACCATGTCTGCTTTCATGATTGAGGTTGGTTTCTATTTCCTTATTTTTAACAGCTTCAAGATTGAATAATCGTGCAAAAATGCCAAAAGATATTTTTGTGTTACTTTTTGCGTAACCTGGTAACATTTTAAGAATACACGGGAAAGTATTTTCAGAGATTATACATGATAATTTCTACCATTTTGGAGCTATTCTCATCAAGGGACATTAATCTTGGTCGAAATTGGTGAAAGCAGACATGTTTTGGGAGGATATGAGTTGTCTACTCCTGTTTGTTACAAAACCCAACCGGGTTCTTGTAGTGAGTTTCCATTGTCGTGACACGGTGTGCAGTCTTCAGAAGATGAGCCATCTTGTACGAGGGTCGGTGTCATCCTGCTATGTGCAAGGCCCTGCACCACAGTGGTCAGAATGGACAGTGGTATCCATGTTTGGTTTGTAGTCCCTGTAGTAACAGTGTAAGTCCCCTCTACCTGTCTTCCAATACTACTGATAAAATAGAACAGAATTGTCTACTTCGGCTTTGATGACCTTTAAGAAACTTGGACTAATGTTTCTCACCAGTTCTCTCAATGGCTTGATTCCCTGACTTTGCAATTAACATCATGTTTCCATGGCAATGCCGAAGGTAACTGTTTCATTTCCCTTCTATTCTCATTGTCGCAAATATTTGTCTCAGAGGTAAGCTTGCAAGTTTTGGTTATGTCAACAAGTGTCATAATTCAACTAACCAATTCTGGTTTGAAAGACTATTTATTATGTAGATAATTTTTCTGATATTTAGGCACGAGTGTCGTAAACATAGTATGACATGGGCACGAATATAATATTCTGTTTATTACCGAAGTCGTCAAATTGAGGAAAATAACCCATATCTACTTTCAAACATAGGCTGGCTACCTGCCGTCGCCGCATGTAGAGTGCAACGTCACAAAAGAAACGTTACGTCATAGCATTGTTCATGATGTCACGTCACCCTGACAAAGTGATATTTTGCCCTAGGGCATCGTATGAAAAATATGAACACCGATATGTTCGCGCCCTCGTAGGTAATAAATCACATTACGATATGACTGATCTACTGTTCAAGGCAGTGTTGACAGTGGTTTAACACCTACTCAAATTGACCAAAATCCAGTTTCTTCCTTCACAATTCTAGTTATTGCAAATGATGGTGATACAAGCCTTTGAGATGTTTCCCATATAACCAAGGTTTCAATGTCAGGGAATTGACATGAGAATAACCCTACCCTGATATTCTCTAATCTTTTATGTTTGACCATACACCATAGTACTGTGTTTTGTGTGAGAAGGAACGAGAGACAGGCAGAAGACTATTCACCTATAATATTGATGTTATTTGTAAATTCAGTGCCTATCTATTTTCTTGAGATGAAGTGATGGTTTAGTATGTTTGTTTCATGTAGATCGTGTTACTCTGCAGAACATAAGGAACTTGAGTGTTATTTTCTAGGGGTGTAACGATTCATCAAGACAGAACATGTTCAACTCATGTTCAACTCATTCTTTATACAAATAGTTGTTTTCTTACTTCAAAGAGAATAAAAACCTTTGTTTCCACTTTGGCTCTCAGCATCATCTTATAACCAGGACACGTATTGAATCTGCTGGATTAAATTATCTCCAGTTAATATATTTTTTTCTTCTTTTTTCTTGTTTTTTTTTGTTGAAATGTTGTTTCCACAAACATTCTAATTTGACTTTTTGGGGAAAATGTACTGATTTTTTTTTTCAGCTAGGTGTGTTGACAATGGTATTGTTACACCCCTACTATTTTCTACAACCAGTAATCTGGCTTTGAGAGCACAGTGCTCCTCCAAGGAATGCACGAGTTCACACAGTTTCTGGTAAATCATTGAAATAACTCATTCCTTAAGAAATGAATTTTGCTCAAATATGAATGAATGGGAAATATTAAAATTTCATATTGAAATAATTTCTATGAAAATAAAGAATACTTTTTATGTAGATTTTTTTCTCTTCAAATATGCAATATCCAAAATGGCTTGAATGCAAGAGTTTGTTGTCCACGGTTACGGTATGTTTGAAGTAATTGAGAGTTGATCGCCTTGGTTACATTAAACAGAATTACCTCTTTTATGAAAAATTCCATTATGTATGATTGATCTGTTTAGTTTGGTATGAGTTGATATATGAAATCACCTGTTATCATTCGGCTAAGCTTTAATATATTTATTATGTTGTATCAAGTTTGTCAGAACATGCAATCAGCATTATCAATGAGAATTTTTCACTTCCAAATTAACCAAAATTGACTTTGCAAGATGGCTAAAATGCCCAAATTTCTGAATTTATGTACAGAATTAAAAGTTGTGTTTGTAAAATGTATGACTGTATAAGTTATCAATTATTGAAGAATTTTGCCGAAATGCTGTAAAACTAAGAACCAGTTGATGACGCTTGATAGTGTACAAACATGCTACATGTTATCGCACATATCATAGTGTTGCCAGTTTCAGTCATTTGGATATTGCAAGTATTAACATAAGTACAGATTTACGTTCCTTGGTTTCTAGTTCCGATCTTCCATTTCACTTTCACATCTTAGTTTGTCACGGTACTTAATTAATGCATTATAGGTTTTTTTGTTTTGTATTTTGGTTTGTGATTTTTTTTCAAGCAAAAGGATAACACAGTTCTGTTCCTCAAACTAAATCCAAGAAATCTTTGCACCTGAAGTGTAATGTTAAAGATTGTAATTTCGATCCAGAAAGGATCAAGGTGTTGCAATCGGCTCAACTCATACACTTGATTTACAAATATAACATGTATCATAAAGTTCTTTTCATGATATACTTTTTCAAGCAATGTTTGCTATTTAGCACTTTGGGTACTCAGGGCATCATTCCACAAAGTAATCTTTCTGCTGTGACTATTGTTAGTGAGTGTTAATGAATGGGAGTTATGACAGTTATAACACTAAGATTGTTTTGTGGAACAGTCCAGTACCTGTTTGTAAAGCATCTGTTATGCTGATGCTCATAAAAAACATTTATCTGATCTTGTAAGATGAGATCCTACAAGTCCATTTACTATAACTTAAATAACTAAAAACAAATCTTGCTTTTATGCAATTTTTAATGGGAAAGTTTGTATAATCCATAAAAATGTGTATTGATACTGAATTGAGTATATCATGAATGGAAACAGCATGTTATCACAGTACATATTGAATTGTTGAAGCCTTTTTCTGTATTGATAATTTCGAGTCAAGAGTTCATTAGAATGTTCTTACCAGGACCTTCCCTCCCCTCAAAATCAAGACTAATGTCAATAGCTTAAAACTGCATCACAAGTTTGTGTTTTTGATCTCCAATTTTGTATTTGATCAACTTGGATTTAGTTTGAGACAGGTTGGTCACAAGGTGACAGTTAATTTTGGGTTGGTTGCTTGTACATATACTTCTGTTCATCGAGGGGTACTTGAATGGCTACCAAACATTCAGAACATAAAGATTTTCTTTAACAGTGGAAGGGAATAAATGGCTTGGTGAAAAACATATTTTAAATTTATTTAGTTACTGAGAAATTCTGAGAAAATTTATAAATTTCCATCCTTGAAGTTTGATTTAGATTTTAGTCAAATTGAATTTTATTGAGCTTGCTGGTTAACAAAAATTCACATTTCCACTGTGATTATTCTTTATGTCCTGCATGTTGGGTGTACACGCTGTAAGATCCTAGAGCCAAGGTAACTAGCAACTCTATGTAAAACACTGTCTTAGTCTCGAAGTCAACCACTCAGTTTCTCAGGAAGTTCTCTGCAGAAACTAGTTGCAGTGTCAGAGAGATGGTCAGCAGGGGGGATAATCCAAAACTAATATAAGAATTAATCACTAAATAAAATCCAATGTAAACCAGTTGGAACTAGTTTTTACAAGATCTTAAACATGAAAATGAAATCAATAGGGTGAAAGTGATACTGCTGTACTGTTTGGAAAATTGAACTGATTGTCTGGAATAATCATGATGGGTAATGTTACCCAAATCCCCCATTTCTATGACACTGCACAGTTATTCTGTAACATCTTGTTATCTATTTTTGATACATTGTTGTGACTTTGTGTGAGGAGGTGACATTAACCCTGCAAGTTCTCATCTTAATTACTGTAATATATTTTGAGCTAATTCGGACAGCCTGTTTTTATCACCACGAGTGAGCAAGATCTGGACAGTGTCTCAGCTGTTAACATAACAATTCATTGTAATTGATGAGAAGTAGATAAACTATATCAGATTGAAAAGATACAAACTGTATCATCAGTGATCCAATTAAGTATTCTGGTGGCAGAATTAGCAAATTAATCAACCAGGATTTTATATATATTTTTTAATAAAAAATTTTTGAGGTTGCCAATAATAATTTTTTTTGTATGGTCAGGTGAATACCAAGATGTTTCATTGAAATGTTTTGTGTCCTTTCCTCAAGATCAATTCCTGATAGGAAAAAGCTCAAGAAAAGTATTTTGATATGTTCTACCTCAACTGAATTCTACAAAGCTAGATAATGTTGTGCAATAAAAGATGGTTTTGTGCATAAGATTTATCAGATGGTTGCCATTGATCTTCATGCCAAAAACATAAGGCCAGTAGATGTGATCTCTTTATTGCGCAGTCAGTTTGAGCTTGGAAGTACAGTAAAAACTCTCCCATAACACATTGCAAAAGTATTGCAGTAGCAAGAAAATAATCAATTTAATGGAATATCTAGATTTAAAGTAATTATATTTCAGAAGGATTACGGTTGCCTTGACGCCTTTCTTTTTGTTGAAATTTAAAGATATAAAAAAGTTGACAAAAATGAGAACCAGCGATGCTTTCTAACAAAATTCTTTTTAGAGGCAAATGAAAAAAATACAGCAATACAGATTAAAATAGCAGTTTTACACCCATAAATGTTAGAAGCGTAATTCATTTTTTGGACACGTGCAGTACTGCTTTTTTACTTTTTCTTTTTTTTTTTGGTGGTCCAATCCATATCTCCAATGGAGAGGGAAAGTAACCCAGAATGTTGAAGAAATGTTTCCAAAAACAATATCTGAAATGTTGCATTTTTCATATTTTTTCTTCTTTGTTTATTTTCACTGTCGATCAGTTTTTTTAATTAAAGCTTGTAAATGAAGACAGAAATAGGTCATATCTAAATTGTGATTGCTTCCAGGGAAGCTTGTTGAGGTATGATTGCAGTGTAGCACCTGTTTCAGTGTCTGATATTGTTCACTGTGGTGGTGATGCAGGCTGTCCAACAACCAGCTGTGTAATTGAAATCCAACTCTGACTTTGAAGTGTGAGTGTAAGCGACAATGTGTTTTGTGTGTTGTTTTCATGTTATCGGTGTGTAACGTAGACAGCAGCTGACCGCCGGCTGGTGGTGAACGTACGTACGTGCAGCAGTTATACTACTTACCCAATAAAACTTGGCTTTATGCTAAAACTGACTTGTGTTTTTGTAAGGTTTCAATTTCAATGTGGTGAGTCAGGTTTTGCAACACTCTTCGTAATATTCCAGCTATAACATGGCAGGTACACCAGATATGGGCTTCACACATGGTACCCATGTGGGGAATCGAACCTGGGCCTAAGGCATGACAAACACCATGTCTACCCCAATGCTTCTGTCATTGTGATGAATGACTGTGCATCTTAGTGTTTTAATCAGCACTATTCCATAATACAGGGCTCCAGATAATTTTTCAACATCAGGAGTACATACTCCTTATTTTTTCAATATAAGAGTACTGGAAAACTATAAGAGTACATTTAGAGTACTGAATGGAATTTAATGGAGTATCAGTAATCATGTGTTTTGTTTCATGTATGCACCACAACATTGCTACTCTTGTGTAAACAGGTCAATAAACAATGAACAATAAAACAAGACTTTTTTCGGATAAATACGACTGTAAATGATTCTAAGACCGTACACCATTGCAGTGGTGCGTATCTGCTACTTTTTCCAAAACATGTCCTTCCGTATTTTGCATATTTTTTATCCGTACATACGCCTATACGACCCTTATCTGGAGCCCTGATAATATCAACATATTTCTTTTACTTGGAACACCATGATCAATTACCTAAGACCTTCACTGCCCGGGATTGATGACATTTGATCACAGTGCCAGCCAACTCATCCTTTTTAGCCACCTAAAACACCAAGCACCCACCTTGGAGATACAAGTAAGCTTAATCCTGGTCAACCCGTGCTTGTCATATGGTGGTCAGGCTCACCGACATGGACTATGGATGCCGGGATTGAAATAGTGCCTTGTGCGAATTTGCATGCCTTGGCACAGTAAATATTGTAATGGCGCAGATGAAATGTTTTCGATGTGTCTTGACGGTGCAACTAAAACTCATTTAATAGAAAATGCGATAAATCTGACCAACAGCTAAACACGGGTGTGGCCATTTTGAATGTCATTGTGCATAATAGGAAATCGCATTCTGGATGATAACATAGTTTGTGGGTTAGTTTATGGGTCCAGGACAAATGAACCTGAACTATTCCTGCAGCTATGATAGTGTTCAGGAAATCT